CCCCCCCCCAAAAAAAAAGACCAACGACGACAACAACAAAAAGCCGCTGCCCCAGTCTCGAAACTCCATCCTTCCAACCTCACTAACCCGGTAAAATTTTGAAATTGGTAGATGGAGGTCAAAGGGAGTAACGGCTACCTGGAGCTCTCTGCGTGCCGAGAGGATTGTCGATGAATAGGTATTTCCACGGATGTCTTGCAATCTTTGGAATTGGTGACCTTTTCACTAGGTATCGGCGGGTAAGCAGAAGAAAGGTTGTGCTGAGTCCTTGACTTTCCACCCATTTGCAGTATGCCATTACCTACCTACGACCCTGGTCGTGCTCATTATGATTCTGGAAGGTCCCGAAAGATAGATATCTTATCAGCTTCGACCCAATCGGCACGCCCCTGAAGCGCGAACTTCTGTAGGTTCCTGAGTGCCCCGCGGCGCATTAAGGTTCGTGATGACCTGCGTCCCCCGCCGGCATTTTGACGGGACTCGCCGATCCTGCTGCCCATTCAAGCGGTCTGGAGGCGGGAACGGGGACTTTCCATTCTTCCTACCAACCACCACTACCAGGAACCCCCCGCGGCACCCAGCAATGATGGCACGGGAGGGCAAGAAGAGGAAGAAAAGGAAGGCGACTGTGGCTTATCGGCTGCTTCAAGATGACCCATGTGATTGGTGAGGGATCGACAACTACTCGTCCAGGGTACCTATCGCACAAAGGCTCACTACCTCAAGACGTTCGGATTTCTATGTACACGAACAAGAGCCATGCACTGTACTGTATGGGCTCCCGCCAAGATCCGAGGCATCCTCCCTCACCTTCTTGATCTGGCTATTGACTCCGTCCTGCTACTGATGCATATACAACCCCCTCTAGCACGTGTGTGTCGTACTGCTACCATATATCATCAGTACTATTATAAGATGCGGTTACCTTCCCATTACCTCTCGATGATCAAGTAGCTTCAACGTCTCTCCAAGCAACCTTTCCCTCCAAATCAAATCGCCACCATGAAGGTTTCTGCCACAGCTCTGTTCTTGACTTCTGCCCTCCCCACAGTCTTGGCTTGGGGCAACCTGGGCCACGAGACGATCGCTTATATTGCCTCGAACTTTGGTCAGTGCTATAGTTCCTAGTTCATTTATCTCCAGCTTCCTGACACATCCATAGTCAGCTCTGAGACAGAGACATATTTCCAAAAAGTTCTCGGAAATACGAGCACTAGCTACTTGGCAGGTGTTGCCACATGGGTGAGTTCCACTTGGTGGAGGAGAAACTTGTGTGGGACTATCTGACAGCTGTTCAGGCGGACACTTATAAATATACCTCTGCCGGCCTTTACTCAAAACCTTACCATTTCATTGATGCTCAAGACGATCCACCATCATCTTGCAATGTTGACTACGACCGTGATTGCGGTTCGAGTGGATGCGTTGTGGCAGCAATCCAGAACTATGTATGGTGACTTTAAAGACGTGAAGACCAACCACTAACGGCATATCTAGACATCTATCATGCAAGACAGCAGCTCGAGTGACTCGGATTTGGACATGGCAGCGAAGGTAAGACTAAAACCGAAGCCCCGAGATTATTGCTGACCTCTTTCTAGTTCCTTGTTCACGTAAGTCGTGAATTTCCTGTGGAACCTTGCCCGAGAACAGGTTGTTTGAAATGCCTCTCCCATTGTCATGGTTCATGGGCATCGACCCTGAAGCACATCATATTGTCTCTAGTCCTTCCTTCATGGTCGAGAAAAAGTATGACATAGGAAAATACTCATTTCGATTCATCCAGTTCATTGGCGATATCCATCAACCACTTCATGATGAGAACCTGGACTATGGCGGAAACGACATCGATGTGAAATTCGGATCCACATCTACCAACCTCCACCACATCTGGGACACCAACATGCCCGAGAAATATGCCGATGGCTACACTCTCGCCGATGCCGAGAACTGGGCCCAGAATCTCACCACGGAAATCAAGACCGGAGCGTACAAGTCCCAGGCCGCAAGCTGGCTCAAGGGTATGAATATCTCGGATCCCGTGGCTTCAAGCATGGGCTGGGCGACCGACAGCAACGCGTACGTCTGCAGCACTGTCATGCCGGACGGCATCTCGCCGCTCGAGAATACGGATCTGTCAGGTGATTACTACACAACAGCCCTCCCAGTGATCCAACTCCAATTTGCCAAGGCTGGATACAGGTCAGTCATCTCGTGAGGATTCTAGGTACCTTCCATGAAACTAACGACTACTCATAGACTCGCTGCTTGGCTGGATCTGATTGCGACTGGCAAAACCGACCTCTAGATTGGGGCGGAGGTGGGCGTGGGACAGGGAGAAAGCTGAGAGATCCAGAATAGAGTAATTTCTAAGCAGCTACTGTAGTAAACACATCGATACCAACTTCTCGTACTCAGCCCAAGTCTCTTTTCGCACTAGGGGTATAGTAATGGAAGTTAAATCCAACCTCAACTGTAGGACTTAGGCTAGCAAACTCCGCATTACCTCTAGGCATGCTTGTATAGTAATGGGAAGAGATTAGGAAAATGGATCTTAGAATACCAAGTAGTAGTGAGACGTGACGGAAAAGTGATTGATACTTAGGTATGATGGTCAGCAGGAGATACCTTAGGTAGGAGGTGAAGCGAGTTGAGAGACGAAAAGGGGTAATTTGCTCCGAGTGACGCTAGGGCCAATTCAGTACTAGCCTCAATATTGGAAATCCTCACGTCACAATCTTGAATCTCTACACAACAACGATACCACAGACAGAACGAACCCAACGCGTCCCAAAGCCAATTCCCGCTTCCAGACTGACCAGATATAGTTGGCTCAGTCACCCCTTCAACATCCACTCTTCGCCCCTCAATTTTATGCAACCAGAGCCTACCGAACTTTCAACACCCGCTCCCACCTTGAACAACTCATCAGAACGTGTCGACGCCTCCCAATATGGCTTTCTCGCAAACCAGCTGCCCTCCGCAGACGCGCGTGTCTCTCCTCTCGATGAGCGCGCAGCATCTGCAGGTCCAGGAGCAGCGCCGGATGAGAGCGGAACGCGCTCACCCGGACGCGCGGAACTGCAAGAGCAATTGGGACGATTGAACTTGGACGATAGCAATGAAACGCGGCCAAAACCCTCCTTCCAGCTGATCTCCGAGTATGAAAACGCTTTGTTGCCATCGACACCTAGAAAGCACAATGAAGGCCCTGGCTTCAAGGTAGTCAAGAAGCAAAGCAGTACGCTCGACGGACCACAGCTTGAGAACTTCCCAAATGGTAATTTTCCCTCCACAAGGCCCTCTACACTTTTGCACAGAGCAATTCTGCTGATTATGGGTGTCTTCTTGGTGGCCATGTGTTCTAATGCTCAGCAGAGGTTTTGACCCATATCTTGTCACACTTACCAGCTTCATCCCTTTCGGCAGTATCTCTTGTTTCTCGTCGATTTTACGGCCTTGTAACGACGCCGCATGCCTGGCGTATTGCGTTTTCGCGGTTCTTTCCGGGCCAAGATGCAGAGAACTATACCACAAGCTCTCAAATAAACCGCCGAGGCTCTGATCAAGAGTCCCGGGAACAGCTCCGATCAGAACAGCGTTTTTTCACTCGATTAACAGCTCTTGCGTCCTGGCGCAGCGAATACATCCTACGAACGAGGCTTTTACGTAGCCTCGAGAAAGGAAAACCTGCTCAGCTCGCCCCTGGCCGTGGTGCTTCTTCTCGATCCAACAGTGCCGCGAATAACGCCAATGCGGTGGTAACATACAACTCGCAGCTGTTTGCTACAATCAATCATATCCATGCTGTATTTGGCACTGGTAAGAAATCGCCACGCTTCATCCATGGCACCGACGAGACTGGAACAGCTTGTACCAGCGATCCTAACATTGGTAAAATCGACAATTGGGGACTTTCTGATCCCCAGGCGCTGCCTCAGTTTGCGGACCTCTTCGTGGGTGACCGACCGTATGGAGATGGTGAAGGGCCAGCAGGCCTTCCAAACTCTATGGATCTTAGTCAACCATTTGGGATGGTATATGGTGAAGGGTTTCCGGGAGGTCAAGCTTACTATCGACCCACCGAAGAAATGCGTGGACGATTTCTTAGTCAACCAACTGACCTCGTCGATCATCAATCTGGCATCCCCAAGATTCCAGGCCTCACCGAAGCAATTTCTGCTGTCTGGATCGCCAAGTCGAGCTCCGTCCCTTCTATGACCGACGGCCTAGTTGGGATCATGACTGGATCAACCCTAGGGATTGTCACTGCGTATTCCTTAGGTGCTGACACTCCTCACGGACGCCGCATCGGTAAAGGCCAACTGACCGCAAAATGGGTACTCAGTCCAGGAGTCCCAATCATCAGCCTCAAAGCTGATGATTCATATAATTCTAAACGAAAGGCTTCTGGTCGAGTTTGGGCAGTCGCTTTGAATGCTCTTGGAGAGGTGTTCTACCTCACGACTACTCCATCTTCCGCTCTTATTGAGAGCAAGGTAGATGAAAGCGATATTACCAGACTCGCTTGGAGTGCTGGCCGCACAGCTTATTGGAACCTTGTCGAGTCCTCTCGCCGCGTTGCACGGGATGACCCATATCATGAGTTCGAGATCCCTGGCAGCTATTCACCGAGATCTTCTTCAAAAAAGATGAGATTATCCAAGGCCCAGATTGGAGCTGAAACATTGGAGATCGAAAAGTTTCTAGGCTATCGTCCATCCCATTTCCGTAAAGTTTGTGAGGGTTGGGACATGCGAAGAAGGTTGGAAGTCGACTTTGCTGGTGATGACGGCAATGGGGCCGGAGAAGGCATATTTGTCATTAAGTGTGGACTTAATGAGGGTGAGCCTGCAGAAATCAGAAGATTCACAAGATGGAAATCTGAGCAGGCCCCTCTTGAGGAGTATCCCTTGCCAAACACCCCGCTAATGGAGCCAAAGACGACAACGATGGCATCATTATTTGGCGGCGGCAGAGTGACCACCTCTGCTAAGACTTCATCGCCAGAACGATCCCAGACGACTTCTTTGTTCGGTGGAAGTACTGTGATTGGCCCTGCTAGGGTAACGCCCGATGAGCGCTCACCGAGCATACCTGGCAGTCCAACCGTCAAAGTTTTGTCCTCTAACTCTCTCGTAGAGGAATGGCGATCGTCAATATTATCCCTCAAGGATCATCCTAGTGTCAAAATCACTACCAGCGCCATTGATATGTCTACGACTGCATTGTCAACTGTTGATGAGGATCCTCTTCGAACCGCAAATGGCACCTCGACAGTCTCATCCCCCTTCGCCACTCCTTCTGGCCGGGGCACTCCCACGACGGCTAATATTCCTGGCGATAGAGGACGATTCCTCGCAATTGGCACGAAAACTGGTGTCGTAGTAATGTGGAACATGCGCGGGCCTCAATCTACAAATGCGTCGTTAGTGAACGAACTGCACCCTGTACGGACCATTTATACAGACTCACCAGAGATATCATGCCTGGCGGTCTCCGCTCTATATGTCGTTCATGGGGGCAATGACGGACTCGTTCAGACATGGGATCCATTGGCCTCGACACTCCAGCCAGTGAGAACCCTCAACTCCCGTTTCTCATCCCGTGCTAGACGTCGATTGGTTCAGGCGGCAGCATCAGTCCACGGCGTTGGCATAAATCTATACGCTGCTGGCGCGATTGCTATTGATCCCGACCCAACTGTCTTGCGTGGCATGGTGTCCTTGGGAACGCATCTTCGCTATTGGGCATACAGCTCCTCGTCAGCAGATCAATACCAAAGCAAAAAGCGTCGCCTTCGTCGGTCCATTGAACGTGGTAGTAACGGAGGCCCCGATCGATTTACCAGTACTGGGAGAGGGGCTCTAATGGATTACATAGCAACCGAACAGGAGGAACTCAAAAACGAAAAAATCCGCAGAGCTCGCGAGGAAGCCAGGCTCCGGGGAAGGTTTGGTGTAGGTTTGGGAGGTCTCAATGAAGAAGAGGCTCTGCGCTACGCCGAGATGATATCCGCAGAGGCTTTCCAAAAAGAGGAGGAGCGCCGCATGAGTGACGCCGACCGCTCCGCTGGGACAGGCGAAACATCCTCTGCGCAAAGTCCTTGGACAAGTGCGACAGTCACACCTGAGGGCAGTGTCCAGGGTCAAATAAGCTCATCAGGTCCAATCAATAATAAGGACGATAACTACGACCACGACCTCGAAGAAGCCATCCGCCTTTCCTTACTAGACGGTGTTGATTCCGGCGGCCATTCGCCCAGAGCAAGCGGAAGCGGCGAGTACAACATCCCTATAACCTACAAGCCCAAGAAATCCCGTCGCTCCGCCTCCTCCTCCCCGTCCACGAGCAAATCCTCCAAATACCGCACCCGAGCCCAAGCGTCAGGGAGCAAGAACCACACCGTAGAAGCAGACGATCTAGATTTCGCTTTGCAGCTAAGCCTCGCCGAGGAGCAGAGCCGGCTAGAGATAGAGAGTGCGATGGCGATGGATCCGCGGGATGATTTCCCGGGCTTGGAACGTCCCATTGTTGGGAAGGGCAAGGGAAGAGCGGATTGAGCATTTTTGTGTGTGCTTTTTGTGCTTGATTGGTTAAGACTCTTCTTTTTTTCAAATAGCGCTTCTATCGTAGTAGATATGCTTTTTACTTCTCCTTGGCCTGATATGCTATGCTATTCTATAGTAGCTAGCTAGCTGGCTTATCTATTAAACCAGATCATCTTGTTTATATCTATATATCTTGCTAGTCGTGAAATATAAATAAAGGGTTAAGCTAAGAGTACCTGCTTTCACGGTACAGTTGAAGGCGGCACTTTACTGTAGACCATTATATGAACTCTATAGAGTTTTTTGTTTTGTCCTTTTTCGATTGTAGGCTATACCTAGTAATACAGAAGTGCATGCGAGGTGATTTTGTACATATATGATCTTGTCTTCCACCAACGTCTCCCAACCCTATCTATCTTCAGTCTGCCCAGCTAGATCCCTCGGATTTGAATCCCGGTTGGCCATTGACCCGATATGGGCTCACTACTTGCGAGTGTATGTGCGTGTTGTATGCGTATCGCAAGGTTTTAGAGTGTTTGAAATCGAGGCTGTCGATTATAAGTTGAGAGACAGTTTCTGAGACAGTTTGAATAGTTCTCAGGTCGAAGGGAAGTTTGGGGATTTTTCTAAGTTTGAAAAGGGCGAAGGTCGTACCACAAATGCAAGAGCGAGTAAATTCAATCAGACCAAGCAAGTTCCAGGCTTCTGGAGGGGAGCCACGCATAAGATAGAGTGATACCTAGTCAATAATGAAGATCTATAAATCTATTCACCTAGGTATCTTTAATTTTATTTAATACTCTTCGATTTTGGTTTTGACAGGGCCACCGCTCAGTTACTCTCACCCTTAGGCCAAAGACGACGGCCACATTCATGATCCCTATAGAGGGTGGCGGTGTCCAAAACGCTGCCGTTGGCGCTGTTGATGAACTCGTGCGTCAGGTGAGTGCAGTTGTGGAAGGTGAGCTTGCTCCACTGGATAGCAAGCAGAGTCAGCGAGTGATTGTGGAAGGGAATGGGGATGGGAATTGGCATTAATTGAGGGGTGGGGGAAGGAGGGGGGGGGGGGGGGGTACGTACTCCGTAGATACCGTCGTCGGTCGAGAGACCGTAGCGATGGTAAGGTTGTAGCGGGTATGTAAAGCTATCGAGACCACTGTGGCTGAGATCAGTAATTGTAATTTGGACAAGGATATTGGGAAAGAGTGTTGCTAGGCATGAAGCACCCTGGTTTTCATGGTATGACAGGAGAGCAAGGCTTGCCTCTCATGAAAGAGAATAGCCTTGGAAGAGACCAATCGCTGTCTGGGGATTCTTACTCGTAATGTCCAGCTGCGCCATTGGTAATATACCACGGTGAAGAGGGGTTGTTCAATTCGTTAGGATCGATGGTGCCGTTCTTGATGGGAGCATTTCTCTCGTAGACTGTTATTCAGAGTTAGCGGTAAAAGTTTGTTTGAAAAGAATATTGAAACATGCTCCTCAGATCATAAGAGATCATAAGAGATATTCATAGGGCATGAGTACAAATTTATTTGCTGAGGGGTTACTGACCATGGAAATGTCCACTCAAGACCTATAGTTCATTAGACATTGATCTTTACAAATATATGAATAATCCGAGCATGAGTATAACTCAGAGCCCCGAGATTCAGTCTTAGAGGTGCTTACCAAGTCGACATTGTTTTGGATGAACACAGACTCGAAGGCCTCCTGGCAAGCAGTGCAGATAGATCCTGACGAGTACCAAGGTCGGTGGCCAGCACTGATTAAAGTTAAGAACGTGGCCGAGAAATTAGGAGTAAGAGACGTACACAACTACCCAAGGGGTCTTGGAACGATCGACCTTGGCAAGATCAGCAGCGATCCATTTGGCCTGAGCATCGGCGACGGCGAAGGGGCCAGAGTCCTCAGATCCCCCTTCCGGAGAGTCTGGAGCGATAAGTCCATGCCCAAGATCTGTCTCTGTATCGTACTGCACAAAATGCGTCATTCCGTAATCGAATGAGTACCAGAAGTTCCCAACTCCACCAGACTCGTCGCTGGGCATACGAAAATGGTTAATGAATCCGGTGAAGTTGGTTTGGCCGGGCATACAGATGCTTGCAGTGTAGCCCCCAGTGCCGCCATTGTCACAGTTGGCTTCATGGTTTCCAGGACCAACCATCCACGGTTTGGAGGTCGTGATTGGAGTCATCTCGTCATAGAATTCATTGAGAATGGACTCGTAGACTTTATAACCGTCCTCAATTGTGGTGTTTGGTTCGAATCCTTGGATCTCCTCCTTTAGCCAGTAGTCCGCGTAGGCAAGATCTCCAGCTATAGAAGATCAGTAGCGATTCAAATAGTTTAAAAGAGCAAAACATACGATGCCACAGGAATTCAAAGTCGTGAACAGCGGCCGTCAAGGACTGGATTGTGTTGTTCTCTCCGGGAGCAAGAATGTTGTTCGGGGAGACTCCTTTTCCAGCGGACGTGTATAAACCCTCGGGTCCCATCGTCCCCATATCAACGACGACAGCTATCGAATATGGATCAAAGTCACCAGCCGGCTTGCTCGTCTTGAACTTATATGGGCCAGCTGATGTATCGTTCTTCATCAAGGACGTTGGCAAGTAATAGTACCAGGTATCAGGTTTGAGTCCCGTGATCTTGACATGGTTGTTGTATGTCAAGGAGGTGTTATACGTGACGGAGACGTCCGACGTAGCCCAGTTCGTCAACGCGAAGGGTGACTCTCCGTAGAGCACGGTAGGACGATCGATTTTAGAGAAAGTGTTCCATGAAACTGTCATGCCAGTACTGCCAGCATATGCAATGCGCGTCTGGGAGTTGATGGAGGAGTTGGAGACCAAGCCATGGACGTGGGAAACGAAGGTTATGCCTGCTGCAAGGACAGGGAAACAACTGAATTGACGCATCTCTGCTGGATGAATAGTAAAGGAATGAAAATCAAATTCAAGCCAGTCTAAACACTAACCCAATAGATGCAGCACTACTGTTGAGAGACAACAGAGGCAGAGAGCTACAGATCGACAATACTCTGGAGAAGGAGGCTATCTCGAGGTTCAGGGCCCAGCCTTATATTCTCTTGGTAGGGGAACTCCGAATACGAGCATCGCATCAGCAACAGGGAGAGAGCTTCTGGCCTTTCTACTGTTCTTCCCTAACTAGCCTTGTTGACACTTGACACTTGAGCTTATGCTTGAAATACAGGGGATATTTGTGGGTGGAGTAGTTGGTGCTGTATCCATGTTGGGAGGGGGAACCCGGGACCCAGAGGAATACTCATTCCTCTCTACCCCACGTGGCCGACAGTATTGCTATGAGAGGTGGGGGACTCCGGACATTAATAAATCAAGTACGCTGTATACAGCAAGGTAGATGGCATTCGGCATTATAATATTTCCGTATACAGGGGCAATAATAAGCCAACCAACCAGAAGTAATAAGAAATGGAGCGGATACAAGGAGGAGAAAGAGAAGAGAAAAGAGGCTCAAGGAGAGACGGGAGAAGTGAGAAGTGCAACTTAACGCCGGAAACACTTTGATAAGCGAGTACAGCAACAGGTCAACGTCCACCATCATCCATCATCCATCACTTATAACCGAACACGATCATCGAACCAGCAAGTCATGTCATGGCAATACAGAGGATTTTGCTTCTCTTGCTTTAACTGCATTTTTGCTATTCGGGGATGTACCCAGACCTACCCTTCCAGCATGGTCGAGATCAAGTGACCGTCGACGACTGTTAAGCTTCACTTCTTGAAGGCCGTCTGCTACCAGGCACAAAGCGGCATATATATACATCATATCTTCACTCGGGACACAATTCAATCAGATTCACGACCTCATCTATATTCTATGCATTATTCGCAATCCGTACAATCAACCTACCCGGTAAAACAAAGTAGTCCTTTGCGCCACTAGGAGTCTCACAGTTCCTTTAACTTTCTCCTTCGCTCTTTCTGTACATCGAGAGCCCTTTCCGCAAGCGCTTTCCCCCTCAATCTCTATGCGAGAACAAGCAGCCCCGATCGGGAAGGGACGTACGTGTATAAAGGCAGTCAATAAGTAGCACTGTTGTCCTGACTCTCGACTCTTCTCTCATCATTGTCTTCGTCTCGCACTCAACCCAGCTCAAGTGAACAGAAGCCAACCCTCTGTACCGAGTCTCAAACCATCAATCCGAGCTCCAGACATCGTCTCTCCATTTCCTCCAAATTCCACAAGAACGAATATTCTGAGACTCCCCCCACGTCATCCTCAAGAAAATGACACAAATGGACACCCCAAAGCCGGATACCCCAGAGCCGGACTCCCCAAAGCCGGACCCTCTCGACCTGCCACCGATGACCGACCCTACAGCTGAAGGTTCGTTCCCATCCTCTACCACCTCCCACGTTACCAGACTTCTAACATATTCGCACAGGACTCGATGATAGCAGCCCCATCACCAAAACCAGCCCCGGCATCGAAACCTCCAAGGAGGAGGACTCATTGACCGCTAAGCTCGTCGAAGGCTCTTTCTCCTCCGGCTCCGAGGATGTAGATGATATAGTCGATGCCAAAAAAGCTGTCTCTCCTCTTGTTCCCGAGATAGTGCCGACTGCCGGCTTCTCTCAATTCAGTGTGTCTTGTTGTTCCTCTCATTAACTCCTTCTTTCACAATACGGAGGTCGTATCTGCATTCAAAGCTGACGATGATGCAGGTCGACACAGCCCTCAGAAGAAGAAGGGTTCCTCCTCTGTTGGATCTGTTGGTGGACCTATCGGCAGTGGACGACCTGTCGCCAGTGGATCCGGAGATGGCAGTACGGTGACGAAGTCTGACTCTGATGCCAATGTCGACGACAAGAATTAGGGGGCTGGCAAGGGTGGAGCTGACAGCTTGAAGGACGAGGCACGGTCGTGCTAGCAGACATGCAGACAGGACGGGTTCTAAGTTTACACGAGAAAGTTTGGTATGGTATTAATTATGGCGTTGATTATTACTGGCACAATTGCAAGGAGCGAACAGAAGCGGAATAATACATCGATTTTTGCTGAATCGGGATTTGTGTCCTATCATAAAGTACAAAAGAAAGTGATTCTTGTGATCACTAGTAATCCGCCAGACGCCCCTCCATGCACGAGATTTGAGATGCCCTCACGATTGTCCAAACTCCCAAAACAATGCAGTTTCCCTTACTCATCATCCATGCCATCTACATCGATAGCATCCGGATTAGCAGCCACGACTGGCTCCTTGATATTTCCCCCTTGGGGTCCCGTACTCGCCGGAACAAACCCAGCAGGAGCTCTTGCCTCCCGCTCCAAAGCTGCCATGGCGTCCGCACTCTTTTCACCATTCTCGCCATCTGCCTGCTGTTGGCTTCGAGCGAGTGCTTGCGAGGCGATAAAGTTGACATCAGTATTATACTGAGCCTGAACACTCCTCTTGATACGAAGCATTTCCTTGAACGTATCCTCATTACCATGCTGGACTTCGAAAGCCTCCCATTTCTGCCAGAAAGATGGGGTGGTGCGGGGGTCGCAGAATTGTGATGCATGCCCATAGATAGCTCTTGCACGGTCGATCTCCCCAAGTCTCTTCTCCATCTCGGCAAACTTCAAACACATATCCCTTGCTTCATCGTCTGGCAATGTTGCAATGGCTCTCTCGTAGATAGGTCTTGTCGATGGAAGGCCAAAGTTCGACGCAGACTTGGTGATATAGAAGTTGAACATCTCTGCGCGGTCGTCGTCCGAGACAGCACGAGTTGCTCGCTCGTAGATTCGCATTGCATGTCTTGCGAGCCCCCTGTCTTCTTCAAGATTTCCATACATCAAATACAAGACCTTAGCAAACTTCGGCGGGCACCCTTCAATTGCTTGCTCAAATAAGTCTCGCAATCGCTCAATACTAATCCTTCGATCAACGGCCTTGCTCAGGTACAAGTTCCAGAGCTCAAATGCCACAGGATAGCTGAAAAGATCAAGACCTCTTTCGTAGATTGTGAAAGACTCTTCAAAGTATTTGTTCTCCTCGAGAAGATTGGCGTAATTAACGACGGTCTGGGGCGTCGCAATTCGCAGTTCAAATATCCTCTCATATATCTTCTTCGTTTCTTCTAGGGTGCTGACACTTTCGACAAGATCGACATAGAAACTCCATAACTTCCAGCTTTTGTGTACTCGTTGCTGTGGGGAAAGAGTTTCATCGAAGTAGTCGACGGTCGAGCGTTTGGGGGCTTGAACTGCTTTGGCCATGATCTTCACGGCTTCGTCGAAGTTTTCATTCCTCAACTCCATCTCCGCCCATTCGATCCACATATCAGCCAGCTCAGCTACTGATTTGAAGGGGACCTTCACAGCTTTCTCCATGATGACCCTGGCGTTTCGTAAATCACCCCCTTTCTCGTAGAACTTGGCATAATTAGCCCATAACTCGTGGAATTGGCCTACAGCTTTCTTCGGCTGTACAGCGGCAATCGCATCAGTGTATGTCTTGACCACCTCCTTCTTATTATCACCCCATAATCCGACGCGAACATTCCACTCCGGAACATTATTGGGATTTTGTCGAAGTAGGACATCGTTGATCAGGAAAGGACGCCGGTCCATCAACTGCTCGAATCTCATCATCCGAATGTCCAGGTCAAAGTCGGCACTTTCATCAACAACACCCTTCTCTGAGCGTACTGCAGCTTCTTCCATCAAAGCTCCGGTGATTGCCTCTTCAAACTCGACATATGAATCAAAAACAAGAGTGAAATCCCGAACTGTCATGACTGTCGTAATGCCTTCCTCGAACACATCTCGCGCTCTTTCAAAGCTTCCCCTTTTAATCCAGTACGTTGCCAACCCAGACCACAACTTCCCCCTTTGGTCCGCAAATCTTTCGATGCCACTGCGAATGGTTCTCTCCACATCAATGCCTACATCATCCCCGGTCTTGACTTCTTTAGCGTGCTCGACTAGAAGGTCAACCATTTCACTCCAAAGCTGATAGTGACTCTTGCCATTCTTGCTTCGAAATTTCGGGTTGTTCAGGATATTCATGTACTGCTGGACAGCTTCTGTGTAGTGACCCATCTCAACCAGCAGCTCTATGAAATCCTCAGCATCTTCAGGGTGTACCTGCATGAAGCGTCGCCATATCACGACCGCCGTCTGTCCCGAAGCCGAATTTGCGAATGGTCGGTACAGCGCCCAAATTCGGTTGTGCTGAGTGATAGGCAAGGCTCGCAGAGCTCGGTCAAAGGTTCGACGCGTGAAGGTTACAAGAGGCTGGAGAAGAAGAAAGGACAGGTACATTTCCCATATTCGCGGCATCTTGTTGAGTAGGATCAGTGCGCGTTCGAAGAGCGAGTTGACCTTCGCATATTCGGCCTTGAAGATAGCGGGATTCAACTTTCCCAGATGCTTCATCCTCAGATTCAAATACTACGTGGTATTAGCTAATGGCCTAGCAATACACTGAGGTTGAGAGGGACTGGGATATACCATCTTCCATAGTTTATATGACCGTGGCAGCTGCCGGGTAGCTCTTTCCAAGACATAAGCTTGCTCGTGAAGGTTTCCATGTTGAAACTTAAACTCGATATATGCCAGCCAAGGCCTGATGGTCCCAGGGTGGCGCAGGATATCTTGCTCGTAGACTGTGTCTTCTTCGGACTGGAGAGTGATCAGCTTGGATTACATGACTTCAGCGGTTACTTAGACTTACTATGAGGTAGAGGTCAGGCTTTCCTCTGGAGAGCTTCGACTGCGAGACGCTGGCAGCGGCCATTGTGGGCAAAAGCTCACCTGGCATGCTCTGCCAACCTCGAGATACCGATTAGACAATGCGAGAGAACGATGAGGCGAGCAGGAAAGCGGGAGCGAACCACATCTCCTCTGGCTGCGTCGCGAGTCGCGGACGGAGTTTTACCTTGGACATGCGGTTTTTAGTATGGATACCTGGTTCGCAAGGCAGAACAAAGATATGAGGCAGCAACACCGCCGCAGCCCTGTCCGACAGGTCGACGTACTACGAAGAGGATTGGGGGAGCTTGTTAATCAACGTTTATCTGAGCCACCTCGAAAATAACTACGAATCCAATTTTTCCCTATTCCCACATCCTTTTCCGAATACTACTTGTCTCAGCCTGCATTTGTGAATGCGATTTTGAGCGCTCTTTCCCACTTAATTCTGGTCGGCCGCAGTCAAGATGTCCGGAGCTGGGGTAAGATGGAAGCTCTACATACTATGGTCTAAACTGACTATCATGTAGAACCGGGAAGCCGTCTTCCCAACCCGACAATCTTTGGGATTGATGAAGTCTAAGCTGAAGGGAGCTCAGACAGGCCATGATCTATTGAAGAGAAAGAGTGAAGCGCTTACCAAGTCGGTCTTTATTCCTCCAATGCAAGTGATTCCCAAGCTAACACAAGCTCCTATAGACGTTTCAGAGGTATTTCACATCACCATGACCATGCAGAATCCCAATTCTCACTCATATTCAGAAATAACTAGACGAATTGACGAGGCGAAGCGCAAGATGGGGAGGGTGATGCAGATTGCCGCATTCTCTCTGGCGGAAGTGACCTACGCGGTCGGTGGAGACATTGGCTACCAGGTGCAGGAATCGGCGAAGTCGGCTCGGTTTAGGATACGGACGAAGCAGGAGAACGTCTCTGGTGTCTTCCTACCCGCATTTGAGAGCTTCACCACGGAGGGCAACAATGACTTTGGGTTGACTGGTCTAGGGAAGGGTGGGCAGCAAGTGCAGAGGTGCCGGGAAACATATGCAAGAGCTGTGGAGACTCTAGTTGAGCTTGCGAGTCTGCAGGTAGGACCTTTTGAACGAGCACTTGGAGTTCGACTGACTTGAATAGACTGCTTTTGTTATCTTGGATGAGGTCATTAAGGTCGTCAACAGGAGAGGTAAGCTCTGTCTATTCCTTGCATGACTTCTGATGCTAACTGTCACAGTGAACGCCATGTTAGTCTTCCTGATCATACCCACAAGTTTCCACTGACAAATGATAGCGAGCACGTTATTATACCACGCACAGAAAACACCATCAAATGTATGGATTCCAGCAAAGTGTTACAGTATGGAGGTTAATCACTCGCAGATATCAATTCCGAACTCGACGAGTTGGACAGAGAAGAATTCTTCCGATTAAAGAAGGCAAATTTCACCTGCCCCGATGCATCATTAAATCACGAGCCTAGCTAATACCCGCAACAGGTCCAGAACAAGAAGCAGAGAGATAATGCTCAACAAGATGCAGAGATGTTGGCGAAGAGAGAAGCAGCAGCAGAGCAAGAGAAGCAAGAGAGTGATAAGGAGAATGCTGAGAGTACCCCCGATATATTAGGTGAACAGGAGGATGAGGATGTCATCTTCTGATCTATGGACATGGGTTTTCTGCACTATTCTGGCTTTGGAGGACTTGAATTCTTTAGGTATGTAGGATTAGCGAGTATATATAAGGTCCAGCATCAATTTTTCCTATCCTACAATACGGTAAAGGTAGCAACAAACGCCTTACTGTCTCTGGTACGTAACCTTCATGATCTGACTGCCATCACCCAACGCCATACCAGCCGTATTTTCCTTCGCACTAATAGCACCCGTCTCGGCCTCGTACTCAATGAAAGCAATCCCCTTCCTACCCGGCACCAATCGAACCTCCCTGAATCCCTCAAACCTACCAAAGATGGCCGTCAACGCATCGATATCATAACCATCAGGCAAGTTCTGCACGAAAAGAATCTTGTTCGGCGGCAGGTATTCATCAGGGATAACAGCCGCACCGGCCGGATTGGAAGACTTGAGACCCGCGCCACGGGTGGCCTTGATGGGCCGTGCTGCAGCGTCGGGCGCGCCCACGGCTGCAGATCTGAGGCGCTTCTGCTCCTCTGCTGCCTCGGCAGCTTTCTTCTTGTCTGTTACGCCACCACACCGTTAGCCTGCAATCCTCACAATCGCCAAGTGAGCGGGCGCACGCAGCAGCAGCAGCAGCAGCAGCAGCAAAGCTCGAGCCCAAGGGACAAAGACACAAAAAGAAAGAAAATAGAGCAGAACAACGCACCCTTCTCCGCCAGACGACGGCGCTTATGGCTCTCGAACTCGTCGTCATTGCCCGAGCGCTTGACAGTCGCGTCACTCTTAGTCCGCGCGAAAGCTATCTGCATAGGTTTCTCAAAGAGCTCGAAGCCCTGGATATCATCGAGGGCCTTCTGAGCACTCTCGACATCGGCGAACACGATGAATGCCTGGCCCTTCGCCTTCAGGTTCGTCTTGGCCACGATGTCGATGATCTCGCCATATTCGGAGAAGAGCTCGCGCAGAGCCTCGACCAGCTGCGGGATCTTGATCCGCTCTTCGAGGTTGCGCACGTACAGTCTAGGGCAGCGTTAGCGCGTGTACGTGTCGGAGTGCAATGACACGTACGTTGCGTTTGGTGGGGGGTTGCTGTTGGACATGCTGAGTTGGGAAGTTGGAATGGATATGGATTAGATGAGGTTGCGGAAACTCGAAAATAAAGAGGCTCAGCCTTGCGGTTTGCGACTTTGTGCCTTGTAATCTAGGCATGACTCCTACTCATCAAAAAGGGGTACGCAAGAGGCGTAACACTCTTGAAATTGTTCTTGAAATACAAAACCGAGACTTTCCTATTACTTATATTTTTCTATTAAAACTACATTTAGACAAGCTTTTGCTAATGTTCGCTTTGATAACCATCAGTAGGTATCTATCTACCTCAGGTATTTCAACAGGCACGGATCAGGCCAAGTAAAATCGACTTCTTATCTCCCCTGACCATAGGTACCAGCAACTTTCAATCAGGACATTATTGATCTCGCAAACCTAATTAGTATATGTTTGTCTAACTCGACTATATCAGGATGCCAATTCGTGTTTAGGGCTCAGCTTTTGTTGTAATTCTTACGCCAAGATTCGGTTAAGTGGAATAGGGGTTGCAACTTCTAAAGTACAAGTAAGAGTATCCAAGCCATCACTTAAATCAAAACCTCATAGTGCACTCCTTTCAACACCCTTAGTAATTAGACCGGACTCCATAATTGTGTCCCAGTTGTGGGCCAAGTTCGAATTCTCCACCGATGTCTTTACCTCTGCAGCTCCCCGAGGCACCATCTCTGCTTCGTATTTCGACACCAGTCCCGGAAGACTAGATTTATCTGGGAGTTCAACCAATGCGTTGACCAGATTTACAACATCTAATATGCCATTGTTGAGGCCTTGGCCACGATCTTCGGTGCGAATTAGTGGTCATTCAGTGCAGCTTCAAGTTTAAAGGAGGCAGGGCTTACGCGGAGTCATAGGATGCGCGGCATCGCCAGCTAGGGTTACTCTCCCATCATGATTATCCCACGGGATTGTCACCCAATAGTGAGTGCCGTTGTTGCTAACGCGAGTCCCCTCGGGAATCCACAAAGTTGCCGATCGGTAGGGCTCACAGAAATCTTCCGTGGCCTTCCTAAGAGCCGCAAGACGGGTCTCGTTATCTGGATATTGCTCAGCTTTTCCAGGCCATGAAGCACCGACAAGGAAAGTCCAAGTTCTGGGGTCGTCTTCATTGAGCACATTCTGGACTGTGAAATCTGTTAGATAAATGTGTGATGAGTCGCGGATGAGGTGTGAACTTTCTTGCAATGATACTCATTGCCCCGTTAGGGTGAAATGCCAATTTTAAGATGGGATTTCCACTTCGAACATGCGCGGCTCTCTCAGCGTCATTAAAATTCACCTTCGCCATCAGATTGATTACCGGTGACGCTGTTAATGCCGCCTTCTCTTTTCCCAGTAACAATTCACGCACACTTGATCGTGCTCCATCAGCGCCAATGATAATATCCCCGGTCGCGGTCGTTCCATCATGGAAATGTGCCGTGACGCCAGTGCCGTTCGCACCGTAGGTTAAACTGGTAAGGGATTTATCATGCTGGACGAGGATGCCGGTACCGCAGAGTTTCCGCATTCGATTCCTGTCTACCCGGATCATTCCAGGCATACCGGTATCTCTCAGTAGCTCTCCTGTCTGGCCGTTATATATAGAGACTGCCTCGAAGATCTTCTTGTTAGGGTGGCACGGGTCTGTGAGTACCTCGGGTAGGCGTGCATATAAAGTGGCCGGAAGCAGTTTCTCGAGCATGGGGACTGACCAATGGATAGCTATTCCCCAGTCTCGAGTTGGCTGATAGTCCACAGGTTCTCTTTCGAAAATGGTGAAGCGTATCCCGGCCTGGATGGGTTAGCATAGTTCCATTCCGTAGGCCAAGAAGAATAAATGCTTGGACTTATCTGTGAATTGAAAGCAACTGACCTTTTTCAGTCCTTGGGCTAGCACAAGGCCTGTGATACCAGCCCCGATAATGAGAACATGGAGGTCGCTCGTTGGGGGATTTGTGTCAGGCATTGCAATACCTGGGGTTGGGCTTTAGGTTGACAACAATGATAGAGGAAAGACAACCTAACTTTTCTTCCATTTGTAGGACGTTATAATATATATAATGAGCCATAAAGATAGACAGAACGATTAAGCTACCCAGGATGCGAAGCCGCATAAGGACCTCGGGGTTACTCGTCGTGGCGAACAAGGTCCGAAAGACCGACGTCGTGCTTTGGCATAAACGCCTGAACCTCACGAGACCACAACTCAAGCCACGCATTTTTTAGGTAGCAGAATTCAACGGACGGAGCAGACTCTTCGCTCGCGATTATATTTGTCGCGGAAAGGCCGAGAGCCGTCTTTCTGCTTGAAGATCAGGCAATAATACCAGGGTGCTCCGCACATCCAAAGAATCCTTGTCTTTGGATACGCGCACCTTGAACTGCAAGGCGCCCAAGGGGGGAGTATTAATGTTTTTAGTCATTCACCTCTGTTTTCTTTCTCCTGTCCTCTTGATGAAGCGAGTGATGAAATACGTGCAGTAAAGGATGTGAAGCAAAGCATGTCCAAGTAAAGCATTGTTGGACATCGTACATAGCCCTGTTGCATATCGCATTCTGCTTTCATTTCAATGGCTGATACAGCATCCAATTGTTGCGAACACCTGGTGGTCAAAAAATTTCTCTGGCTTTGATTGAACCTGCAGCCCTGGGATGTGACTGACCACGTGACTCCGGGGACAAGAGCTAATCGTGGGTCTTCCGACCGTCTCGGTCCGCCTATGTCTTCGAAAGAAGTGAAGAGAAGATAATCGGCTTTGATGCGAAGAGTTCCAGGGTAGAGTTGTTGGGGCCTAGTGATTACAGCGATTGCAGGCGTAGCCTCGTACAGTCCATAGAGATCTCAACAAAATCACTATTATTATCATTGCGGAGGGCCCTCGATTCTTTGACATCGAGAAATCGGTGCTAGATACCGATAGAGAGATGATTTCTTACGCCTACAGCAGGCAGAGTTCGATGGACTTGAAAAGGCTCTTTTGTGATGAAGAAGGCTGGGGAAAGCCTTGGCCAGAATCGGAGCTGTGAATACTATTAGTTGATCCTGCTATGGTAAGGAGATCCTTGAGTGAGTGTTGAAGTCTAGTGGGCCAATCCAACGAGTGTAATTCACCTACCTTATATGTAACCACATCTCATGTGTACCTCAGGATCAAAGCTACTACCATCCTCCGTAGGAGAGAGGATCGTGCCCTCGCCAAAGATGCATCATCCTTGGCGCCTGCAAGATGATCCCTGAACGAGATGCGACTTCACTTCAAGTCGTTTCTGCCCTCTTACGGAGTAATCACAGGTCTGCGTCTATCCGAGACTCCCAAACTGTGAGACTGTATCGAGAACGGAATCCTACCTCACCCGTCTATCGCAAGCCTGTCCCGTCCTTCTCTTTTGGAATTGAAGCTCGTCTAGAAGGCTGCAGGGCGGATGATCCCGTGGCCTGTATTGCCAGTCTGATAAGCGGATGAATGACGATACGAGCAGCAACCCTGGTCACTTTTGATACGTGAGCTTCGTGACAAGCTGGGGATAACGGCGGACTCTGTAGTGACGACAAGGAGCCTTGGTTGAAAGAAGCGCGGTACGCTGTTGGTGTTGTTATTCTCTTCCTGAACCCTGGGATCTGCATCTTTCGGTGGTCTCGTCCCGGCTGTGTGCAGGTCCCTTGACGGTTGGCTCCGCTGGAGTACAGTAGTGTATAACAGTGTCGCTGTGGTGATTGGATCAACCCGCATCAATCAATGAGATATGTACAGCAAAACGTCCCTATAAAGCTTCGTACGAAATGTGTCCTCAAGACAGAAATGGTGTGTTTTTCGTGTTATGGAGATGGGTACCTATATACGCAATAGAGATAGGTACCTTGCTTGTATGTACACCCATATATTACCGGGATGAAATGCCCTGCTTCCAGATGCAGTATGAAAGTACGGGGTAACAACCATCTGACGTTATCATGTAGAAGAGCTGAACGGACATGCAACATTCTGAATCTGGGCGGTTATGAAAAATGGGATGCTTCCCTTGAACCAACCGTACGGAGCATTCTTCCTATGTATCTTTGATCCTCCGGAGCATTATCCATCCTTGCGGAAGAGGCGGTTTTCCGGCAGGAAAGGTCTTGAGTCTGTAGGACCAACATCGCGAGGAGGATTGCGTGTCCGGCATCCTTGGCCCATCCTTATCCCCCCTCCCCATTCACGGTCTGGTTTGTTCCCCACCGGCGCCTGATGTCGTGATGGTTGCTGGGGTAAAAAGACATTATCACGTCCGGTAGTCATGGCCTCATGCTATAAAGCACCTTATGTTCATCGGAGACTCTAGAGTGCGACCGTACATACGGCGGCCGCCGAAATAATAATAGCCGGCCACTCACGGAGCGCGGGTTTTTCCCACGCTAAACCGGTCTCGGGAGGCAGAGATAACCAGGAATCCAAAACTATTCCACGAGGAGGACCGCCCCCCCCGTCTGTTCTGTGTACACAACGTAATCCCTCTTCTCTCTCTCCCTAACTTCCCCCATCCCACTACCATCTCCTCCCACATCCCGCCTTCGGGACTCCCGCTCCTTGTCTTTCTTCCTGTTCGACATTTACATTCGTTTGGTATCCCCCCCATCGACGCTCGCTCTTCTCTATTCCTCATCGACTATACTCAACTACTCGACTTCTCTGCACGGTTCGACCTGACTCGCGATCAATGTCTCCAATCCCAATTTGAACCTTCGATAATCGATAGTCTGTACAATCTACTTCCCCTGATAGAGAGGGAGAGAGAGAAGGTCGCGTGAAGCCTCGTCACAAACAACTACTTACAACTACCATCCTGATGGGTAAATGTATGTCGCCTCGCTGTGTTCGATGTCGCTGCTGGATCTCCTTTGTCGACTGCTGCTAATCAACATTTCTTCACAGGGCGGTACGGTGTTATCCTGGACGCGGGTTCGTCAGGGACTCGGGTCCATATCTACAGATGGCTCAACAGCGCCCGCGCGATAAAGGATGCCGACGCAGTGGAGCTGCACAGTTTGCCCAAGTTGCAGACGAAGAAGAAATGGACCTTGAAGATCAAGCCGGGAGTCTCGACTTTCGGTGACCACCCGGCAGACGTGGGGCGGGATCACCTTCAGGAGTTGCTCGACCACGCGTTGTCCATTGTCCCCGAAGATCAGGTCGAAGATACTCCCTTATTCTTGATGGCGACAGCCGGCGTCCGACTCCTGGAGCCAATTCAGCAAAAAGCCCTCCTGGCCGAGATCTGCTCCTATGCACAGCAACACACAAGGTTTTCATTGCCCGAATGCGATTTGCATATCCAGGTCATCCCAGGAGAGACGGAAGGCTTATACGGATGGATCGCGGCAAACTACTTGTTAGGAGGCTTTGATTTCCCTGAAGAACATGCACATGGTAACGGCCACCATACCTATGGCTTCTTGGATATGGGTGGCGCTTCTGCCCAGATTGCCTTTGCTCCTAACGCGACCGAGGCCGAAAAACACGCCAATGACCTTAAATTGTTGCGCATGCGGACATTAGACGGGCAGCCATCCGAGTATAAGGTATTCACGACTACTTGGCTAGGCTTTGGAGTCAATCAAGCGAGGGAGCGCTACCTGGAAGCGCTCATGGAAGCAACGTTTACGCACGAGGCCAAAGAACTCCTGGATCCTTGTTTGCCAGTCGGTCTCAAGACGACTCTCAAAGGGGACCCGATTGGGCCCGAGACACATGTGGGATCCGATCCAATTTTGATGGGCACTGGCCGCTTCGATGAGTGCCTCCGACAAACGTACCCGCTACTCGACAAAGATGCGCCGTGCGCGGATCATCCTTGCCTCTTGCATGGGCAACACGTACCAGCAATCGATTTCAGTATCAACCACTTTGTCGGTGTTTCCGAGTATTGGCACACAACGCACGGGGTTTTTGAGGTATCGCAGAAGGACAAAACATACGATTTCACCAAATATCAGGCACTTGTGAAGGATTTCTGTAGTAATGAGTGGGAAGATATTGAAAGTGGAGTGGCTGCAGGAAAGTGGGGAAAGAATGTGGATGCGAAGACCGCCCAAGAAGTGTGCTTCAAAGCATCATGGTTGATCAACGTTCTCCACGATGGCATTGGGATACCAAGAGTTGGGATAGAGAAGGGCTCGGTAGGGCCGGGGTACAACATGACGAAAGAGATCGCGGCTCATGCCAAAGGGAAGGGGTTTTTAGATCCTTTCCAGGCCGTCGACAGGATTGATGACATGGAGGTGAGCTGGACTCTAGGGAAGATGGTCCTCTATGCTGCTGGTCAGATCCCTCCCGCTACCGCAGATGCCTTGGCTGTAGGATTCGGCAGCAATGTCGCCAATGGCCTCCCATCCGACTTCCAAGAGGCAGGGTCGAACTCGAATCCTGTACCCATTGGCGAGGACGAAGGCTTGACTGAAGCCGCCGAAGAACTTGCTGAAACGGCTCAAGAACATTCACGGTCAACAGGATTCCTTCTATTCATGCTCATCCTGATCATCGTCGGCTACTTCTTCCGAAAGCGAGAAAGGAGATTCAGACTCGTCAAAAAGATAAACACTACTCTAGGCCGCAACCGTCGGCCAGGGACCCCTCGAAAGATTGTCCGTAGTTTCTTTGGATCAGGCAAGCTCTTCGGCCGGAGTTCAAGCAATTACGAGCGTGTATTGGAGGATGGGGAAGCAGTCAACGACTTTGAGCTGGGCGAGGTGGATTTGGAAGATAACAATGACTCCTCGGATAGCAGTGAAGGCTCTCGAGTAGGGCGATCATCTGGATTGGCAACCCCAAAAGTGAATGTTATGGGTTTCGAATCGGGGAGTTATTTTGCGGACTCGCCTGTTCAGGGAGTTGGATTGGGACTTAACAATATACCCAATGCGATGGATAGAACCGGATTGGTTGTACGAACGGAGAGCAGGGAACGATTAGGACCGAATCTACAGATGCTCGGAGCAGGGAGGAGGAGTAGGACGGGCAGTCCAACAAGGATGAAGAGTCCTTTGATGAAGCCCTTGGAAGAAATGTGAACGTTGGCTGTTCACCTCGCCTATCCCCTCGCGCATCAACCGCAAGCCAGGAAGGGAGCCGGCCCCCTCTCTGCCGAGTACGTCTCCAACGAAGATATGTCAGGAGAATTAGCATCATACACTAATGGGTGGCGCTCTTGTTTTTGGGCAATGGAGTTCATGTTGGTCCCTGATAGGAAGGTCTCTCCTATAAGGTGTTTTGGGTTTATCGATAGCTTCCTCTTGTATATAGATAGACACGTAGGGTAGAATTTTGAACAAACAGCTCCGAGAGTAGGAGTTCTAATTGAAAACATGTCACATGGAATTATTGCTTGAGTGTTGATGGCGTGACTGATGATACACATCTCTTAGATTGAATTCGTTGTTTTTTTTGGCACAAGGCCCACAGCTATTGCTTCATATAGTGAGATGGCCCATAGGGATCAACTCCTCCCATCATCCCAAATAGGACATATGCTTCCCCCAAATAGACATACATACACGCCTCTTCTCCCATGCACCTCCTATCCTACAACACACACCCACCCAACCTAACGCCCTGCAAATAAAACAAAACCCTCCAGTTCCCCCTCTTTTCCTTCCCCCTCAAAATCAATCTGCATCCCTCTGCAAAAAGCTCGGATCCGTCCTAACCTTGGCCTCGAACTTCTTCCACCACTCCTCAAACGCCTTCAACGGCACGACCTCGACACCGCCGGCCGTATTCCCACTAAAGCTCGCCAGGAAATTGAACGCGTTCTTGATGATCCGCTGAGCCAGCAGCGTTGGATCCGCGGTGGCCGGGGTCGCGCGATTCGCTTTCACGAGCGCGTTGTTCTGCTCGGGCTGCTGCTGCGCTGCCATCTGGGCGGCTACGGCAGCAGCATCCTCGATTGAGATCCCCAGCGTGAGCGTAGTTGGTGGTTCGGAAGAGGAGGAGGTGGTGGTGGTGCTAGAAGAGGGGTTGTTGGAGTTGAGAAGGCCGGAGATCTTGAAGATGGCGCTTTCTTTCCCGGGGCCGATGGCGCCGAGGAAATTGAACGCGGGGCTGGTGGCGGAGGGCGACGGCACCTGGAGATAGATGGCGGCGGCGGTGTTGGGTGGCAGGGTGACTCCTGGGAGGAGGAAGACGACGAGGTGCGTGGAGTCGCGGGTCGTGGGGAGGGTGTAAACCAGCGAGGTGGGCGTTGGGCAGGCGGTGGGTGTGGTAATGGGAGGGAGGCCCGTGGGGATTATACCGAAGAGTTGGGGGAGCGGTTGGGCTTGCTCGGCCATGGTTTTTTTTCGTAGGGTTGTCTGGCTGGAGTGGTGAAGCTGCTGCTGGAGGAGGAGCTGGGGATGGAGGATAGCTTGAGCAAGCAAGCTACCAGTGAAGGCGTGGCGATTGGTGAGGTGCGGCGCGTGAGGATTATACTGGCTGGTTTGGAAGAATTAATTGAGCGGTCATGACTTATATATGTAGGTGTCGAGCTGATGAAGAGCCAGGAGGTTGGTTGACGCTCGAGTTTATTTGTTTATACGTCGTTAACTTTTATTGATGGTGGGGTTGACTGAGGGGATGTGGGGTCAGAAGCGACGCGATTCTTCACGAATCCAAATAGAACATCCTCGTGCAAGGGTCCTGGGACAGCAAAGGGCGAGGGGTATCATAGGATACGGAATCACCATGAAGTCGAATTTGGACCTGGTCAATGAGTGTGATGTGTAAGTCGAATTCTCCTCTTGCGGGTGCTTTCTCGAGGGACGGCTGTCCCCTCGCACGAGAGGTCGAGCGAATAGCCTCATGCACGTAGGTTTGGGATTCAACCATTGAGGAGATCAATGCAGGCAAGTGAGGTTATAGGAGCATGCATCAACTACTATACAATCCAAGTTCGAATTCTTCCTCTCTACAGCACTAATCCCACTCCAACCTCTCACTCACATGGCACAGCTTCCCCTATCCGGACAAAGACCCAGAAGCCTACGCCGCACTCTTCAAGACGCTGTACACCCTCGTCTGGGACGATGTACCTATCGGCTACATGCTCGAGAGCGTCGTCGACCAGCTGAAGCAAGTCCCCGTCAGCATCAAAGGCGAGCTCGAAGCCAACCGCTTCACGCGCACCGTGTCCATCTTCCGGCACCTAGACACGGAAGAGGAGCGGGACAAGGCCGTAGCGGCCACCACGGCATACTGGCGCGACCACAAGACCTTTGAGCTTCTTTCCGGATGGAGGAATGAGTTGTATCCTGTGTACGGCCCGGGGAATCGGCGGCTGTTTAGCGTGGAGAGATCGGCCAGCACGCTGTTTGGCATCGTTACGTATGGCGTCCACATGACGGCGTTCGTGAGGGATCAGAATGCGTCGTATGGTTTGAAGATCTGGGTCCCGAGGAGATCGAGGGGGAAGCAGACGTATCCTGGTGAGTCTGTTCGCTCTACCCCATGCCTCCTGGGGAAGGCCGGGGCCCCAGCCTATGAACGATCATCCTGGGTTCTGAGGAGAATGGCTTCTGAGTCGATATGACCCGGAACTCTGGTTATAGCTCTCCACTGTTCAATTGGTCGCTTCTTGGTTAGGTAATTGCTGATGTTCATCTTCTAGGGATGCTGGATAATACAGTAGCAGGCGGCATGGCCACAGGAGAAGAACCCTTCGAGTGTCTCGTCCGCGAAGCCGACGAAGAAGCCAGCCTGCCCGAGCAGCTCGTCCGGCAACACGCCCAGCCCCAGGGCACCCTGACCTACATGTACATCCGCGGAGGGCAGGCCGGCGGCGAAGAGGGCATGATCCAACCGGAGTGCCAATACGTCTACGATCTCGAACTACCCGCCGACGTCGTCCCCAAGCCAAACGACAGCGAGGTCGAAGCCTTCTATCTGTGGACCGTCGAGGAGGTCCAGGAGCACCTGGCTAAGGGCGAGTTCAAACCGAACTGTGCGCTCATGGTCTTGGATTTCTTTATTAGGCATGGTATCTTGACGCCGCAGAATGAGAAGGATTTCGAGGAGATTAAGAGTAGGCTTCGTAGGGAGTTGCCGTTTCCAGGGCCACATAAAGCCTAGGATTGATGAGATACGCCATTAAGCACGTTTTATGAGTTGACCGTCTGGAGTTAAGTGACAGACGGATGATGGGATGATGATGAGGAATTGGCCTGAATATACAACTACCTTTACTGCAATTCGTTGAAGTCTGGAGGCGGTTGATGCATGTCACATGATAAAGGTCACAGAGAATTAAAGATCACAAAAACCAACCACACGGAGCTCAGAGATATATTCTTTCTTTCAATTGTACCATATTGTGGGAAAGGTATCTTGTGCCCAACGCCCAGCTTTTGATATCCATAACGCCTGACCGGCCTACAACCAACCGGTGATATGCATGAGAAAAGAAAGGCATGAGTGCGTATCGTGAGATCGTCATGTCGAAATGTAAGCCAGCAAGTAGAGGCTAAAGAAAATCAATCATTTCTTGATGAGCATGTAGAGGTAGTCGACGCGTAACGGTGTAAGCTTCTTGTAAGGACCCTCAAGCGCCAGAAGTAAACCACCAAATGAAACATATGCTTTGCTGTCAAAAATATTAGCTTCTGGATAAGGGAATAGAGCGGACGAAAACCTACATCGTCTGTCCAGACTCGTCACCATCCTCGAACTTGTAGAGCTTGCCATGGCAGACGTAGTCAAACATATCAGCTAGTGTTGCCTCCCCTCCATGTCCAGCGCGACCGACATCCCTCCAGCCCTTGTTATCGTCTTTGCTGCCGTCCAACGCCAAAGATGATGCGAGAACCATGTGTATGGACTCGCCAACAGACAGCGGATACAAATCGGTGTTGATGTCGAGCGTCATGACGGTCTGAGAATCCGAAGAAGTTGCGCCAATCCGTGCAACGCGATCATACTTGGACTGATCAAAAGTCGTAATGGTAAAATTCTCATCAAAGAGAGTCGAGTCGCCGGCGGCCGCCATGCTGAAGGAGATCAAGGGTAGGAAAAAAGATGGGTAGCAAAGTGTGAGGGTGCGCGCAAGTCGTCGAGAAACAGCTCTCGAGTTTGCGGTTACTGAGCAATTGACTGCGTATCAGGGGAGCTAATACTCTCGTGCTCGGGGAGGGGGACAATCTTCAGAATATCTTCTTCTTGATTGAGAGGGGTATCGCCGTGTGCGCTTTCGATTGCCCGTTCGAAGCAGCCGGGGGTTGCGTCGAAGAGTTTGATCAGTCCGAGGGCGTCAATGAGAAGTTGAAAATCCTTCAGCTCTTTGGCCTCCTTGTTCGCAATCAAACAGCGCTGTTCAGCGTAGTCGAATATCTTCTGACGCTTCTGGCCTGGAGTTCCTGGACCGTAGTGGTTTGGGACCGGCTGGCGGTTCAAAATATTTTGAGGACGCCACTGGCTGCTCTCGCTCGCCGTAGCTGCAAGGCTACACTCGCTCGTGGTGCTGTTTCTCCTCGAGAAATCTTTGCCCGAGGCAGGATCAAAGAAGACCATAGCCGACCACTGTTCAGCGTCAAACATCGTGATTGGTGCTTCGAGATGTCTTTTAGGAAGAGAAATGTCGGTGTTGCGCAGCCTGGAGATCAAGCTGCTGGTAGGGTCAAAAGTGAGGGGATTCAGCAGCCTGGTCTTCGGCCTTCCCCTGTGGACGGGAGGTTGACGACTTCAACTGGAACGAGATCCCTCGATGCTTTACTAGCTGGTCATGCTGGGTTAGCTTTGGGGACTTCTTTGCTTGTAGAAGAAAGTGGTACCACTGATTTCGGAGGTGCTCTACTTCGCTATTATGCCGCCGAAGGTGTAGTTCAAGGACACAATGTCCACGTTCTTGGTATCGGCGAGGCGTGGGGCAGAGATCTTCCTGGATTGTCTGGTGGTGAGAGTGCAACAAATAAAGAAGAGAGAAAGAATCCAGAAGAGAGGATGAAAATTGCCTGGAGATATGAACGACTAGGTGAATTTGGGGGCTCGAGAGGTGGGCACTCCCTTGCTATTGTACTTAGGCCTATATTCACTTGGAATCAAAACTTCGCCTGCAGAGACTGATTATTTCTACTGAACAGACAGAAGTATATCACAATCATCAGGGGCATCATCTAGCTCACAGACACAGTCGATATTCTGTCATGACTTTGATCTCAGCAAGCGTCTTATCCTGCCTTCCTCAGCAAAGATGCACTTCGTTCCTACATCACTCCGGCCAAGTCTCGACTTTACAGATGCCGAAGCAGCATCAGCTCCTTTCATTAGATTTTTGACCCATCTCTCAACACAGCTGTCATCATCTCCGAGCTCAATCCACCGGGTTATCATCCCGACTCTCCTCTCCCCAGCATTGTATTCATCCGATGCTTCCAAACCTGAGAACGTCTTACAATTTCTCCATGCCCTTCGAGCACTGCTCCGGAAGTATCCAGCACAGCTCACAGCAATGATCACACTGCCTTTGACCTTGTACCCACGAACAACGGGTCTAACTCGCTGGATGGAGTTGCTCAGTGACGGCGTACTGGAACTTGCCCCATTTCCCTCCACGGCTATAGCAGTGAAGGCTGCTCCTGGAGCATCGACTGTGCACGAGGAACCTCCACAAGGCATGCTGAAAATCCATCGCTTGCCAGTGTTCCACGAGAAGGGAGGAGGCGGAGGGGAGTCGAGTGGATTTGGTGACGACTTGGCTTTCACGCTCAGTAGAAGGAAAGGACTTGTCATAAAACCCTTCAGTCTGCCCCCTGTTGAGGGAGATTCGGAGGCCCAGCAAGGAGCATTGGAAGGAGATCACGGGAAGGCTACAAAAGCCGACATCGATTTCTGAGGTTGGGATTCATGCATAGCACGGTGTTGGGAGTTCAAAATCAGCTTTCATTAGAATCAATCGAGCCTCGAGGGCTGTCACCGAGCATATCGGTCATTTCAAACTGGTTCCATGTGCCTTGTCCGCTTGAAGTGACGGACCTCATATAGTTCCGATCAAAAATGGCTTGACGGGGGTTGACCGTGACGTTTGAAAACCGTAGTCGAAAGCTATCTCCAAGACAGGAAGATAGAATCAGCCATGCTATAACGACTTGTCAGCTCGGGGAGAGGGAGCTCAGGAGTCCAAATCACATGCCTACGAATAGCACTAGGGGTATTGCTAGTAGTGGCACAAGCAGCCAAAGCGATGCCATTATGAATCAAGATGGGTTACTTGACTGCGTTCAGAACCAACTTTGCTCTCTTGATTTGAGATCTGGTGTCGTCCCTACTGTAGAAGTGGACCTATGGAGTGTATATTGCCAAGTGAGGTTAAATTCAAGCGGGCCTTAGGTAAATTTAAGCGAGTTTTTTTCCTGATTCGGTACAAAAACTTTCCTCCAAAACCCCAAGGCTCCTCCACATCAACTTCAAAAGAAATTCACAACAAGGACATTTGAAAGCTTTTGGTAAGCCACTCAATCTCTCTTCTGAATGTTTCACCCTCTTCGATATGATTACAAAACCTATCTGTCAATCCCCTGAAACCGGATAATTTCTGGGAATGATGTCAAACTTTTATTATTGTGTATTTAATGATCCATCGTCCTACACCTTTATTCTGTCCTTCAAAGTCTGCACACGGCTCTGTACTGACTTGAGGATCCATTTAGTGACTGCCTCGGGGCGAGCAGAGCTACTACAATGTCGGAGTCATTTGCCCCAATTTCGGAGCCAATACCAATCCCTAAGATTGCTGGCCGATATTTGCTATTCGACGTCAATGTCGTAACTTACCTTCGCAGTACTTACCATATCTGCGGGGTCCTCATCGGTAGCATCCCGCAGATTCCCCAGCAGAATGTGTTCCTTGGTCTTCCCCTTGAGCTCATGCCCGAGGAAGCCAAGCTTCTAGTGGAGAAGGAGGTCGCATATATTGTCGATGATGTTGCTTGGCACAAGGAGAGGTTCAATACTCTAGAGGGGTCTGACAAGAAGAAATACTTGGAGTCTCTTAGATCTAAAGGCCTTGAGGCCAGAAGGATTGCGGAAGGCGTGTCGCGGAAGAAGTCAGAGAACGCACTTGCTAAGCAAGCAGCTCAGAGAAGAAGGAAAGCCGTTGAAGCTTCGGCTGAAGATCACAACACAAATGAAGACACCACAGATGGTGCTGCCTCAGAATCACTATTCAACGATGTGCGACCTGCATCTCGAGCATCGTCTGCCCCCTCCACATCAGACACGCCCTTCCCTGTAACGCCGACCACCAGTTACTCCCCTTCCTCCCTGCCGGAAAATCCAACACCGCAGGCAGATCCTCCTGTCCCATCGTCCTATCCCTTGTTCAAACATCTACACTCCCGTAACTATTTCGTCATGCCTGGGCTTCGTTTTGGGTGTGATTACAACGTGTATCCTGGAGATCCGTTGCGCTTCCACAGCCACTTTTCAGCTACAAGTTACGATTGGGATGAGGAGTTCTCGATGATAGATTTGATCGGAGGGGGGCGGTTAGGGACCAGAGTCAAGAAAGCCTTTCTCATCGGTGGGAAAGACCCGTGTGTCGAGCCAGACAAAGGGGACAGCGTCAGAACGTTTTGCATCGAGTGGGGTGGCATGTAAGAGTAGCAGACAGGTGCACAGCAACGGAACGTGGCATTACCTTAGATACCCAAAATAATCAATGAATGATGGAATTCTACATACATTAATGAAAGCAACTGCCCATGATGATATTATTACCTACCTTATGATATGACCATAACGTATAATATATATGTGTGATATAGAACATAACCTTTAAAACAGGGGCCTGTCGGCTGAGGGTGGGCGCCGCGGTTCTAGGCCGGAGTTTGCGGCGGGATGTGGGGAAGCGCAGCAGCGTCACATCATCCTCCGCGACTCTAGTTCCATGAGCTTTCTTGATCCTACCACGACCACGACAAAGAGAGAGTCGCGACAACGAGCTTGATGGTGAGGAGATCTTGGAGTAGATCTTGCTTGTCGATTCGATCTAGATGATGCGGCCCCCTTTCCACCACTAATGATTCACTGTCTCCCGCGCCTCCTCTAGACCCTAGACCCTGATCTGATCATCATCATCCCGCCACTCCCCTCGCCGTCTCCAGGCTTCGAACAAGCCTTCACCCACAGACACCATGGCTGCCACGGCCGTCGATAACGCCGGAAGGTTTGACATGCCTTCGTGGGCCAACTGGACTGCCGTCAACGTCACGCAGTATGTCCCGTCGGCCAGAGATCTGGCGCTCGCGGGACCGAGGATGTTCATGAAGCTCGGATCGTTCCTCTCAGTCCCAGAAGCTATCGGTGCGAGGATGGGCCAACGGACTATACCTGAAGCTACGGGGTCTGTTCATGCTGCGACGACTGCTGCAGTTGCTGCAGGAGCGGTACGAGAAATCGCACAGTCTGGGACGGAGATACTGGTGGATGTGGACGACCAGGGCGGTGGCATCGCCTCGCGATTCTCAATAGAGGGCGCACGAAGCCTAGGAAGCGTCTTCAGCTACGCAACCAGCAAGTGGGCTTTGTGCTGCATGGTAATGGCTGTTGTCATCAACCGCACATACATCTATGCCTCAACGCGGCGGAACCTGTATCTTCCCTGGAAAGTACGCCTGACATTACGCATCGTCCCAATCGTCCTCCTTTTGGTCCAGGCTCGGTCTCTTCTTCAGTCAATACAATGCCAGACGTCCCCAGACTTTGCCATGCTCCGCTGGGGCAATGCATCCAAATCCTCGGAGTTGATGTTTACACAAAATGGGGGTCTGCTACACACCATTAGCTCTACGCTTACGTTTGGAGCAACAGATGCCGAGTCATGTCTTGCCGTGCAGATGATTCCCCCTCCTTATGACGAGGACATCGCTAAAGCATCGCCAACTGGGGAAATGCCCACACCGGAATTGACAGGATCATTATCCCTCCTCTGGCCTCTTTTCAAGACCTTTAGTTTCAGTCAGCTGGTTGAGACTATTTCTTGTGCCGTTCAGGGCCGCCAAGTAGCAGCCGAGACTGGAATGACTCTTTTCGAACACTCTTTAGCCTTTGCTGAGGCCGATGGCGCCATAGGCCAGCAGCTGGGATGGGGCTCTTTCGGAGGCACAAAGATCGCCCGTAGTGTGTCGAATACTACCGGTGAGGAAACCCAGATTGCTATCACGCGGTCAATGATTATGAAGAGGGTCAATACCACTCCCGAAGTGCTTCTTGTTGGTTTTTTCTCGGCGATGAATCATCTCACAAGTCACATACTTGCAATTTTCAATCTACAGGGACGTTTACGCCTCATCAATACTGGCTTATGGGGCCTATCTTTCATGTCCATCATTGTATGGAGTATCTGGACCTTCTCGGTTGAGGACGCTTCCAATCAAAGCTTGCTTAGATTTCCCACTGTCTGTATCGTCGGTTTTATTCCCCACGTGCTGGTTTTATGTGGAATCATTGCCTGCTCGGCCATTTATGGTACAGCTTTGGTCTTGTCCGCTCTAGCACCCCCGGATCCTCGTGAGGGAACGTCCGACCTTGACGATAATCTGCAATCGCGTGCCTCATTCGTGCGGAGGCTGAAACGAGCACATCAAAATATGCAGGCCAATGTCCCGCTCTCAAGTGTTCGAATCACCATGCACATGGACTTCTATACGGCCTTGTTGAGAACCGGTTTCAGTGTAATGACTATGGCGAGTGAAGCTGTGTATTTGAACGAAAGCCGTGGAGTCAGCGTGAAGCAACGGACATGGTTGGAAGAGGAACGCCTGCGAGAAATCGAAACTGCCGGGGCTCAATGGCTAGGTCCCAGTTTCCGAGCTTACGATCTTCATTCGCCTTCCGGCGATGGTTTGTCTGACAACATTGGACTCGTAGCTGCGAAAGGACAGCCGAATGGTCTTCTTAAGCATTCGTCAAGTGGATACGCCAGGGAGATGACGGCACAGAAAGTGACCAAGCTGAAAGGCCACGACCGCATGATTCGGGATGGAGTCGGTGCAACAGAACGAAGCGGGAGATGGATTATGGCATTGGAGTTCTTCTTGGGCATCAACAGACTGGTCCTTAGCTGGTGGGCATCCCTAACTCTCAAACTTCTCGCCAAGATGGGGGTACAGAGTCGTCCACCTCTGCTTCTTTGGTTGGTGAGAAGACCGAAGAAGGGTCCAGAAGCCACAGCTCAGGATAGCAACGACGCTGACTCGTTAAATTTCTGGCTTCTTGGTACTGACGGAGAGTTGACACTACCGAAGGATGAACACGTTGACGTCGAGGCTGAGATGAGGAATCGGATGCAGAGCAGTCAGCCTCACTGGGATGACACGGAAGAGAAAAAGCTGGATGCCAATTTATATGGTTGGTGGCTGAATGGTGGATGGTGGGGAAGTGATGATGCTAGTGGGACCTTTACACCAAATCGAAAGGACGTTGATGAGGACACCACAAGTATCGTATCATTTTCTACGACGGCTAGCGAAGCGGATTGGGAGTCGGATGATGCAGACGATGGACGAAGAACGCCCACCCAAAGATCTCCTCACCCATCTCGGGAATCATCCCCTTTCATCGATAACCCGCTAGATCCGGCAGACCTGGCACAACTTCTGCATCCGAGGACACCAGAGCAACGAACCGAAGCCCAAGTTCTTGCTGCCCATCTCGCGAGCGACAATATCATCACCCGCTCTAGATTCCGTGATGTTATTCAACGAGATCGAACTAAGGTCCTGACCTCCACTTCCCTGCGTCCACCAGGTTTTGTTCCTTCCTCGCAATCCGGCAAACTCACCCCAGAAGAGGAAGCCGAGATTCTAGAATACCTGATCATCACTCGACGCAATTCCCAGAACGCCACATCATCCAACCAGCCAACATCCTGGGCAAAGGGTGCATCTGGAATGGGAGAAGGTGGACCTCAGTGCGTAGTTTGTCAGAGCTCTCCTCGCAGCATCATCGTCTGGCCTTGTCGATGCTTGAGTCTGTGTGACGATTGCCGAGTCACGCTTGCTATGAACAACTTTGATAAATGCGTCTGCTGCAGAAGAGACGTCGCCTCATTTTCGAGGATTTTTGTGCCATAAGCCGGCGCGATATGACTATACTATCAAGGCATTTTTCATTTCAGGCAATGGATAGCGAATTGTCATTTGAGCAAGGGTCATCGTAATTGGAGTTTGGCAGCATAAACAAGGTCTTTCCACGGGTAGCGATTGTAACATGGATTTCATCCATTTATTGGTGTACTGGTAGCTTTCTAGGGCTGTACGATTTAGATTCCCTCTGCCTCACACTAAGACGTAGGCAAATCTTATACTTCTTCCAATACCATCATGCTATCATTTTACAGTGTCAATCATCCAGGGGTTTTACCTATCGAATGCTGGACCAACATAGGTAGGGTTGTACTATATATAAGACGTCTATTATCAAGTGCAACTCATAGTTTATTGAGGGGTCAATTAGGTATCTACTACTGCAGAACCATTGAAAAGCTCACCGCTAGACATTCAAAGTCCGCAATCCTGCTGGTAATATTCAAGAAGCCACAGACAACCTGTTTTATGAGCTTCGATGGAAAATGTTACACCAGCAGTGTAAAACGTTACAGCTCTATGTATCACTTTTTTTTGTGGATATTTCATTCTTTTAGGGCTTTTGATTAACGTACCTTATCCTTCATGCTGTTTCCCCAACCTGTCCCTCTCTTCTCCCCTTTTTCTAAGCGAGCAGAGTAAAACCACTTTCAGTAAATGATACATAATATTTCAGAGACTAGAGCATCCATACTTTTTCAACTCAGACTGATTGTTGCGGTTTCTGGCTCTACCCAAAGTTCCCATTCTTGTAATTCCACTGTTCGCCTTTCTCCCATCCCAGGTTTCCAGTAGACGGTTGAGAAGCGTGCAGCCCCGAGCCACCACCATCCCCACCCGCCATCTGAGAAGTCGATGTCTCCAAAGCCATCATCTTCGACTTTCTCAACTTCGCCAACGGGATCTCATCCTCGGAGTCTCCAAAATCAGTCACGCTCTCACCACTACTCTCAAAGTCATCGCTATCCTCCCTCTCCCTCTTCACCACGCTCCTCTCCCGCTTCCTCTCCTTCTCCTTCTTCTTCCCTTTGAGCTCCTCCTCGTCATCGTCGCCTTTGACGTCCTTCCCAGAATTCACTCGCTTTCGCTTCTTCCCCGCTTCGGCGATCTTCTCGACTACCTTGTCCGAGGGGAACGGCGTCCCGTGCGTCCCGATCAAAGTCCCGGACTCGATCTGCCGACGCAGGCGCGTGTAGCGCATGCGCGCGGCGGGAGGCTTGAGATTCGTCGAGGCGCCGACGGCGGTAAAATCTATCTGTGGGAGGGTATCAGTCCTGAGCTCAAGGAGGAAAAAGGTTGGAGAAAAGGTTGGGGGGGGGGGGGGGCGCTTGTGAGAGAAGACCTACAGATTTCAGATCGGATTTTTGGAGGCAGATGTAGAGAAACCAGAGGTTTTCGTCGAGTTGAATCTTGGAAGGCATGCCAGCTGATGCCTTGGAGGACTGAGACTAGAAAGCCGGAAATGGGATGAGAGATTTGGGAGTTGAATAGGTGGTTTGGAATTGTACTGCGCTGTTTGGTTTGAGAGCAGGTAAAGTGGGCATTGGAAAGATCAGGTATAGATGGGAACAAGAGAGGTGCAGATTCCTTATAGGCATGAGGGGCAAAAGGAATTTGGCCAGGATTGTAGCAAACAATCTCTGATGTAGTTTGCTTCTCCTGCTGATATACCGTTACCAGCAGACCAATAAACAAACCACAGAAAGGGATATTCGGTGACGGATACTTGCATGCTGTGTGCGATATGCATGCTGATATGACATGTCATTACACCTTACAGAACCGCCTGATACTCTGAACCAGATGTCGGACTCCACCGCTTCATGCAGAACATCCCAACGCCAGAGACCCTTTGGCCTTTGCAACCCTTTTTTTTGATGTGAACGCCAATCCATAAGCCACACAAACCCCACAGCTTTCATTATCGTCTAATTTTCATATCCGCAGTTTCCTTCAATGCCCCAACAAGCACCCTATGTGCTCCTAGGGCCGCCTGTACAGCATTATCCGCAAGGTCCTCATATGAATAAGTTTGGAGTAAAGATCTCTGGTTCTCGTGCCCAATATCTCCCTTGACCCAAAGATCCGTGATTTCATCCCGAGAAGGTAGATAAGCCACAACGCAAGCAGCGACTATCTCCTGGTGCTCGGAAGGCGCAGGATCCAGTACCAGAATCGTTGGAGATGGCTTCCCTATGTCTCCAGAACCCCGAACCACAGCAGCGACCCCACCAGCAACAACATCCACACAGTCGATTCCAGCATCCGCAATGGCGGCAGAAGCAACCGTTATGCAACCGCTGAGAACAGTCATCATTCCCCAATCCCCAGAGCCGCTTGATCCTCGTCCGCGGTCATCCCCCCACCATTGATCCTCCTCACCTTCTAGAATCGTGATGATAACCTCCACTCCACTTTTGGGCCATCTGTCTCCGATTATTACCCCTCTTAACGCAGTCTCTAAATGTACGCCTAGATCCCTCTCAGTGGAATCTCGAACGTAGCCTCGCCTCTTCCTCGTAGCAAACGGCGCATACTTGACGTGCGTCGTGAGAATGATATGGGGAGAGAAGGGCGCGGATTTGGGTAGAGGTCGAGGTCCGTGGACGGTGCAAGTAAGCTTCAGGCCAGAGGTAGAAAGAGAAGCAAGACCGGGCGCTACGGCTTTTTGGTTCTTCAAAGCTTCAAGTTCGAAGTAAGCCGATCCCGAAGCTGAAGGAGTGACACCTGTCTTCAAGACTGTGAAGTGTTAGATAAGAGCTACTAGCAGAAATGCTTCGTACATACACATTTTCCTGAGCACATTTGGGGCTCTGGTTCTTGTGGGCCTGTCCAGGTCGCTCGCATCTTTGGTGAGGTATTTGGAGTAGACTGGCGCCGACGTGCCGCCAGAAGGGCCGTTTATTCTCCTCCTGTCCGTCATTTTGAATTAAAGGCAATGCGAAGTTGCTATGCTCCCATTCCCGAGTTGCAACTTATGGGTTTCTGAGAGTATCTCGTCAAGAAAAGTCCCAGGCGCAAGATGATTGGTTGGCGCTTGTTTGTTAGCGTTAGTGCATGGGTCGAAAGCTGCTTAAAATCCAAAATATTTTCGCCAAAATGCTTTGAGCTTCAATTCTATTCAATCCCACACAATGGTTTTGTGCACCATCCAGACAATCAACTCGGGTCTATGGAAGCATGGCAAAGATGTGCCTGTTGCTTGATCTCCTGATTATTGCTAACTTAGCAGCACCATTCAACTGACCTTATAGCATTGTGAGTCCCAACCCTTTGTTTCCTCCCTCTGCTCCTGATGATTTCTTTTCACAACAGTTCTTGGTGATTTCCTGAGCCACTGAACAAACATGCATCACCATCTGAAGCATCTCTATACCTCTTGCTTCTGCCACCTATTGCAGGTTTCGGGTGCTAACAGCAAGCCAGAGCACGACGACTTTTTTTTAACAAACCTTACCAAAGGGCTCCAGTGATGTTGGGTTCCATACATGGCCGAAGAGGATGGGCACATGAGTGATGGGTCTCTGGTAAGCTCAATTTCCATACGCCTGAGTGCTTTGAAGCTCGTCCTTTTATGATGAAAAACCTTTTAATCAGTTCTGCTTCTGAACTTCTTGATGACAACCAAAATACCAAAACTTTTCTGAAAAGCTTACACCATCCTTCTATTGTTTTACTTCTCTAAACCCAACAGTTTAGCTGACCATCACAAAGTCTAGATTCGCAGCTGCCCCACCTCATCCCGACATCGAACTGAAGGTACGATTTACAATATTTCTCAGCCACACTCTGCCCTGATGACAACTAGCTTATCCATTCAATGAGTGCGTCTTGGCCGAGCCCCCCTCCCGCACCTTACCAGTTGATTTACGTCGGCTGGGATGACGGGTTGTGGAGTGTGGGGTTTCAGTGCTTCAGGTCCTCTGCAAGACGTCTTGTAGTGTGGAGGTCTGAGGCCGGTTGAGGTGCCTGAGTAAACCGGCTTTTCTGAGCACCCTTTGATATTATTCAAGCATTTTGAAACCCGAGACATATCAGAATGCTGACATGTTTTGCCAACAGAAACCTTCAAAACCTCTGGAGGCCTCCTTGTGGATTAGTGGGGGGACTCTGAAGATGGCACATTGATGTATCCAGGAGACGTGTCTTCCTGTGTTCCTGTCCATATAGGTGCTTGACACCTACCTAGATACTGTACTGTAGTAATGTGTGTATTTCTGAATGCTAAAGAACTTCGAAACTAGACTCCCTCGCGGGCTCCAAGACCCAATTACCTATTTAATCCCTGTCCAGCCCGTGCCCCTTTGCCTGCTTTCTTCTCTACCTACCTTGGATCTAACTCCTGTGTATTACTATAACCTCCCTATTTACCTCTAGACGTTGAGATTCTTATTAGCCATCACCATGTTGTTATTAGTTGCGCAGTGTTTTGAATTGATGCTACGGCGTACTGTAGCGAGACTCTTGGCGTTTCTCCCATTCGGGATATTTCTTAAGTTGTACACCAGCTGCGAATACTCCGTAATCTCCAAATCCACAACACCACCACCTCTCTCACATCATTGTCAATCACGAGTGGTACGCTGGTTGCCCATGCCACCTACGCCGCAATTTACGACCATCGCCTGACCGAACCTGGTCGATTCCTGAGCATTGGGCAAAGAGCCCCAGGGGTTGGACTGACTCGTGTCGGCGCAGTGAGCTCGACAGATCGTGCAAATCGCCAAACTGGCAAATACACACATCTTAGCCAACCCCTTCTCGATTTGAAGTTCGAGGCCTCTCTTTTTGAATGTTGCCCTCATATGCATCTGCATCTTCTCCGAAGATGATGCCACGGCATCAAGCGGGGGCCTACTCGAATGGGTATCCACGAGCCAAGAGCGACACATATTCCATTTCTCCCCATAGGTACGTACAATACAGTTCACGCTCCCAATCCGCGCTGCCTCCCTCACAAAGACGCGCAAAGATACTGACCGCGACACGTCGTGTATCTAGGTTCCAGCCAAGGACTTCACCTCCAGCCCTTCGACGGCGACGCCAACTTCTCGTTCGATTGACCATCGTTTTAATAATAACCACGCTTTTTGGATTCTTCTTATGGCCCGGCGCCTCCATACTCCCAGTCCTTTCGTTCGGCCTGCTTTCTTCAGGCGAGGACTTTCAACTTGAGACTGTGCGATACTACGATCTTTCCAATGTCCAAGGGACCGCGAGGGGATGGGAAAGGGAGGAGCGAATCCTGCTTTGCGCCCCCCTTCGAGACGCCGAATCTCATCTACGGATGTTCTTTTCGCACCTGCGCAACTTTACATACCCTCACCATCTGATTGACTTGGCCTTCCTTGTATCAGATTCCAAGGATAGAACGCTTCCCCTGCTCTCTGAGCTTCTAGAGGAGCTTCAGGCGGATTCAGACCCAAAGCAGCCATTCGGGGAGATCTCGATTATTGAGAAGGACTTCGGACAAAAGGTCAATCAGGATGTCGAAAGTCGTCACGGATTTGCAGCGCAGGCAAGCCGAAGAAAGTTGATGGCCCAGGCGAGAAATTGGTTGCTGAGTGCTGCCTTACGCCCGTACCACAGTTGGGTTTATTGGAGAGATGTGGATGTCGAGACCGCCCCGTTCACCATCCTTGAAGACCTCATGCGCCACAATAAGGATGTCATCGTACCAAGTGAGTTTAATGAATCTTGTGCAACATGCTGTATCATAACTAATTTATGTCCCAGACGTTTGGCGCCCTCTTCCTGATTGGCTTGGCGGCGAACAACCATATGATTTGAATTCATGGCAAGAATCTGAGACGGCGTTGGCTTTGGCCGACACTCTCGATGAAGACGCCGTTATTGTCGAAGGTTATGCAGAATATGCAACATGGCGACCGCATCTTGCTTATCTAAGAGACCCTTACGGAGACCCTGATATGGAAATGGACATAGACGGTGTTGGAGGTGTCAGTATCTTAGCCAAGGCTAAAGTGTTCAGATCTGGGGTGCATTTCCCAGCGTTCAGTTTCGAAAAGCACGCTGAAACTGAAGGTTTCGGAAAGGTTAGTCACACCTGCTTGTGCAACCCTTATACAATATCTAACATTGAGTAGATGGCAAAACGGATGCAGTTCTCAGTAGTTGGTTTACCCCACTACACCATTTGGCATTTGTACGAGCCAAGTGTTGATGATATCAGACACATGGAGGTTTGTTAGCTGTTTCGCACATCTGATTGGTAATTAACAGTGCTTTAGGAAATGGAAGCAGAGCGCATAGCCCGTGAGAATGAAGAAAAGGAACGCCTCGAGCGGATGAATAAGATCAAAGATCAATTTGCGGATCCAAATGGTCAATGGGAGAAGGACAAGACGGACATTCAAAACGAGGCAATGAGGGAGAAGGCGAACGAGGAGAAGGCTGCAAAGGAAAGAGAGGCAGAGCAGAAAGCTGCAACCGAGGACACGAAACCAGCTGTGGCTGCAGGTCCTGTTCAAGCCGACAAAGAAGCAACTAAACCGCAGGAAGCTGTTCAGGTGAGAATTCCCTAGTTTTAGTGTGAGTTTTATTATGCTGACAAACTTCAGGAGTCTACGCCGAAGTCTACGCCGGAATCTACGCCGGAGTCTAAGCAGGTGTGAGGCCTCTGGTGATGCGATATGAGTGACTTGGGGAGACTCACTTCACAGAGAATGAGGGACTTCAATAATGCTGTAGGGATATGAGCCTACGAACGTCTCCTTACAAACGGAAATGATCTGGCGCGGAGTTAGGATTGTATAGCGCTGGGCCACGGGATTCTAGCATTCTTGCCATAACATAAAACGGAGCGTGGTTAGGAAGCTTGCCGTCAGAGTGTACTTAATATGGGTTAGAGCTCTGTAAAACTAGATGGGAAACATGTTGAAGCGATAACTACGATATGCCCGTACTTGTCTCTGCCCTTCTACTGCCGTTGAGTTGAATCCCCTTGCAACATTTAATGGCCATGTAAGAATGATGTAGATTCTGCGTTTCGTGTCATTTCACCGTTGTGTCACGTGCCATCGAAAGAGCCACGGTACCTTTTGAGGCTCAAGGCGACGCCTGGCGAGTTTGGCCAATTGAGGACCATTTGTCCAATCTCTCAACATCAGCAGTAAGATAACCCGTATAGTTGCCCTGCTGGTCGGATGTTCTGCGCCAAAGCGATCTGAAGGCTACGTTCTGACTCAAAAGCTTGTTCCTCGTCTTCATGCTGCCTGAAGTATGCGTAGAGATGCCCAAGTCGCAGATCCCCAAGCCCCTACAACGTCGGTAGATTCACCGGAATCTTCTATACGAGGCCTCGAATCCTTCTCGACCACAAACTCTGGCGGACCCAGCTTGCAAATCCCTCGGTCGAACGAATTCAACATGGCCTCCAGCTCCAGAACGAGCGTCTCTGTGGCGGTTGACCCCGTCGCCTTGATCACAACGGAATGTATCACGGTCACGTCTGCCATGCGAAAGCATGCTCGCTGGGCACATTCCTCGGTCTCTGCCATTCTGGGTGTGGCTTCTCCGTTGAATCCAAGCGTGCAGAACTCTCAGCCTTCAACACCTCGAGATGAGCTTGGAAATAGAAAGGGGCTCAAGAGTAGAACGTCCTTGGGATTTGCAGATGTGGGAGAGGAGGGAGGACTGGCAAACAGATGGGGCTTACGAGGGAAGAAAGGGAAGAGCATGCAGGACAATCCCTTAATGGCTGGGTTTGGCAGACTCCGGCGTGAGCTTACGGGTTGCAAAGGTAATTGAGACTCCTGCATTATGAGAGCAACTTCTCTGACCTCCTATCAGACATACGAAAGTTTGATACACCCTCGTTATTACATCCTTTCCTCCAAGTCATCCGCGCCTCAGCAACCTCCGCTCCGATTACCTCCCTCGCCCTCGCCGCCATCACAAAGTTCTTCTCATATAACCTCATAAGCCCGGATTCTCCTCGATTGTCTATTGCTATGCAGTCATTGTCTGCTGCAATAACACATTGTCGATTCGAGGCTAGCGACTCCGCTGCAGATGAAATAGTTCTGTTGCGAATACTGAAACTCATGGAGGGGATGCTATGTGGCCCAGGTGGAGATCTACTCAGCGATGAGAGCGTCTGTCAGATGATGGAATGTGGACTAAGCATGTGCTGTCAAGCGAGACTATCAGAGCTTCTTCGACGGTCAGCGGAAATGTCCATGGTCAAAATGTGTCAAATCATATTTGAACGTTTGAAACACCTGGAAATTGAAGCAGGGGATGAGGATGAGGCCTTGGATGAGAAGACAAAGGAGGATATGGATACTGTCAAGATGGACCCATCGGCGAAGGGCAATGATGCTGTCACATCATCTTTGGCCGCGGCTCCAACAGATTCACGTCCATCCTCAAGCTTTGACAAATTGCGGCCCGGGAATTCAGCATCGATAGACAATGGATCTGAGGCTGGAGTTGGTCCTGCGTCAGAGGCGTCGGACGAACCTCCAATAAAGCCATACTCACTTCCATCTATAAGGGAACTTTTCCGGGTTCTCGTTGATTTGTTAGATCCTCACGACCGCCAACATGCTGATGCTATGAGAGTAATGGCATTGCGCATTATCGATGTAGCCCTCGAGGTTGCGGGCCCCTCCATTGCAAAACATCCAAGCTTGGCGACTCTTGCCGAAGATCGGCTCTGCAGACATCTGTTCCAACTCGTCCGTTCAGACAATATGGCGATATTACACGAGTCTCTCATCGTTACCGGTACTCTGCTTGCCACATGCCGTGGTGTTTTGAAACTGCAGCAAGAACTGTTCCTTTCTTACTTGGTTGCGTGCCTGCATCCTCGTGTCGAGATTCCGCGAGAGCCAGGCATTGACCCATCCTTGTATGCCGGAGTTCCACAAGCCCCAAAACTTGTGAAGCCTCCGCCATCACAATCAAGCAGCGGTAGATCAACACCAGTTCCTGTCAAAGACCGGCAAAAGCTGGGTATGGAAGGAGGTTCGAGGAAACCAGACGCTAGAGAAGCCATGGTAGAGAGTGTAGGCGCTCTTGCTCGAATCCCAAGCTTCATGGTAGAGCTGTTCGTTAACTACGATTGCGAGGTTGATCGCAGCGACTTGTGTGAAGATATGGTGGGGCTCTTGTCACGGAACGCCATTCCAGATTCGGCCACCTGGAGCACGACGAGTGTTCCGCCTCTATGTCTGGATGCCTTGTTGGGCTACGTTCAATTTATCGCGGAGAGACTAGATGATGAACCCAAATTTGAAGGGTACCCTGACAAGGAGAAACTACGCGAACAGAGGAGGAGGAAGAGGATTATCATCCAAGGAGCTACGAAGTTCAACGAAAACCCAAAAGCTGGACTTGCTTATTTAAACTCTCAAGGGATCATAGACGACCCTACGGATGCCAAGTCTGTTGCAGCATTCTTGAAAGGCACATCAAGAATATCAAAGACAGTATTTGGGGAGTTCATATCGAAGAAAGGCAACGAGGCTGTCCTCGAGGCTTTGATGGATACATACAATTTTGATGGTAAACGAGTGGACGAGGCCTTGCGTGAACTTCTGGAAGCATTCCGACTGCCGGGCGAGTCTGCACTGATCGAGAGAATCATAACCGTATTCTCTGAACGTTATTGTGCCTGCTCTGTGCCTGAAGGTCTTAAAAGCAGCGATGATGTTTTTGTCTTGACATACGCCGTCATCATGCTCAATACCGATCAGCACAATCCAAATCTGAAGGGCCAAAATCGGATGACCTATGAGGACTTTGCTAAGAATCTGCGTGGGGTAAATGCAGGGGGAGACTTTCCCCCCCAATATCTCCAAGATATCTACGACTCCATCAAGTCGAATGAGATAATATTGCCAGATGAACATGATAACAAGCACGCTTTTGATTATGCTTGGCGAGAGCTGCTACTCAAAACCGAATCTGCTGGGGATCTTGTAATCTGCGATACGAATATCTTTGATGCGGATATGTTCGCGGCGACCTGGAAACCCGTCGTCGCCACCCTGTCCTACGTGTTTATGTCTGCAACTGACGATGCTGTATTTTCGAGAGTCATTACTGGCTTTGATCAATGCGCACGAATTGCAGCAAAATACAAGTTGACTGAGGCCGTTGATCAGGTAATATATTGCCTGAGCTATATGACCACACTTGCCACCGAAACCACATCAAATACAGCTCTCAACACGGAGATCCAAGTGGGTGAAAACAGTGTCATGGTCAGCGAGCTGGCAGTCAAATTTGGTCGCGATTTCAAAGCTCAATTAGCTACTGTTGTTCTCTTTCGAGTAGTGACAGGTAGTGAGTCTGTCATTAATGATGGCTGGAAGCACGTGAGTCTTGGGATCTCATTTAGGGTGGAAGGCCTGCTAACAGTGCTCAGATTGTGCGCATTTGGTTGAATCTTTTTGTCAATTCTCTGATACCCCCTTTCTTTGCACCAAACCGCATAGACATTCCTCCTATACCGCTACAAAATCCCTCGCAGGTTATCGATCGTGGTCAAAAACAGACCGAAACAAATATTTTTTCAGCTTTCACGAACTATATCTCCAGCTACGCTGCAGACGACCCTCCTGAACCGTCTGATGAGGAGTTGGAGAGCACATTATGTACAGTTGATTGTGTGAACGCCTGCTACATGGGAGATGTGTTCGCAAATATAGTGTATGTATAGCACTAGTCCTTCTCCCTGGTACCCAAGGCTGACCTTTGTAGGAACCTCCCTGTAGATGCTTTGAAGCCTCTTGTGCAAGCCTTGCTATCCCAGCTACCTGATGATCCTTCGTCTATCGTCATAACTCTGAAAACCGAGACAGAAGCTGTGTCTCCTACAAACGGCCACAAAAGTTCATCGAATGGGCCAGTATACGATCCATCGATGGCCTATATTTTGGAACTCTGCACAGTGCTTACTCTCCGAGATGAAGAGACTGTCAATGCTCTTGGCCGTGATGTTGCAGAAGCATTGCAAAACACCTTGCGCAATGCTGGTAGCTACCACCATATTCTGATATCGAGGACGATCTTTTACCTGCTTCAAATATTGCAGGCTAGCTATGTAAGTGTCATCAATCCCCGGCATAAATTGAATTTGACCTTAACATCTCTAGGAACAATCCTTCATTCGTATTCCGGTTGTACTCCATACTATATCGAGCTTCAAGAAGGATTTATTCGAGAGGTCTGCAACTCTCGTTCTTCAGGGTCTGTCACATTGCATTAAGGAGCCGGGCCCTCTTAGGAATGAAATAATGACGTCTCCGGACTTCTGGGTGATCCTACGCAACCTCACGGCAAATGCACAGGCAGCGCCGACTGTGTTTGAATTGCTCGAGGGCATCGTTATGGGTTCGCCTCCAACAATAATGGCAGACAACTATGAATCAGCAATGTCATTACTCAATGACTTTGCGTCTACTGGAAGTGTTGGGTCCACAGTCGAACAGAAGCAAGATAAGCGAACGAGAAGAGGCCAGGTGGTCAAGCAAGAGAAGAAACCAGAGTATGTCTCCAATCCATTGATTGAAGCCCAAGCAAACTAACATGGTATAGGGTCGATGCTGCTGTTGCAAGGGGCGTCAAAGCTATTACGATGATATATTCATTGACGACCCGGATACCAGTTCTCATGAAGCAGTCTCATCTCGAAAGTAAAGAGGCGTGGGCCGCTTACTGGTCGCCGATTTTCAGAGCACTCACCACTCAGTGTACAAATCCTTGTCGCGAGATCCGCCACCAAGCATTCTCTTCCCTGCAGCGTACTCTGCTGTCTCCAGAATTGACATCAGGTGAACACGAGGAATGGACTGCAATATTTGGAGAAGTCCTCTTCCCGCTTATCGTAAGACTTCTGAAGCCCGAAGTCTACTCATCCGACCCTATTGGTATGAGCGAGACGAGGGTGCAAGCTGCTACATTACTCTGCAAAATTTTCCTGCATTACTTAGTCCTACTTTCGAAATGGGATGGTATGCTGGATCTCTGGCTTAAGATACTCGATATCATGGACAGATTAATGAATAGCGGGCAAGGCGATAGCTTGGTACGTTGACTTCTGATTGGATGAGACTTTCAGTACTAATTAACTTAAATCATAGGAAGAGGCAGTTCCAGAAAGTTTGAAGAATATTCTGCTTGTAATGTCAAGTAGCGGCTATCTCGTTCCCCCAAGCGGGGATCCATCTCAGGATAGATTGTGGGTGGAAACCTGGAAACGAATTGACAGATTCCTTCCCGACTTGCGGAAGGAGCTCGATTTAGACCCGAAGGAAAAACCGGAGGAGAAACCGGAAGAGAAATTGGCAGAGCAGCCACAGGAGCCACAGGAGTTACAGAAGGAGGAGAGCGCCGTTCCAGTAACGCCGGTTTCGTAAATGTATGTGTACACCAGTCTTGATTTTGTACAAAAAGATATCCTTGCGGCTTATTTGGATGACGACGTTGGCGAACAATGGTTACCGATCTCTATGTTTGCCGCGCAGTTAGCGGGCTGGAGCAAAGAAAGCCTTGTATATAATGACTTGAAGGGATCTTCTTGTGAACGAATTTCAATCAAAAAAGTATAATTGCGCTATCTTCTATTCCTACCTCCAATGACAACAGAAATGTCTAGTCCAGTAATGATCATTAGCCGTCAAATTCCTTTGGGGTATTCCCCTCCCCCCAATCCTCAATGTCTAGTTGCTAGCAGCAGCCTTTGCCAAATATCCACTATTTCTGAAGATCTCTCTACCAACAAACGGCCTTAAGCACTCATTCAGCTGTCCTATCCTTGCACCCATCCTCGTCGTCATGCATCTCCACAGCAAGTGATCATCAACACGCCCATAATTCCTCGCCCTTAAGAAAATTACCATCACCATAGTTCCTATTCATACATATCATTTAAATTAGGAGAAAACATAGCACATACGACCATAGACTAAGGAATCCTGGGCATCCCGTCCGCTCTGCCATACATAAGCCTTAGATCGGCGGATTAGTAGTTGGGTGGGTGACCACCAGCGAATACCCGCTGTTGTATTGTTTTTTTTTTTTTCTTTTTTTTGCGTCCTTTTTCTTTGAATATCTTCATTTTTGTCTTTGCTTGGTGTCGAAACTTTGTTTGTGTCTGAGGAAGGTAAGGTACCTAGGTACCTTGGTGATGGTGAATTTGTGTTGGATGGCCTTCTCTTTCTCCTTCCCCCCCGGCTGCCCCCCCTTTTTTTTGCAACTGTTTGTTTGCTGTGGAAGAGGACGGGATGTTTGAGTAGCGCTGGAGAGATGGATCAGTTGCTGCGATGCTAGCTGACATTTTGAATACTAGTTATAACCTCCGTTATACAACTATCATCATCAAGAACTAATTCCCTACGACACAATCCAAGTCGACGGTCAACCTATCTATCAGTCTCCAGGTTCTTTCATCTCACCTTCTCAAACCAACACAAACAAACATATGTATCCACTACCTTTGAACAACATCAACATCTCCCATCCACAGATTTCATTCTCCCCTTTCATATTATCTATATCCTATCTCCCAGAATCCCGGAAACCCGACATCAAAGGATCCCCTCGGTTAACAAACATAAGCTTAACCCGACAACCTCCTGCTCAAGACAGGACGAAATGCCCGATATTTCACTCCTCCTCTCCAAGAGTTTTTCAATCATTTGTATTTATTTGTTCCAACCCCTCTTTTATCGTATGTATATATGTGTGTGTATGATTGTCGCGCTAGCTTTATAGGTCTTGATCTAAGACAGACAGATATATTAGCCAAGATTTGATCTATATGTAGCTCGCGACCTGTGACGAAATCCAACTTTCATAGATTCTTGCTTCTTGATTTTGTTTGTCCTAACTCTCATGTATAATATAACGTGTATCATTGATTGCGCTCTCTGCACAGTCTAAAGAAAGCATCAGCAGAATCTTCAAAACTGTAACCTGGCTCCTCCTGTTTTGCAACTGTTGTTCTTCTTGACTCCGACTCTTTTCTTCTTATGGGGGTAGAGGGCCTTCTTCGCTATTTCGAAATTGTACGGTAATCAATATCAGTTTTGGCTTTAGATTGATATACTTCTAGAACCTGGCGGATAATACAAGAAACGTGGTTAGTAAAGATATTCGTCTTGTAGTTAGATATAGGTTGGGACTTACCTGTTCCTAGCTGTCTTTACCAGGGAACTGAACCATGATTAGGACTGCGCGGAGATGGCTGCGATGAGCCACATAGAGAGTCGATGGGGCTGAGAATTAGTAGATATGGTTGAGAAGACGGAAGGTCCAAGGGTGAAAGAGTTTCGCCGATGTTAACTCGTGGCAAATTGCAGAAAGGGGACACTCGATAAATTCTAGAATGGGTACTTGATCAATTTCAAGATCTGGATTCTATGACTAGTAGAGAAAGATACAGAGTCAAAGAAGAGATCTATTTTGTAGGAGCAAGAGAGCTTGGGTATAGTAGCCAGCAATTCCAGCAACGCCTTCCTAGCGAACTTAAGGCTCACTGAGTAACAGCAGCCAGCCGTTTTACTTTTATCATCCAACGCCATATCGGTAACTATTAGTACAATATACCTGCCTCTCGGACAGTTTCTCAATGATAAATGCCAGTATTCTGATCCAAGTAATCCGGGAACCGATCACCAGCTGAATCATCCAAGCCTCGACTGACTCTGAAGCCTGCTGGCACAGCCCTCCCGAAGGTGGACTCCCTGTCCTGCTGTCTCAAGTCGCCGGTCTCGTTGAAATCTCCTCTACCATTCATCCACAGACCCGCATCACCGGTAATGCCTCTAGCAAGTTCGTTCTCAAAGGTCGCAGGGCCCCGCAAAACTCGCAATAATGCCTGGGTCTCGTACCATCTTCCTTTCACATCTCCTAGTGTTCTTCGGGCATTTGGCTCCATTATTCTCCATTCGTTCCAGATTCCCTTCTGCGCAGCCCCTTCGACTCTGTTGCGCCAGTTGAGATCATGTATCATCCGAGCTGGGAGGTCTAGATCTTTGATAGGGGTATGGACCTTGACAAACTTCCAAACATCGCCAACAAATGTTACGTTGGATGTTGTTGGAGATGTCATGCGTTCGATGATCTTCTTGATCACTAGGACAAGAATATCATCGCCTAGACTACGAAGGCGAACAGGCTCACCAACCCAGATCTTCTCTGCGCCAAGGTAGATCCCCTTGTAACACCTCTCGCCTTGGTTGGCTAAGGCATTCTCGTCTTGTTCAAACAAGGAATAGCTAGAATCGATGACCTTCGCAGCTAGGATACTGCCATCAACGACAGGGTCTGCAGGATAGTTGACGATGACCTCCTCCCAATTAACTTGGTCGTATGTGCAACCCTGAAGCTTGCTATAGCCGAGAGTGGGAACACTCCAAGCTAGCCAAGGCCTAAGATCGTTTTCTTGATCCTTAATATGAGCAGGTGGATGGCTGAAGGGGTGAGACAAAGGCTGCACGAGATATCTTGGAGAATCGTCCTTGATTTGGCGCATGGATATTACAGCAAGACCCCAAGTGTCTTTGGTCTTGTTGTACCAAACCAGTTCACCTGGACGATACAGATATTTGCCATTTGGCTCACTGTCAAGTCTCTGCTCCAGACTTGGGCCAGTAGGGGCCCGGGTTGATGTTGTTGACACACCTGTAAGAATAATGTCAGCTTAACAAGGCTGTTGGCAGGAAAAGACATACCTCTGGCCGCTGAAGGCATTGTATTTGTGGGCTTCATCTGAGTTTGAGTTTGAGTTTGAGCTTGATTTTGATGAGCTGGCTTTGTTTCTTTTACTGCAACTCCCGTGCCATCATCTTGAGTCTCGCCTCCTTTGCCCGCGCATATCTTGCAGATGCATCTGCCCTTTGGCAGGGGTGTTGCGAGCCATGCCAGATGTTCAAAGAACTCCGCTGGACTGCGGAAGCGACTACTTCTGCCATCTGGATGACCATATAAGTAGCCATCTGTTCTCCGCGCACCAGTTGCATCCACCCTGACATGTTCCCACAGAGTATAATTTTCTGGGAAACGGGACAGAATGAATTGTGTGTCTGAATAATATTAGATCCCGCAAGGCTTACTGTGAGAGATGACTTACCTTTGTGCTCATTCTTCGAGTCAAATGCTAAGACAAGCCACTGGCCCAGCTTTCGTCGCCAGTCGAGGTCTTTATCACCATCTGGTTGGACAGGGCGGTAATAATCAACGGAGCCATCAGCTGATGGGGTATTGATTTTCTGTTCTCTCGTTGGTTCATTGGGTTCAGGTGCCTGTCCATTCCTCACAGTGAAGGTGGTCGCTCCATCAGAGCGGGCGACCATGACGGGCTTGCAGGGAATTCTAGGCTTGGCGGTCGCCATCTTGTCCAAAGTTAGCTATGCAGCTGACATACACTATGTATCAAGATGGTAGGATAGAAGGGATCTCCAGATGTGGAGAATCTTGATGTGTGGGGATCTGGGATGGGGATGGGACGAAAGGAAAGTCGGGTGGTTTGGACTTGGAGGAGGGGCCGGGAACAAAACAAAAGATCGACGATTCTACCGAAGCTTTAAAGTAAGTTCTTCGGCTCAGCCCGACCTAGCCGGATCAGGTAATTACAGGGGAAGTAGCGCTGCCGCCTTCCCTAGACTAGTTACTGCAGGCACCGGAGGCCCTTTATCGATAAGACGCGCAGAACCAGAAGTCTCTTTTGTTGACTTTGCTCTCTCGCAAGACGCGGCAGAGAGAAGATCCTTACTCTTGGGAGGTCTGTTCTATTTCAAGTATCTAGATTGAATTACTCCATACCTAATACCATATCATTCCTACAGTAATCCCCTAGATAGAAGCATAGAATCACTTTGTGCCCATGAGAGCGCTCCCCAAATAAGGAAGAAAGCAGATTCATTGCTCTTGTCATCCCGCACCTAATCGAATTCCATTGTAACAAGCACCTCCATTCACAAAATATCCACCCTACTGAGATATTGTGGCACTGACAACCCTTGGATCCGGCATGTCCTGTCTCCCTTTTGTCTTCTGACCCGGAAATGCGAAGCGATTCCCAAGATCTGATCTAATCTCTCGCTCGCTTCGCATGATAAGGTGCTGCACAGCAAAAGGGGGCATCCGCATTCAGAGTAGCGTCTCACTAGCGCACATCCCCACAGTCGCCAAAATTCGCGAAAAAGACGCGACGGGTCTAGTCTCAATCTGGATGCGTTCTCTTCACATTCCACACCTGCGACACCGAGATCTATTCAGGGACCTCTCACTCAATTGCTCTACGTCCCTTGCCTACACATTGCAGAGCAGATGAGCTGCCATTCTTTCATCTTCCAACTCCCCAATCCTCCCATTCTCTCCTCTCCTCTCCTGGAACCCGCAGACTTCTCCTCCCATCCACTGCCTGCCAGAAACCCCAATGGACAGTCTGCTGCGGTGCCTCAAACACCTTTTACCCCACACATCTAAGTGAATTCCAGCCTTATCAACTTTGAGGATATTGCTCTAGGAGTTCGCTAAACACTCGCGCTTATCTGTGAAGATGCAGTCTCCCAACTCTCCCCCCGATCTCACCCCGCAACCTCAATCTCGGCGCAACACCGCCTCGAGCCTTCTTGCTCAGTTCTTACCAGCCGCGAAAGTATCTCACAAGATGGACAGTATGGCGCGCCGAGCTACGGCTCCGGTCAACTACGCTGAGTCCGATGCGTCGTCCAACCGCTCAGCTCTCGAAACGCCGCTCAGCCAAAGGATCATCGATCTAGAGAACGATGAACATGATGACGAGGAAGACGATGACACCATAATAGAATATGCAACTCCTACTCGCCGAGTCCTCAGAGAACCTAAGCCAAATCAGTCTCTCAAGGCTATGGAGAATGGGTGGCACCCGCGTACCTCCAGAAAGAAGAGAAATACAGCCGATGAATCGATGGTAGACTTGACACCCGTTGTCAGCAATCGTGTCGCAATCCGACAGGAGATTGAGAACAAGACTGCTCCAAAACGAAACAGATTCCTTCTTGAAAAGAAGGACTGTTGGTTGCCACTACTTCCCCCGGACAACTACATCCGTAAGCTGGTCGAGCAACATGAGCAGCTATCTGCGGCTGAGATCGCAGCTCTCCCTCCTGTCATACCTTACGAAGAGATTGAGAAACAGCCTCAAGGTATCACGGCAGTCATGAAGCCATACCAGCTCTCGGGTCTCAGTTTCATGGTCTACCTTCATCGAAATGGTTTGAGTGGAATCTTGGGCGACGAGATGGGCCTGGGCAAGACCTTGCAGACATTATCTCTGATTCAATTCTTAAAAGAAAATGAGCCAAAGGCTGGCAAAGGGAACCTCCAACGTCCATTTCTCGTTGTATGCCCTCTCTCGGTCCTGAGCAGCTGGGTAGCAGAGGCTCGAAAATGGGCGCCTGGACTGAAGGTGGTTCGCTTCCACGGTCCTGTCAAGGAAAGAACCCGCTTGAAAAAGATTGTCGTTGGAGAGATGGACATGCTTGGCAACTTGACCGCTCAAGCAAAAGCTAAATTGAAGTCTAGAGGAGTTGCCGCGGACAAGAATGTCATCTCTCTGGAAAGTGACTCTGAGGATGAAGCTGTCGGCGTTGACCTAGTTGTCACAACGTACGAGTGCTACCGCGTGGAACAGGCGTGGTTTAAAAAGGCGTTTGTATGGTTATACGTAGTTCTTGATGAGGGCCATGCTGTATGTGGTGTCGCTGTTTCTTTTTTGGAGTACCTCAGCTGACATCAACCATAGGTCAAAAACCACGTGTCTCTCGTATCAAAAGCTTTGCAAGGACTGAAAGCCGAGTATCGTCTGATATTGACGGGTACACCCCTACAGAACAACCTGTCCGAGTTGTGGAGCTTGCTGCATTGGTTATATCCAGAAGTGTTTATCGACAAGACCAAGGAACTCTTCGATAACTCCTTCAACCTGTCCAAGGGACAGTACTCGAACACTGTTCTGGATAGCTCTCGTCATTTGTTGGAGCTTATCATGTTGCGACGTATGAAGTCTTCTCAAGGTGTCGATCTCAACCTCCCACCTAAGACCGAGGTCCTTCTATTCGTCCCACTGTCGCCAATGCAGAGATTTTGGTACACTCGCATGATTACCAAGGCTGATCAAGGACTGTTGGATGAGCTGTTCAAGGATTTGAAGATCAAGGAGGAGCAAGCTATCAAGTCATGGAACGAGGACGAGAATCTGGAAGTCGACATGCTCAACCAGAGGAGTGATGCTCTCAAGATCTTGGAGAACCCAACTCTGGTTGGCAGTGACGCTTGGATCGAAACAAAGGCAATTCTTGCTCAAACGATCGAGCGAGAGAAAGCGAAAGCCGATCAGGGTCCCAGGAAATCCGACTGGCAGAAGCTCATGAACCTGCTGATGCAACTTCGGAAGGTTTGCAATCACCCTTATCAAATCCCCCATGCCGAGCCGGACCCGTATGAAACCGGACGTCATGTCATTACAGCTTCGGGTAAATTCATTGTCCTGGAGAAATTGGTCAACGAACTGGTTATAAAGCAGAGGAAGAAAATCTGTAAGTGGATTTGTAGCTTCACACTATCAATACTGACCCATGGTTAGTGATATTCTCAGGGTTTACAAAGATGCTAGACCTTGTTGAAGAATGCTTAGCTCTCACAAGTGGTGAAGGCTGGAGTTATCAGTGGGCTCGAATTGACGGAGCTACTTGCAGAGCACGCAGAAATCTTGCCATTCGACTGTTTAATGAAGTTGAGTCTGATTATCGAGTGATGTTGATATCAACACGGGCAGGCGGATTGGGGATCAATCTGGCCACTGCTTCCGATGTCGTTCTCCTTGACCAAGACTGGAACCCGCAAATCACTCTTCAGGCTGAAGCTCGCGCCCATAGAATTGGGCAAAAGAATCCCGTTACTATTTACAAATTAGTATCGCAGGGCACCGTCGAAGAGCAGATGATGGGCCGTATCCAAAAGAAGTTGTACCTCTCTGCAAAAGTCACTGAGGCGATGGAGGACATCCATACTAAGTTTGGAACTCCAAAAAAGGGAGGCAAACCTTCTGGTGGCGATGATAGCATGCCCCAACCGAGCACGAGCCAGCTCATGACGTTGGTCCGACGTGGAGCTTCTGCTATTTCTCGACCAGAGATTGACGTGTCCGAGATGCTGAGCTGGTAAGTTTTAGGTGGATATGTTGATGAGGTCTGTTCGACGTGGCTAATATCGACTTAGGGACTGGGAGACAACTGTTGCCAAATGCAAGGACCAACCCGCTGACATCTCCGTCAAGCGAGATGGCGTCGTAGATGCAAAGCTTAATGAAGAAGAAGAAAGAAAATGGCTCACCGAGATGGAGCGCGTCGAGGCATCCGTTTTTGATGGAAAGGCGTTGACACAAAGTGCGAGGAGGAAACAAACAAACAAAGATATCGCACTGGAATACTTGGACCATTCGCAGCGTCGAATTGGCAAGAACACCACAGTTCTCCAAGACGGTTTCGCCATCTCCAAGGAGTCCATGGACTGTGACGACTGGGAGGCTGTGCCAACTCTCGCTGGTAAGGATCCTCGTCTGGCGGATGTGAAGCGAGCCAAAAAGGTTCCTATTGAGCCTCAATCCCACTGTCAAGTCTGCCTTGACGGGGGAGAGTTGCATTGTTGTACCATCTGCCCCAGAGCCTACCATTTCCAGTGCCTGGAGCCCGAGTTTCAGAGCAAAGTCAAAGGCTTGCAATTCAGCTGCCCGCAACACGAATGCCACGACTGCTCGCAGAAGACCACGGATGCGGGTGGGATGCTATATCGTTGCAGATGGTGCGAGAGGGCATACTGTGAGGATTGTCTAGACTGGGAGAAGACCGGACTGGTCGGAGACAACCTTTTAGAGTACGAGCTGCTCGGCTATAAAAAGATGGTCCAGGCATACTACATCCAGTGCCATGCTTGCACCGATCACCTCGATGAGAATCCGAAAGACAGAAAGCTCTGCGAGGACTTGGCCGAGGAGATCAGACGCAATCATGAGAAGCGCTTCTTTGGGGACCCGATGGAGTCGGAACCGAGCACGCGTGAAGAAAGCTTGACGGACGCAACTACTACTACCATCGAGTCGCCCGGTACAAATATGCAAACACCGATAACCATCGACGATGACGACGACGACGACGATACGATCAAAGTGCTCCCTACCAAGAAGCGGAAGCTGGTACTGACCCATAATAAACAAGGCTCTGCGAAGAAAGAGAGATTAGGTTTTTAACAGTGTATACCCCGGCGTTTTTTTGAGATCTGGTTATGGGTTATGGGTTATGGGTTATGGCGTTTGGCTGGCTGGCTGTCTTCTTCATTCATGCACAGGAGTTCCGTTCTACTACCTTGATACCTCCGTGCTTTGCTTTGTTGAAGGCGATGGATAAATGGATGGATGAACCGGATTACCTTGTTCCTCGAACGATCTCGGGTTAATGAATGAATGGACGATGATGACATGACGATGCCAAAAACAACACGAAGTTTTGTATGAATATAGAACTCATGGATGGATGGACGAATAGATACCCAGATAGATAGATAGATAGATACCCCTGTATCAATCAATCAATCAATCAATCGATCTACACAGAAAACTTGATCGTCTCAGTTTTCGATCCTTATTTAAGACAGCTAGCTAGGTGGTATTGTTTGTCGTGACTGTGTCGGTTTTCAACATAACATCGGGGGAGATGTTTCTAGATTTTGCGTTGGTGGTGGAAAGATAGTTGGATGAATGATGTGATGTGATGTGATGTGGCGATGGCTCGCAATTGTATATAGTACCTTATATACTACCTACCTTACCTATATAAAATAAACGGGAAATCCAGACATCATCAATCACAGCGAGCTCTTTCTTATTGCCCAAGGTAGGTAGGTACTTCCTCTCATATAGGTAGGTAATCATCAACGTACTGTAGTATTCTTCCTATATACGTATGATACATACATACATAACATAACATAACCTGGATACATACAGCATCCCTTCCCATCTATACAGCCCACGCCCTCGAAAATGCAACAACACACACTTCACAAAGCCATCCGGATTATAAAAGAATAACAAGAAACAAGAACAAAAAAAATAAAAGAAAGGAATGCAGTCTGTCCAAATAGGTATCAAGCAAGAAAGGGGGAAAGAAACAATGCCCGCTATGTCATAATCAACCTCGTTGCTCCGCCTTCGCCAGCGCGAGGGCGTCCCTCCCAAGCAGTATCCCGTCGCATTAATGCAAAAAGATTAAACAATAACACCCGTTTTGCTTTTATGAATTATCCTATCCTATCCTTCTCTTCCTCTTTTCTCGTCTCGCTTGGTTCGTGGTATTCTCGAACCGTCGTGTATATGTGGTTCAGTTGGTTCAGTTGGTTTAGTTAGTTATGCTGTCATTATTTATCGTCAGCCTCCTGGCTGGTTCGGGGTTTGCCAGCTGGCAGCTTCTGCGTCGCTGCATGCTGATTCGGAGTCGTGGTCTAGTAGCAGATTGAGTCGGAAGGCTGTGAGATCCTTATTTGCGTTCCTCGCAGCTTCGCGATCTGCTCGGTCTACTTTTCGCGGCTGGGCGCGAGGACAGTCGGCGCATCTGAAGTGGCCGCAGCGAGTGCATTCTAATGGTTCGATTCTATCGCCCAAAGCCTCGCCTTCGGGGCTATTTGGATGAGGGACGGGAGCGAAGGTCCTGCCGCATTCATGGCATGCGTATTTGATAGGGGCTGTGGATGTGGATGATGGCATATCGCCTGGGTAGCCATCGGGATATTTTGATTTCTTGCGTCTGGGAAAGTTAGTCTCGATGCAACCAAAGGGGATTCTGGAGGTGGCTTACGGATCTCTGGGACAGTCTGCACAACGACGATGTTGGCAATTCGCGCATACATAGCTCCCTGTGTTAAAGAGCGTCAGGCAAACGTGACATGTCCTCCGCACTCGCTGTACTGGCTTCTTCTTCACTAATGGCTGACCGCTAGTCCTCCTAGGTCTTGTCCAGACCATCTGCTCTCGCAGGCTCTGCAGGCTCTGATAGTCGTCTGTCACATTTTCGTCTGGTGCTAGGAGTTCTTCCAATCTCTCCTTTTCCTGCGCAGCATCGTCGGTTTTGAGTGGCGGGTATCTGGGACATTTGGAGCATCTTTTATGCTGACATGTAACACACTTTTTGTTTCCCCCAAACATTGTATTGCATTTGTGGCACGTCCTGTGGATGCGCATCCGGATTGGTTTCTCGACACGAAAGGCTTCCCTGTCGAGACTGACCGAGATAAAGTCGTCGGTTGAGAGGTTGAGGTCGAAGCGCTCGACCAGTTTCCGCGCGCGTTCAATCTGCATCTGTGATCTCAGGAGCCTCGTGGGTGGAGGTCCTTCGGGTGCGACTGTTTGCTCGACGGGTTTTTCGACTGGTTTCTCGACGGGTGCTTCGACAGTTGCTTCAACGGGTGCCTCGATCATCGGCGGCGGAGCAGGGACGGGTGGTATAGGTTCCCTGGGAATAATCATAAGTAGAGATAATAGGGATGGGTGGACATGACCATACCTTTGTTCAACAGAGGCCGAAGCGGTTGCAGGAATCGCGGCCTTGGAGAGGGAGAGTCGACTAGAGTTATTCGCAGGCTTGGACGAGAGGGAGAGTCGACTGGCACTTTTACTCTTCCTCAACGCCAGCCGCATCCTCGACACCATCCTTCTCAATCCATGTGTCTCCTCTGTCGGGGCCTCCGACCCTTCACCTGCTCGAGGGCTCATGTTTCGTTAGCAGTCGAGATTCATGAAGCTCGCCCATCCGCCGCTCTCTTCGATCGGTCGGAATGTGCGAACAATGATCTCTTTTGTTGATGACCAGACTTCCACCCAATGCCCTCCCTACAACGGATACCGGGGCGACACAGACAGGGAGGTCAGACGAGTACCTGGTCGGCGGAGAGTCGTACGGTACAAATAGGAGTGTCGGATGCAGAGAGCGCAGGGCGGATTGAGCAAGTCGGACGCGGCAATAACGGGTCGAAGGGCGGGTTCATTGACGGGGAGAAAAGAATGGGATATCGATGCAGATTCCTGTTCCCGTCCAGCTGGGGATCCTGTTCCACTGCACTGGGACAGGCGGGGTCTTGCTGACGACTGGGAAAAAAAGGAGTCGACGAATCAAGACGAACCCAGCGACAGCACCGCCAGCGCAGCACTTGGTAACCAACGGATGGGATTATCGTCAACAGATCGAGGTCGGGTTCCAGGAGTTCGTGTTGTTCGAGGTGGAGCTGCAGTTCGAGCTGAAAGTGAAGATGGAGTCCCGATCCCAGTCCCCAGCACCCACCACGTTCGATCACCAGCTCTGTTCAGCCAAGCCGCACGGGAATACTCCTGTGTAGTAGTAGCAGTATCGCGGTCCGTAGTATAATAGGATCAATGTACACGGGCGAGTAATATCATGGGCGATACAAATATTTGCTTCTTTCATCGGTGTACAGTAAGATATTACCAGCGAGCACCAGCCAGAGTCGTCTCCCTGCGACGCTTACGCTGTTCGGCGATAGTGGAACTCTGCCTTCGCTACCGAGTCTCTCTCTGTACATATATCTCCGTCTCTACATGCGACTTGCGTCCGTTACTGTACCCACGCGTTCTCGTTCTCCTGATAGATATGATAGATATGTGTGGTGTTATTATATACATCATAGGTACGTCTCTGTCAAATGCCTGCTGTCTGCAACGGATGCCCGCCTCGATAGGGACGGAGGCGCATTCACGTTGCTGATTGAAGGCTGCAGAACGACCGCCCTCCAGTTGAAAAAGAAGTACACATCAGACCCAAGAGAAGAAATATCCCTGGCCATGTACGATACTCCGTACTATTGGAAAATTGGAAATAATAGGGGTTATCTTTACTCCGTAGGGAGCGTACAACCTTGCATCGCATCCCCGATTGTGGCCGCCACAGTTCTGCCAGACTGCCATTGAGCTCGCCAGGGGAAAGAAGTACGACGGGACGAGTATTGGAATTTGGGAATCCAGTCTCCATCCCGTCACTGTCTTCACATGGTCTGTGGAGGTATATCGAAAGTTATATGCCGTCCTTGCAGGCTCGCACCGGGGGGAACGATTCGAGGCCCCTACGATCCTTTGCAGACCTTGGGAACCCAGGACGCTGAGAGACTGAGACTCGACGACCCTGACTCCCTGTTCCTGTCCCTGTACAATACGGAGCGATTCCGTCCTATCGCAGGGTTTGGAATAGTTCGCATCTTCCCACTGGTTCCCACTGGCTCCCACTGGCTCCCACGGTCCCACCCAAGACCTAAAAAACCCTCCCGGAAGACCTATCCTTGCTCCGGGAAGCGCCCCGAGTCTCCTCTCCAACGGCCCAGCGGGTACGCTCCCGGCTCTCAGATCTACTGGATGCCCGTCTGCCTCTGTTCGGTTTGACACATGCCTACTCGAGCCTAGAATCATGTCTCTCCTCCATTCTTCTCTCTTCTTCGCCCTTTGGGAGCGGGCGCGTTAATCCCAAGGGAGGGAGATCTGGCTGCCTGATCGCCGATTATCATTTACAGTACCCGTCCGCTGGACAGGGAGGCCGATGGATTTTTTCGCCTCTCGCGCCTGGACTGTGGTGGCCAAGATGTGACTTGTGTGCGGATAGGCCATTGTTCGTGGCGTCGTGGTCCATTGGCTCTATCTTTGTCGATTCCGGCGCTATTCGGAGCTTGTTGAAGATTACATCTGTGTACCAGCCTACCAAGGCGGAGAAACCAATCCAAATCAGGACAGCGAGATCGATACCAACTGAAAAGGACAAAGGCATCTAAGAACCGTTATATTCTAGAAACGTCCGCCCAGTGCCTTGTGAGGAAAGCCTCTTGTCCCCCTTTCATGGCGAATGATTTCTTGCGCGATTGGTGAGGTTTGCTTGGGTATCTATCTCTCCTCCTGTACTGTTTAGATGAAAAGATTCGTTTGGTTGGCAGCAGAACAATGCGAACGTCGCAGACTGATATATGAAATGTGGAGTGTGGGATGAGAGCGATATAACTCGGTGCCGTGGGGTAGAAATTACCCTTATAACACTGCGCTCTCGCTCCCACAATACACAATCTACATTACATCAATACTACAACAAACAGAAACCCATTCTTTGAGAGTCGAGACTCGAGAGAGGCCGACAAAGACTCCGAACCGAAGACCACTTTCAATTCGGCGTTTACTGAACGCTGAGTTACATACGGTATCACCGCGCTGAAGTCTCATTCCTGCAGGGCTCTGTACGGCTCGGTCATATACGTTCAGGGCCTGCCCTCCGCTTCTTCCCCTCTTCCCCACTTCCCCAGGGGAATGACCTTCGTGCTACGGCGCGCAACCAGTCATCTCACGATGTTGCCGCAATTGAATCGGTCCGTTCAGGTTTATCCGTCAACAAGCTTTAAGCTTTTCAGGCTTCGGGGTCGAGTGGAGTAATCGAGCCATCGTGGGAGAGACAAGCTCACTAGGAGGCGGCGGGGAAGTTGGATATTGTGAACATATAAGAGCATGCTCGTTCTAGCTACAATGACTTCATTCGTTTTATTGTTACTTCCAGACTCATCTCATCATGCGCCTCCTCCCCTCGTCGTGTGCAGGGGCTCTCTCTTTGCTCTGCTCCCTGGCGATCGCAGCACCTACGGAATTGAAAGCCAGAGATTTGAGCTCTTTTATAGCTTCAGAGAGAGCAATTGCATTGCAGGGCGCGCTCAATAACATTGGACCCGATGGCTCAGCAGTACCAGGGGCTGGAGCGGGCTTCGTAGTCGCAAGTCCTTCAAAGGCCAATCCCGATTGTCAGTACCCATCTACAAACATCTTCCTTACCACGAGTCAGGAATCCCAGTTGCGTGTACTGACTATCATTAGACTTCTACACATGGAGTCGGGACTCAGCCTTGACATTGAAAATGATCATTGATGAGTTTATCCTTGGAAACACCACCCTCCAGACGATAATCGAACAATATATCCATGCCCAAGCAGTTCTTCAGACCGTTTCCAATCCATCTGGAACCTTCCTGCCTGACGGTGTCGGATTAGGAGAGCCAAAGTTCATGGTCGATGGAACTCGGTTCAATGGGCCTTGGGGACGGCCTCAACGTGACGGCCCAGCTCTCCGCGCTATTGCCTTAATGACCTATAGTAATTGGCTCATTAAGAATGGTCAATTTGTAAGGATCTCCTGTGAACAGTGTCGTCTGGTATAGATGGATCCATGAGCTATCACTCCTGCCTCAGACAGTCTCTCAAGGTTAAACCTGTGCTTTAACTCATGAATTCTCCTTGCCCCTAGGATATTGAGAGTCTTTTGGTCCAATCAAGCAATTGCTAATTCCCTTGTTGTCTAGGCGGAGGCCAAGACAAAGATATGGCCCATTATTGCCAACGATCTCTCATACGTGGGACAATATTGGAACCAGAGTGGTTTTGACCTTTGGGAAGAAACTTACGCATCCAGCTTCTTCACCATCCAGAACCAGCACCGAGCTCTTGTCGAGGGTGCGCAGCTCGCCCATGATCTCGGTGTCACATGTACAGGCTGTGACCAGGCACCGGAGGTTCTCTGCTTCCTCCAAAGTTTCTGGAACGGTAAATACATCGTGTCGAACATCAACGTCAATAACGGCCGAACTGGCTTGGATGGAAACTCCATACTAGGGGCCATCTCAACTTTTGATATCGATGCGTACTGCGATAGTCCAACCTTGCAACCTTGCCATAGCCAGTCTTTGGCAAATTTCAAGGTCTTGACAGACACTTTTAGGAACTTGTATACCATCAACGCTGGCATTCCGGAAGGCCAAGGGGTAGCTGTCGGGAGATACGCCGAGGACGTTTACATGGGCGGTAATCCATGGTTGGTTTCCGTGGTTTTGCCCTCATCAATCCGTACAGTAACTGACTTGATAGGTATCTGATCACCACCGCAGCAGCAGAGTTCTTGTATGATGCAGTAGCACAGTGGAAGGCTCGTCATGTGCTCACCGTTGACGAGACGTCTCTCGCATTCTTCAAAGATATCTACCCCGAAGTCACCGTCCGCGAGTACAAAAGCGGGAACGCCAACAGCCCATTCGCACAGATCATGGATGCTGTGACCGCCTACGCCGACTCGTACGTCGCCATCGCCGAGAAATACATCCCCTCCAACGGATCCCTCTCGGAGCAATTCAACCGCGATACAGGAACCCCCCTATCCGCCATCGACCTCACCTGGTCCTACGCCGCCTTCATAACCATGTCTCAACGCCGCGCCGGCCAATACCCCAGCAGCTGGGGCTCCCGCAACGCCTTGCCGCCTCCTACCACCTGCTCCGCCAGCTCCACCCCGGGCATCTACACCCCCGCCACCGCCGCCGGCGCCCCCAACGTAACATCCAGCTGCCAGGTCAGCATCACCTTCAACATCAACGCCACCACCTACTACGGCGAGAACCTCTACGTGATCGGTAACTCGTCAGATCTGGGCGCCTGGAATATCGCCGATGCGTACCCGCTCAGCGCCAGTGCATATACGCAGGACCGCCCGCTCTGGAGTGCCGCTATCCCGTTGAATGCGGGTGAGGTTATTAGCTATCAGTATGTGCGCCAGGAAGACTGTGATCAGCCGTATATATACGAGACGGTTAATCGCACCCTGACGGTACCCGCGTGTGGAGGCGCGGCTGTCACTACGGATGATGCGTGGATGGGACCGGTGGGCTCATCTGGGAATTGCTGAAGGGGGTTTGGGGTTTGGGATTGAAGATAGATAGATGGAGATTTAGATCTGGTTAATTACTGGGTTTATAAACTTACGTGCATTCAGTAATTCATGGGTTTTGCAAATCTGATTCTCATATAAAGATATGAATATGGTAGGACCTTCTCTCTTCCGCATTGCTGCTTCCTTTGCAGAACAAAAGGGGGAAAGGCTGTTACACATACGAGTCCGAGTCCCCGCGAATCAAGACTGGGGGATTAGATATCTATAATGGGGATTCTGCTTCTCCCGCCGAGTCATCAGAAGGGGGGAGTCCCTGCTGCGCCATTATCAAAGCAGTCAGCTCCGCAATCTTCTCATTCAAGCCATCCACCTTCTTTTCCAAAGACAACGGGATATTAGTATCCACGACTACCATCCCCGGATGCTTTATTTCTTTCCCTGTCTGGATCTTGGGACTGGAAGGTCCGTCCCCTGTGGGGAAATGCTGGGAGGTTTTGGTGGTGTTGGCGCGGCTTGATAGGAAGGGCCGTGGGCGCGGGCGTGGTGGTCGTATGTTTCTGGTAGGGTCTAGATGGAAGCTTGGTTCGGTAGATGAGAATGTTGATGCGCCTCCGCCCTTTATCTGGGCGTGGATAGTCTCGAATAGGAAGATGGCGGCGACGATGGGGAGATGGGTTATTTTTAGGACTACGATACGAATACTGCGGAGTTTCTCTGAGGATATGAAGAGTCGGAGGGGTCGAATGAATATTAAGGGGAAGAGATTCTGGAATTTATATGAGCGGAGTAGCCATCATTGAAAAGGGAGTAGACTTACTAAGGGAGGATAGAAATGGGTGAGTCGGTTGCTTGTGGATGCCTTGAAGAAAGTCAGTCATGCCTTGCTGGTGTTAAATTGAGCCATTCTATACCTCAAGAACATAGACTGAGTATACAAAGAGGTATTCGTCTCTATTGTGACCAGGAGCCCAGATTAGCTATGCAACACAAATGAAGACAAGATTGACTAACCGGGCATGAGCAATGACTTTGGAAAAGCTATCACTTAGAATGCTGATCAGGGATGTGATCAGTAGGATGTTGGTCATGCACACAAAAATGAGCTAAGTGCTGATCAGCAAGACTCCCTGTCAAAAATAGACGCTCAGATATACCATAAGGGGTGGCCCAAGTTGCGGCGAGATCTAGTTTTAGTCAGTAGGTTGAATAGTTGGACTGAATAAAAGGAGGCATACGTCGTTCATTATGTCCTGTGATGCGGTCAGTGCTTTTCTTCAATTCCATTTACGGGAAGACGTACGAATCCTAGATAGCTAGATCCAAAAAAGACCTTGATCAAAATCCAGCTCATTTCCGATAAGGTGAATGTATCTCGGGCAAGAAGCGTGAAAGTCGTAAGAAATCCTACCTAACATCAGCACACTCCTACTTTCCAGTGACGGAGTATAAGTGACTAACCCATATATAGCACAGCTACAACAACCATAAACTTGACAAAATCCCTGGCCTATAAAATTGGATTAGACTCATGCAGGTCAGAGTTATGAAGACAATAACTCACCATCGCTTTCAAGCACGGGATCTATTGAGGTCAGCAAAGTGAAAGGAGCAGCAGGACTAGGAGCATACAAGAGTGCCAAAGTATGGGTGCAAACTCAAGAGCGAGCATATTCTTCAAGATATTAGCTATAACTCTTAAAGGGGGAATGGGATACCTACCTCGGGACCATGAATAATGCTTCCAAGGACAGAATATCAAATGATATGTCAATGATCTTGTCACTATCTTTCACAAGTCCAATTGTCCCTGAAGTAGTTGTTAGGACCCATCTTTCCCGCGGATGGACCCGAACATTGCTTACTTGTTACCAAGAAAACCGCGCCTATCAATATAATGAACAAATCACATCCATTCCATATGTCGACTGCATAGAATATTGACCCTGCATCAATAAATTCGCCGAGCTCCTCGTAGGCGAAGGAAGCAAGCCAAATGTAAAGCATGACTTCGAAGGGGGTGATGTGATAGCTGGTGGTGTTAGACATGGGAACAAGTGTCGGATGAAGTACCTACGGATTCCGCTCAATAAGGACGGCATAATAAAGTACGAGGAACGTGGCGAAAAATAGGACCTCAAAAGCCTTAATATATCTCGGTACTCGTAATCTTGTGAATGCATCTGAATATCTTCTGTTGTAGAATTGCGGCTTTTTCTTGGTATTCGCGCTGAGTTTCTCCCAGAATGTTATATCCCCCTTCCAGATCCCTGTAATAACCCTTTGAACAATTTTTTGACTGAGAAATTTCTTACAATCGGCCACAGCAGCAATTTCGAGCCCATTTAGTCCAGTGAACGATGATGTAGGATCTTCCTCATCATCTTCACCATCCATCTCATGTGCAAAGAGGTCTCCCATATGCGAGACTGATCGTAGGAGATCAACTCTCGTACTACTAGTACCAGGTCTGATTGATTCTCGAGCTCGAAACTGCGGTAAGAGGCTCGAAATTTCCGTGACATTGTCGCCAGCATCCACCGCCTCTGTGGACTCTGGGTGTGTTGGCTGGGGTAGTTCGTAAAGACAGAAATTGACCGCATCCTGTTCTGATATGCGGCTTAGGAAGCGCCAGGCCACAATTTCACACGCAGAGGCTCGGGTCTCATTCAGCGCCCGATCATCAGCTTCCAGGATAGAGAAGTGCCATTTCAAAGTGCTGTGAATCAATCAGTGACATATCACGGAAGAAATGCGGGAGCCCTGACAGGAGAGCATTTATTAAAGCTGGGTTGGTGACATTCATAACGAGGTGCTCCACGAGAATACGAATCTTGTTTCCCGCAGATGTTGTCCTCAATTGGTCGAATGTGGACGGCGTGTCGATTTCATCGATAAAGTAACTGAATTCTACTGAGTGAGTGATTTCTCTAAATATTATCCAAGGCTTTCATACACTGATAAAGTCTTCACTATCTGCACAAAGGAATCCTTTGGCCCAATTTCGGGGAATTTGACTGCTGATGCCTCCACCATAGGAGAATTTGGTGGGGTCATTTTGGCTGTAGTTAACGAGTCCCAACTCGGTCTTGTTGAATCGGGGGCCTGGCTCAAGGGACTGGAGTATCAATCTGCTCTCAAAAAATCATATAGAGGACGTGTCTTAGACATCATAAAGACAGCAAAGATAGCTGGGTGGAACATGTCGTAGGAAAGCAGAACAAGAACCCAGAGCATCGATCATCCGAGATATCAATCAGTCCCTGAAAATAAGGCGGCCGCTACAAATACACTAGAACTAATTAGGTACTAAACTTACTAATCAAGTAAGGCCCACTCACCCCGCATTACCTTACCTATCCGCATCATCGCCCTTTTGCCTGCGAGAAGCTCTCAGCCAACTCTCGACGATATGAGCCCACAATATTGAAAGATACAACAGCAATCACGATACGACTTAGGGTTCTCTAGGTTTGCACAAGCTTGACTTCATTATTTCGATTGTCGTATCGGTCTCAGAACCACGATCTGCCGGCTTCTAAGCTGCATCCATCAAGATGGCGAATAACCCGCTGAGTACGGACAGCATCCTCAAACATATGGCAGATGCTCTCCCTACCCATGCCAAAGATGACACAAACTCCGACCTCAGCAGCTCTTATGAAGCTATTGCTCTCTTCTCGCACGCATGCATGACCGCCGTCGGGTTCCGATTAATAGGTTTGGGAGAAGGACAAAAGATGGAAGCAGAATGCCAAAGTATCTCTCCACGGCTGCCATCGAAATGGAATTCTACGTATGGATCGCATTCCTTTCTCTACGCGCATTCACAAAGCTCGATGCAATATGTGGTGAAGGTTGATAGATTAGGAGGCAAAGCGGAGATACGAGGCATTGGACTTGGAGATGAGAGGATTAGTAGGTTTGAGGTCACAGCGAAGGATTATGTCTCTTCTGCTGCTCTGCCCCTACGAATAACGATGACCGCCGATGGAGAGGAGGATAGGTCAAATCTTGAATCGAAGCTAAAGGAAATCTTTGTCTCTCCATCTCGGATTCAAGGTCAGTGTCCACAGCTCACTCTACCATTACGCATATGCTAACCTGTTCTAGACCTGGCATCCCTCTTCAAAGGAACAATTATCCAAAAGTTAATGCCGAGTCTGCACAAAGAAGGTTACGAAGAAGCACCTAACGCAGCCGCACAAGCTGCCCATGACGAACGCGAAGAAGCACACGCACGGCGCAATCCACCAGCCAATCCCCTTCGAAATCCTATGCCAGAACCCGCCCGACCATACCCCTTCGACGACCCCCTTGCCGCTGGTCCTCGTCGTCCCATCCCACAAGGCGACTTTCCACCTCCCGGTTTCGATGACGAGTATGACATGAACCGACCTTTACGCGGCACGGTCCCTCCATTCCCAGGCGCAGGCAGCCCCTTTGGAATTGGCGGAGATGATTTACACCCGCCGGGACTGGGACCACATGATCCTTTGAGAGGCAGTTTCGTACCTGCAGGTGGGTTTGGCAGGGGCGGTGGCATGCACCCCACGTTTGATGATCCCCTTTTCGGAGGATATGGCCAAGGTGGAGGAGGAGGATTCGATCCCCAGGCGCCTCCAGGAGCAAGATACGATCCAACAGGGCCTGGTGACGGACCGCGACGGGGCGGTTCCGGAAGACCGCCGAACCCATTCGGTGGGTTTTCAAGCGGGGATTTTATCTAGGCTGCTGCTGTACGATCGGTCGGATAATGGGAGTATGTATGAAATGAATGAATGGGCGGACTAAATTCTAGCATGGCACTGGCGTTACTTTATCTGATGCCTTAACAAGGGGGGAAGGAAATGAAGACTGTTCGAGTCCCCCTAGACGATCATCAGATCTTCACTATGATACTATACCTAGGTAGCTAACCATATCATACCAACCTTTCAATGTCATCCATATGAATCCACAACAAAAATTCCTCGAAAGAATCCTGTGTCTAGAACTCATCAACTATCTTCCTTCATATTCATCTCTCTCGCTCCTCACTCTCTTTTCTTTTCTTCTTTCTTGCAAGCAAGCAAGCATATCTGGAATCCCTTCTCATCATTAAGAAAGAACGTGGATAAGGTGTCGAGTTATAGTTGGAAACAAACGGGAGTCTTTGATTTCCTGTTGTAGGGAAAGGAATCTAGGTCATCGTAGGTATTTAATAATGATCTAGCTAGCCCTTTAATTCATTCTCATTCTTCATACAGCCAAGAAATCCAAATCTGGTTCCTAGGCGAAAAAAGCTGCCAATCTAAAAAATGTAGCCTTTTTTATTATCTAGTCCCTACATAATAATTTCATCAAATAATCAAACATCTACATTGTTTTCTCTCACGCCAAGCCCAATGCCGAGCGAGCTGGGATCTAATTGTTTCTCCTGATGCTGTGCCGCCCTTCGAATACATATGCGTCCGTCAAACACGTAGTTCTCTTCAAAAAGTGTCAATTCATAACGCATGCATCATAAACCCCCGTGCGCGTGTAAAAAAAAGAAAACAAGATCTACAATCAATGGGATATTGTCCTACGATCTTTCAAGCTCCGCCTCCTCAAGCTTCTCCTTCATAGCATCAGAAATCTCGGGGGTGCCGTTCTGTGCTGATCCTTCTGAAGACCCGGGTGTGATGTCTGCGGATTTCTCGTTGAGAGTTAGGTCGCTCAATCCCTCTTGTGCTGTGGCGAGAGATGTGGGTTCGCCTTCTTGGACTGCGGGGCTTGCTTCTTGCTTTGAGTCTGTGGATTGGGAGGTGGCGGCGGGAGCAGCGGCTGTGGAGTTGCCGTTCACTTCGTTATTCTTGTTTCCGGGCTTTTCCAATACGCATACTGTGTCTCTCCGTTCACTTTCATGGTTGCTCCCCACGGCCAAGGCCTTCATCCCCTTCTTGTCGTCGCTAGGAACCCAGTACAGTGGCCCGGTGGGGAACTCCTTGTAGTTCCCTTCCCAGGTCATAACGTCTTTCCACGCAGGATCTGGGACTGGCATATCACCGAACTGGAAATCCAGCTGTCCGCCATATTTCTTGGGGATATTTGCCGGATCGATAAAGGTTTCGAGGGTCTTCTTCATGTCGGAGCTGGAGAGGATAAAGATCTTGGAGGTGGTGATTGGATCGAACCATTTTTTGATCCAGCCCCAGACTGTGGGGAAGAAGGATGGCGCTCCGATGATCTGCGTACGTTAGTATTGCTCCCTGGTCACGAACGCCCAAAGGGGGAGGCACGTACAAAGATGCGGTCAAGGGTCTCAGGGTAATGCGCTGTGGCTAGGGTACTAGCATCTTGCATATGTGATCTCAAATTCCAAAACTGCTTCAAACCAACACCCGAGATGTCCACTATGTTATTGCTCTGCGTAATCGGTGTATTGGGGTGATCTCGATCGGTGAGCGCTGTGCACAATGGCATCACAAAACGCGTGAGGTTTTCGTAGAGAGCGAACAAACGCAGCAACTTCGCAGGTGTCTTCCCGTCTGTCTCCGCTTTGGTCTTGGTTTCCTTGGCAGACTTCTCGTACGCTGACATGGTTTTCGAGTTTAAGTGCTTTACCTCGAAGATGTAGACGGGGATGCCACGACGATCTCGCCGGCCTGTCCACTGGGGGTACTTTGGGATTGGTTAACCTTTGAATACATGGAGGACTCGAGATCGGGGAGGCCGTGCTTACCAGTCTTCGAGTCTCTTCATAATGTTCTAAATCTATCGTCTCGTACAATTGGTCTAGCTGGTTTGCCTTCCGCCACTCCTCCGTGTCGTGAAATTGTTTCCAAGCCTCTTGGACAACGAAGCGCCGCGCTCGAAGATATCGCCTGAAAACCCGTCAGTAGCTGAAGGGACGGGTAAAGCGCCGGAAAACCAACAGTAATGTAGCATCATCGTGTGAGGCTGGTGTCTCCCCGTTTGCAGGTTTGTAGTATCCGTTCTCTGCACACAGCGCCTTGAATTTCTGCAGTGCTTCCTCTTCCGCGGCGGACAGATGGCCCAGGTGGCCAGTCGGGTATCCGTAGGACTCAGTCGCAGACTGGACTCTATGCGCGGGGCCTGAAGTTCCCGACATGGCTGGCTTTTGCTATTCGACAGCAGAGGATCAAGGGGAGGAGCAATATGTCGGGGTTCTGATGTCGTTGGTGTTTATGTTTTTGGAGAGGGTCCCGTTAATAAGCGCCGATGCTTTAGGGATAGCAGGCGTACCCCGAGTCAAGTCAAGACAGGAACCCGTTGACAATGGAACCAAGGAATCCAGACGGCGGTTGATTAGAAAGGTCACTTACGAGTATCAGTCCAGGAACGGGGAATCTACGCCTCATTTCACGTCCTATATCCCACGGCGGGCTGATTGCACGACTTCCGAGTTGCATAGGTACATCCTGGGGGTCGCTGGGCGGGGAGCATCCTGAGTACTCAGAGAAGCGCTCTTGAAGAGATGCCGGCGGTGTACACAGCATCGATGTCTATACATATGAGGACCAACCTCCAGAGCGAAGCAGACGAGGCTGAGATGTAGATATGATATGACAACTAAAGAGGCTTTTGTCCCCATGGGAAAGGCTAATCAAGCAGGGTGTGGATTTGTGCCTGAGGGGGCAGGGGAGTCCATTACACATAGACTCCTAGAGATACATACGTAGGTACCTCATACTACCGATACTATTCTTCTTGTATATATATATACCTTCGCGCTACAACTGGTATTCCTTGCTCGCATTATACCATACTGCAGTTTGATCCTTACCCCAATTACCTATCCGGGGATGGATGAGATGCTTACGCGGTAGAGAGAAAAACATTGGGTCCCTACGGTGGGAGAGATCATTCCCGGGCTCGCGCGAAAGACCCCGCCTTGGTCCGGGACAACCCCCCATTATTCCCCCTCTTTGTCTGCAAACGCAGTCCAGCATCATAAAACCCTTCTTTTCCATGTTTTCGCGAGCCTCACAACTAGCACGACACTTCTCCCGCCCTCTGCCAAATTACGCCCATCGTTCCGCTGCTTTTCAAACCGCAAACCGCATCATGACCTCATCTACTGCCGACGAGCGGAACTCGAGGACCATACATACGGCAGCATGTCTGATTATCGGGGACGAGGTGTTGGGCGGGAAGGTATGCATCTCTAAGCTCCATGACCATGAGTTAGACAATAACTGCGAGACAATGGCTGACTGGGGTATTAGACTCGTGATGTAGGGCTCGACAGAGACACGAGAACATGCGATCAGTACTGATTGACGGGCTTGCAGACGAACTCGGCATACATGGCGAAGTTCTGCTTCCAGTTGGGAATTGTACGTTTTCCGGGTGTATTGGAGGGGAATGATCCTGACAGAAATACAGGCTCTCAAACGCATCGAGGTTATTGCAGACGACGAGAGCGAGATCATAGAGGCTGTCCAACGCATGAGCAACAACTATGACTTTGTAGTCACCAGCGGAGGGATTGGCCCAACGTAAAGACTCCATCAGATCCATCCTACACCTGTTAACGTACCTAGGCACGATGATATTACCTACCAATCGATAGCAAAGGCCTTCGGGCTCAACCTCAAGCTCCACCAAGAAGCCTACGAGCGTATGAAGAAACTCTCGAAACCCCACCCATCGCAACCCAACTTTTCCTGGGACGTAGAATCGCCCGCGAAGACAGCTAAACTGCGAATGGTGGAACTCCCTACCGACGAGACGCGGGACTTGGCCAGCCAAGTTGTGTTCCCCACGGATGAATTATGGGTACCAGTTGCGGTTGTTAATGGGAATATCCACATCCTCCCGGGTGTGCCCAGGCTTTTCGAAAAGCTGCTGGACGGCATGAAACCGATCCTGCTTCCACGATTGACCGACCCAGAGGGCAAAGGCATCCATAGAATATTGATCTCGACGCCGATGGCGGAGAGTGCAGTGGCGCCATACCTGACGGAATTGGCGGATCGGGTCGAGCCCAAGGGGGTGAAGGTTGGAAGCTATCCACGATGGGGTAAGGCGAGGAACACGGTCACTTTAGTTGGGCGGTACGTCGGAATCCAAGATAAGAAACGTACGATGTACAGTGCGTTGTATCGCTAACATGGCTGCAGAGATCTCGAGTTCCTGGAGAGCCTGGTACCGGAGGTTGAGAAGAATGTGGAGGGTCGTCGAGTGGCAGTGGAGGGGGAGGACGATCCGGTAGATGCCAATGCAAGCGATTTGGCCTAGGGTTGTCTGTTTACGTCTTCACACTATTTGGTACGGTGAGAATTCTAATCTAATATCGTGATCAGGCCCTAGGATCCTTTTGACCGTGTTATGATGCCCGCCCTGGCCCCTGGATTACCGGCAGTGATAAGAGACGGGATGTTGGCGAGGCGACCCTCATGGGCCTCATCTCATTTCTGTGGAGCACGCCTTCCTTATCTTTTCTTCTCCTTGGTCCCGCTTCTACGGAGGACCTCTGTAGAAGAATACACAGTATCTTTGACGGCGGTTCGGGTCCCTTCGAGACTGAGAGAGTAAGATAGACAGTCACAATCACCTAACCAAAGAATCAGAGACCCAGAGAGTAGTGGGCTGCCTCATTGCTAAGTAGTCCGTCGTTTGAACAGCACGCACGTGGGTGTCTCAAGTCCTCAACTCAACGGCCAAGAATTCCAAGATTTTTCAAGCCCCAGGCCAACTTACCGGAAGCAGCCGACGCCGCTCTTGCTAACGGTCGCAGCTATCTTGGATCAGGGACCGGCTTCCAGCGCCGGTTGGCGTTAAGAGCGCTTTTCCTCCGGAAGAGGGCTAACTCGTAAAATCGTTCAAATTTGTAGGCGTCGATCCTGGTCCCAAAGTGCAGATGATAATCTTGGTAGGCAGAGTAGTCCAATTGCCGACTACGACGCTCCGGAAATTAACTTCTTCTAGAACACTACTTGTTAGTCCAGTATGGCGACTGCTCGGGATCTTCAAAGTCCCAAGTGCTACTACTCCGTAGAAACGTCCTCGAAGGCCCCGAGAAGGCCGTTGTGCAAGCTGTGCTGCTTATCATGCGGTTGTGATTGATACACGTGCCTTGCGGGTATACCTCCGGTGTATGTAATGGTAATGGCACTTGGGGAGCAGCTCGGCTCTAATGGGGTAGGATGGGGACGCCAGGGGTGAACGTTCAAGTAACTGGTGAGGTGCGGCGCATGGCCGATCCCAAACGATTGCCTTGAAGCCTTGCCCGTCAAGACAAGACCTCCGTGTGTCCAGTACGGCAGAGACGCGGCGGCTTACAGTATCGTGGACTCGGAAAGGGGGGAGGCGGTCGCTGGGCCGAATAATATCTGCGGATGAGGACGGCGGGCTTCTATCAGATCCGAGCCTTATTGTGTACTAATGGATAGTATTAGTAGTAGTGTGTATACGGACCGTGTGTGCTCTCTGGTTGCGTACGAGTTCATCTGAGCGATCATCGATGGCAGACCCAGCAAGGTAATGAAGATCACCGTGCTACGGGGCGGTAGTAGCAGAGTAGCAGAGAGTAGTAGCACCGTATCACTGCCGGATAGTGGCACTGGAGCACCTACTGGATCATCGTTCACCACTGACAGAGAGCAGAGAGAGACGCTTTATAATATTCTCCCGGCCCTGGGTCCCAGTAGTCGTCCCTCTCCTCCGTAGTCTCCCAAACGGCCAGACCTGTGAGACCTGTGAGACCTGTGGCCACCGTGGTGTTGGATGCCACCAGAACAGCAGTAGAACATGCATAGAAAATCCTCCGCCCTTGGGACCTGGGAAGAGGCTGGATGTGGTCCATTGGAGAGAGAGAATCTGAGAGATGAACGCGTTCCCAGCCTCCCAATAGCAAGCACCGATGGTTCTCATTGCACACTGCGAATCACACCCTCAGCCCATCCGCGGCCGTGATTGGGCACCCCGTCCTTACAGGACATGCACAGGAGGATTTCCTGGAACCCGCGATGCGCGGGACTGATTGGTAGGGTCGAGGTGCGAGGAGGGATGGAGAGCGTGAGGGCGTGAGGGCGTTGAAGGCGTTGAGGGCGTGCAGCTGGATCATGGATGATTATCATGTATTCATCCCATATCGATCCCTCATTTGAGCAACTCACCTCTGCGCGGCGCGAGAACCTTGCTTGACCTTGCCTTAGGAGGCCGCCCCCGTAGACCCTGTAAGTATATTATATCTGGGCCCAGTCTTTGTAGCCGCGCCCGAAACCCAAACCCAAAAATTCCCCCAAAACTGGAGAACTCACCAGGGTCAAACTAATTAAGTTGGTCAACTCGGTCAACCGTTCACCTCTCGAGCACCAAAATCCCACTCCACTCTCTCTCCCTCCCGTCGCTGCGCACCGACCTCTGCATTGATTGCAACTTCTTGTGTCCCGACCCTCCTACCACCAACACCCACACTCTCTTCTCCTGCAAGTCAAGTCGCGACCATTAATCGCATCACTGTCCATTTTGCCATTTGTCCTCTTCCTCTTCCTCTTCCTCTTCTTCATACCATTAATTAATTGACCCGAATCCCGCTCCCTCCTGTCCCTGCGTCTCCTTGTTCCCCCCGCGCGTCCCCTTTTGACGACTTCCGAGCAGCAATCTACTCTGTCCGCTACCGTCCGTCCAACGAACGAATTCGAGAGAGAGCCTTTGCAGCTTCGCGACAACGACCGCCCTGGTCCATCAGTCGATGACAACAGTGATCAACAGCATCAACCAGATTCCGAGATGGCCTCCAAGGTGAGCGAGAACCCGCGTTGCCAGCTGGGCCGGATTCACAGTTGGGCTAACCGGTGGCGTGTCTTCTGCGATTAGTTTTTAAGAGAATACAAGCTCGTCGTAGTAGGTGGTGGTGGAGTCGGGAAGTCGTGTTTGACTATCCAGTTGATACAGAGCCATTTTGTCGATGAATATGATCCCACAATTGAAGGTAGGTCTTAGTTCTTTTCAATCGCCACCCCCCTTCCTATCTTCTTCTCCTGATCAAGCTAACGAACTACTCTTCCCTCGTCTACAGACTCTTACCGCAAGCAATGCGTGATCGATGAAGAAGTGGCGCTTCTGGATGTTCTCGACACGGCGGGCCAAGAAGAATACTCGGCGATGCGTGAGCAGTACATGCGAACAGGTGAAGGATTCTTGCTGGTGTACAGCATTACAAGCAGACAAAGTTTCGAGGAGATCATGACCTTCCAACAACAAATCTTGAGGGTCAAAGATAAGGACTATTTCCCCATCATCGTTGTGGGCAACAAGTGCGATTTGGAGGGCGAGAGACAAGTATCTAAACAAGGTATGTTCCCACCTGGCTAAGCCATTGATACTGGACACCATTTTTGACTGACACTTGCGCCTGCAGAGGGAGAGGCATTGGCTCGATCGTTCGGTTGCAAATTCATCGAGACCTCAGCTAAGTCACGTATCAACGTTGACAACGCCTTCTACGATATCGTGCGCGAAATCAGACGCTACAACAAGGAGATGGCCGGCTACACAGCAGGAGGCAATGATAGGTCCAACGGTGGCCCGAAGCAAGATATCGACATGGAAGGGAATGAGAAGGATAGGGGCTGTTGCGGCGATTGTGTAATAATGTGAATGTGGGGCAGAAGTGGTAGTTTGGGGAGGGGGCGACCGAAGCAGAAGTCAGACAGCGCTCGGAGAAGAAGAGGTTGGAAGATGGAGCTCGACACCTCTCACATAATCGGGCTGGAGATGGTGCGCACGAGCATCACACGCAAAATACTCTCTACGGACGGCATATCGGGTGTTCTTCCTAATCAAAGGGCGATATTAAGCAAGGCATGCATGCATTCTCGAGATATCATACCATCATCGATCGATCGATGCTTTTCAAGTTCTTCACACGCAGGCTTTCACAGGAGTCGATTCCACCATTTGAGATCCTTTTTCACAGCGAGAGAAAGAGGATACCCACTGCCAGTTTATTTTTTTCCGTTTGTTACTTTTAACTAGCGACTCTACTCTGGTCGAGAAAGGTCTTGAAATCCCGAATCGAACGAAAAATCTTCTGTTCCTCTTTCTACAAGGAAAGGGGGGGGATGGATTATGAAACTTGCCTGCCCCATCGTTTTGTTTGCTTTTCTCGGGCTGGCAAAGTTTACTTGTGTTACTTTGTTGTAGTAGATCGTGGAATGGACTCTTTTTTCTATCGTAACCCACGCCCACCCGCGTATATATATATGCGCGCGTGTGGGCTGGTATGTATCCCTTGTGCTATGCTAATTAATCCTAATGTGACGTGAACCTGAGTTTTGAAGTCGCCCCGCTGGGGAAAGGGAGCGCGAGTTGTGCTACTGACTGACCCGCTTAGCGGGGGGTTCTTGCGAATGCGAATGCGAATCCGGGGAAGAAATTCCAGGCTCGAAGTTCCGTTTTGCTGAAAAGTTGCACACAAGTCCATCTAACAGATCTGGTAACGACCGGGTTTCATACCTACCCCAGACTTGGCGGATATCCACCCCCTGGTCTTGATACCTAGGTATCCATCACGCTCCTTAGCCGGTTTGCGTGCGTGGCACGCTCGAATTATTTTCATTCTCTCGTTTTGTATTTCACATACACTTCTCTGGTATTAATCATGAAAGAAAAAGTTCTGTAAATCCAAAAAGTTGATTGATTAATGCTATCATCCATCTATCCCGCTTATCCTTGTCAAAATCAAAAGCACCTGGCCTGTGTTTTCCCGAAACTCCAAGATTCTAAATCTACCTTTACACCAATGCAGACCTAGCTATGCTATGCTGTGGTGGTGGTTGAGGAAAGGAAGAAATGCCAAGGATAATCGATACGTCGCTATTATGCTCCTCCTCTTCCATTTGTGTGGGTCGTTCCATATTTGCAGCGTCAAAGATCTTGAGGAGGGTTGGCTAATGCCATGTGTTGTAGCCCCCTCGAGACGGATTTCCTTGCTTTTAGATCATGTTCGTTACAAAGCTGATTGGAATCTGGCCACTTTTGTCCCGTTGACTTCCTTATGATAACAAGCGTTGCAGGAGGTTGTGCTTTGGTGACAGTCCTAGCAGGGCTGATTATCCACGCATTTCCAGCTGTGATATTCCCCTCCCCGCTGACTGTATTCTGACGTTTCCTATGCGATCCCTAAATATATTTTTGGTCAGATAACTGGAGCGGTGTATATGTAGCCTGTGGAGTTTTGACGGCTGTTGCTGGCGGATCTGGTTACTCTTCTTCATCCTGCTCTTCTTGATCCCGTTCCTCCCGCTCTTCTGCGAAAGGATAATTAGCGGACATACTGCTCTGGACATTCGGAACACTGGCAGTCCTAACTAGCGTTGCTGTTTGCGTAGTTCAAGTAATCATCAAAATCCGTGTCCTCCCAATTGAAAGGCACATCGTTAACATCGTTAGGATCTTGAGCAGGCGATTCGTATTGACTCATCGGGCCGGCTCTGAAAGCATCGTTTGCGTTCTGTAGCTCCTGGTCGGCCGTGTGTTGCTGCCATAGTGGCATCCCCGGCCAGTCTTGGTTCTGTTGTTCCGTATCTGGCATCCGGGTCCCCTCCAGAATTGCCGTCAGATCTGCATGTGGACTAGGCATGTCCGACTCCATCGGATCTGCTGTTGTTTGTTGTGGAACCCCCGTCTCAGGGTCGGTCGCTTGTGGAGGTTCTTCCTCTGTTGTGTTTAATATTGCCCCCGCCGCATTTCGCAGTGCCACTGCAGCGGCATACGCCTCGGCATCTCGAACTGTGAGTATACGTTCGTATGATGGGTCAAGCTCCAAGAGTCGAGAGTCTTGCCGCTGAAGCGCCTCCTCTAGATCCGCAAAGTCAAGTGGTACAACGTAGGAAAGTCCACCCAGAACTCTGCGACTTTCATATAGGTCGTTGAGGTCCTCGGTGATAAACTCGTAGGGGGAGCTACCGATGTTAAAGCCAGTAGGGCCTGCAGTGAAACCCCCGGTGGGCCTGTTGCTATATGTGCCCATAAAGTCTCTCTGTTCCCTTGCCTGCGCTCTTGCTGGCGGGTACATCATGTTCATGCTTGGTTGGGCGTCCTCCATTTCCTCATCATAATCCTCATCATAATCCTCGCCTGGACTTTTTCTCTTCGTACCCACTCTAGTCGATGGGTCATCAATCGATGGCTGCCCCCGACGTTGAGGGTCAAAAGGTACGTGCTCAGGCAAATCTTCTGGCCTGGGCGGTGTGACGAACGATGGAATGAATGGGCCTCGAAGGCGATGTGGTGGTGGATCGTTCTTCTTCTTGCCTGACCTCGCTTTTCCAGGCTTTGAGGAGGAGCAAGAATCCTGCTCACCTATAGTTACACATCTGTCGCATGGGAACCGCTTGTTCCTGTATGAGCAAGGTTTGCGATCCTTTGCGCATTGAGAGCATCGATAGGGCTCCCTGTTCCGCCCTTTCTCTCCTTCTTCTTGTTCTTCCTCACCTCCGCTGTAGTCCTCTTCCGCGGCGTCTGCTTTTGGCCTTCTTGGTGGATCTACGTCAAAGAGGAAATCGTCGTCGCTATCCTCCGGGGGTTCTGGTTTCGGTGGCACTGGACGGTTTATCTGTCTGTAAAAGAACGCTCTCCAATTATACGCCTCGTCTCGTCTCTGGGCATTTCTGGCCCGTCTCTCCTTCTGCTTCTTTCTCCAGTCATCACGATATGCCGTATTAAAGTTCCTGTTGCTCTCGTCCATCATCCGATTGTGCTTTCGAAGGTTTGCGTCATTTTCCCGTCTGAGAGCTTGGCTATGGATCCTACGTTCCTCTAATATCTGTGCTCGTCTACCTGGATCTGTGACCGGGGCAATCTGGGGAAGTCCCGGTCTTGGCCGTCTCTCAATCCCCATATTTGATCGTGACCACCTGATTCGACGCTCAGTTTGACTTGGGGTCTCATTCGGCCTTCGCGGGCCGTCGTCAACAAAGTCTCCCCAAAATTCTGGATGTTGGTCCCATCTCCCAGTGAATGGTTTCTTGGTCATATCCCAGCCCTCATAGTTCTGAGGAGGTTGGGCCGCTGACCGAAACCGTCCAAATCCAGCAGTGGGCGGCGTAAACATCGTGAGAGGGGCGTTAGGCTCTTCCCCTGATGCTCGGCGCGCCAGGATACCACTAACATGTCCGTACCATTCTCCCGGTGTACAAGTATATAAATGTTTTATCATGTTGGCCCAAACTTCCGGGGTGATGCTATTCGAAAAAAATACGCTGCTGTCCATAAGAAAATTCCTCCACTCTTGTGATAGGTCTACGAAACCGAGAAGCTCCTGGACGTTCGTCGAGGGATCTGCCAGTCGTTGTATGGTCATGTTGATCCACTGCTGAGAGTTAAGACCCGCGTTATTTTCGGCACTCTGTACTAGGTTCATCCAGTACTCTCTAGTGCGGAGACGGGCAGGTATCATATTATAGAAATGAGCTAAATGGGTAGGGACTCTCTGGCCATCGATACCAGGGCCAAAAGAAGGTTCAGAAGCATCTCCACCTTGGCCTCCCGCGGGCCCTCTTCTCCGTGGTCGCAACTGCATAGATAGTTGCGGACCCCGAGGCTGGCCCAGACCTTGACCAAGGCCAAAGCCTTGAGGCTGGCTGGTAGCCCGGGAGCGGGCATCCCATTCATTGTCTAGTGTCTGCCGGTACTGCTGGTACTGCTCGTCATCGTTGTTGGCATAAGGACTCCTGTATGGTGGGCTCCTTCGCCTGATAGGGGGCTGATACTGCTGCAGGTCTGTTGGCCCCCAATCGTACGGGGACGGTTGCCCTGCCCCGGTACCATATTGGGATGGGTTTCCTGTTCCAAAACCGGATTGGGATGGATTTCCTGTTCCAAAACTAGATTCATATGGGTTGCCTGCCCCGGAACCATATTGAGGAGCGGCTCGTGGCGGCAGGCCATATTGTGGTTGTTGTGGTGCTGCTGGGGTTGTTAGATTGGCAGGATTCACATATAGATTGGGGCTAGAGGTGGGTTGGTTGGACCCAACTCCTAGCTGCCCTCCGAATCCTCCTAGTTGTGGTCGTTGTCCCTGATTATTGAAGTATGGTTGGTTAAGTCGACTTGTATTAGTTGGATCCGGGTACTGGCTTTCCGGGTCCTCATCTTGACCCCCAGAAGGGTCATTGAAAGAGCTCCCCCCACCACCACCACCAGGGGCCGAGGAGCCGAAAGGGTTTCTTCCCGACATCGAAAGTCAACACAGAGCTTGATTGGACTTGAAATTATTGAAGAATCGCGGCCTTATAAATTCCTACATTGGGGAAGAAACGAGGAGAAGGGTGGCGGTTACTAACTAGATATCCTCGGCGTGAACAAGGTCAGGAATGTGCCCTTTGAGCCCATCGAAGGCCCGGATGCATCGAGCCCTTTGTTGCTCTCGGCCATTCCCCATTCCGGGTTGGATATCTAGCAACATTGTTCACGACTCAAAAGAAAACCTTTATGGCACTTGCACACCAGGATAGACAACTATATGCTGAAAACGTATAGGATAAAGAGACACCAGGACATCTCTCTGAGGTCGAATGCCTCTATCCCAAGTCCGATGCTCGAACAGAGGGAGGTAAAGGAATTCCATTTTCAGCAGTGAGTACTTCAAAGATCTTCGATCCTATTCTGGGAGTTTTTTGGATACTGTACCTAATGGTGTCGAAGTGCATCTTGCTGGAAGGAAGAGAAGGGATTCTTGAGGGGTCGTTGGAATGTGATCACGTGAGCAACGATCTTCAAACGACTGTATAGGTAGTGATGGCCAACTGGATCAATACAAAATAAATTGAAGGGAGAGTGAAAGAGAGATCACAGCAATAGAACCTAGGAAGAGCAGATATAAATAAGACGGAAAATCATTGTCACTCTCCTCTTAGAAGCATGCACGGGCAATACTCACAGACTACTGTAAGTACTGCAGCCGTAAAGATAAGATAGAAAGATAGCACGACACAAGTCCATACTAGAGGCTCACTCGGCGATGGGGAAAAGTAATCATGATAATATAAGGCAGGTAGTAAGGACATGTAGATATAATATATATGCTTCCCCTATTTCCACGGAAAGGGATCATCGGTTATAGACTCCGCTTATCGGGAATAAGAGTGCGGGGTTCACTGGATATACGCTGCGTAGGTAATACGGACAGCAGCAATCCATAATTATAATATAAGCAGATAGAAGGCCTCCACTCTTCCAATCCTCCCACCTTTCACCTATATCAGTCCTCAACACGCTCACGTATATATGCCATTCGTGTACAAATCTCTGCAATCCATCCGCACTCTGACCGCACTCACTCGCGCACGTACACCCACCCGCCCACTCATCCGCACCATGGCCACCACAGCAATGGGCAAGCGCCTCGAAGGCAAGACGATCGTCATCACTGGGGCCTCCTCGGGAATCGGGAGGAGCACAGCGGTCGAGTTCGCGCGCACGTCGCCCAAGAACCTGCGGCTGATCCTGACGGCGCGGCGCATCGACACACTGAAGGAGGTCGCGGCGCAGATCCAGAAGGAGGTTGGCGACGGCGTCAAGGTGCTGCCGTACAAGCTGGACGTCAGCAAGCCGGAGGAGGTCAGCAGCTTCGTGGGCAATCTGCCCGAGGAGTGGAGGGACATTGATATCTTGGTCAACAATGCGTAGGTTGCTCCCTGGGCTTCGGGAGGGGCGAACGCCGTGCTGATTGATTCACTTGTGTAGGGGCCTTGTGAAGGGTGTTGCCAGAGCGCCAGACATCGCGGCCGAGGATATGAACATTCAATTCGCGACGAATGTGACGGGGCTCGTTAACATGACCCAGGCGATCCTCCCAATCTTCAAGAAGAGGCCAGATGGTGGTGCGGGGGATATCATCAACATTGGCAGTATTGCGGGGAGAGAGCCATACCCGGGAGGAAGCATCTATTGTGCGACGAAAGCTGCGGTCAAGGCCTTCACTGATGCCTTGAGGAAGGAATTGATCTCTACAAGAATTAGGATCATCGAGATTGACCCGGGACAGGTCGAAACGGTGAGTTTGGAGTCACAATATATGGTGGGCCGCTGCTGAGCCTCAATAGGAATTCTCCATCGTCAGATTCTACGGCGACAAGTCAAAGGCGGATGCTGTCTACGCGTAAGTTCCCTGGCAGCTTTTTCTAGATCTATGCTGATGTATCCAGTGGCTGCGAGCCTCTCACCCCCGAGGATATTGCGGAGGTGATCGTTTTCGCTGCAGGCCGGAGGGAGAATGTGGTCATTGCTGATACTCTGATCTTCCCGAACCACCAGGTAAGCTTCCCCTCTTTCCTTGAAAGCAAAACTGACCGTATCAGGCGGCTGCTACCCTCCTGCACCGGAAGACATAGATTGACCGGACTGACTGTGTGTAGGCCGGAGGTGGTGGGATGTTGTACAGGAAGCCGATCTCTAAGTGAGATTTAGATAAATAGACCAGGAATTTCAGACAGTGCCTAGAAATACAAATAAACTACACTTCCCACCCATGCAAACTCTATATATAATATGTGAAACCATTAAGAACAAAACGGATCCAATATAAATCAGATTAGATCTCCTTGATGTATCGAGAGAAGAGCGATATCGCTGGTCGTTGATGTTCCCACGTCCAAAGTATCGATCCTCGGTTATATACAAATATAAGAAACCCTGGTACAACAACAACTCAAGAAGTTAAGGTTGTATAGTGTAGCGGTTAGCACGTGGGATTTTGACATATCAGAATCATGATTTCCCGAATCCCCGGTTCGAGCCCGGGTACGACCTAATCAACATATCATCCAAACTTCCTTTTTTGCTTTTTTTTTGCCATTTTTCTGATGTTTGCTTTTCTGCCTTCTTTTTTTTTGTTCCACTTCTTTATATTTTGGGAGGCTTTTTAGAGAGCGCATTTAGCCGAGGGGCAGCCGTCATATGATGATGACCTGCAGGAGTCGTCCACGCAGTGAGATTCTTATTTGAACGCCGACTTAAAGAAAAACTTGATTTGATATTCATATTTAGGGTTCAGCAATAACTTTTTTATAATCCCTATAATTTATAGCCCTAATATCTCTAATTATGAATGAATTAAATAAATTACGAGTGTACTGTATCAAACTTTCATTTTTCGCGCCCGCCGACGCCCCGCGGGGCCGCCGCCGGGGTAAATGGGTGGGGAAAGGGGTGGCTCCTAGATTTCTTATCCTACCTAAGAACGAGAATAGAAAAGAGGTGTCTAGACAGGTCTATTAGACAACACAGAGATTGGGATTCTTCGTCGAGATTTTAGGAAAGGATTCTGGAATACGGTAGGTATACTTATAAGTTGATGAACGTGGTGATTGGAATGGCTTCTGGGAGGGCGTTGCTTTGTCTTTCTGGACTGGTATATATTGCCTTAATCTACGCGGGTGGTAAGCAGGATAACCAACAAGGTATTCTAACCTTTGATGTCTCCGAGAGCTGCTTAGTATAATGGTAGACTGATAAGAGGCTTGGGTTGAGTCCGTCAGTGGCGTCGCAAGAATCGAGAACGTCCACTCCGCAACCAAACGGTCTTGTATTCATAAGTCGCATTCTCTTTTTTTCATACAGCCATATAATAATGTACAGCAAGTCCACTCATCCCATGTTTCCATACGTGTTTGAACGACCTTACGCCCAACACCAATGCGTGTCACCGTCGAAAGCCCAGACCCATAATCGCTGCACCAGATGATCCCCACAGCCGTATTTATTCATTCCCCTTCAGTAGTGTCCTCAGTGTTAGAATCTCCCTCCTCAATCTCGCATTTTCTTTCTTAACTCTTGCCGTCTCCTCACCACTCTCCTTCAACTTCGCCACAAGTTCCTCCTTGTCGTCTTTACCCTTGCCCTTCAACGCCTTGACGATCTTTCCCAATTCTCCATTGAATTTCTCGTACAGCAGTTCGTTCTCTGCGCTGCTTTCCTTGAACAACTGATCTAGTCCCTTTATCTTAAACTCTGACGCTTGCAACGATTTCTCCAAGTCCAGCTTTATCTGCTCGTTTTGCATCGTCAGCTCTTTAATTGATTCGGGGATGCGAGATTCAAGCGCCTTCATTTTATTGGATAGCCTCTGAAGGTCTTCCGGCCTGACAGAGGAGGCAGTGTTGAGCTTGGCCATTTCTTCACCGATTTTAGAGAGCTCGTTTTGCAGGGATGCCTCAGCTTCACTAATGGCTTTAGCCTCATTCTGGAGGCGTTCTCGGAGCTTCTGTGGGCTTTGCAGGCGTAGTTTTTGAGGAGATCTCTGAGGGATTGAGCTGGGTCTGGGTGTTGAGGGCGCTGGGACGCCTCTCAATGTTGGGATATTCGATGTCATCGAGTGGGATTTGTGGTGGCCCTTGTACATCGACGAAAGGTCTTTAACGATGACAGTATCTGGCGTTGTCATGATATTTTGCGGTCGCTCTGTCAGGTTTCCTCGAAACGCTGAACCCAACGGGGTATTTTCCTTCTGGTTTGGTGTGCCAGTACGATACATTGGAGAGCCATTCCTATCCAACAATCCACCGGCAATTGGCAGTTTGCTTGGGGATGGAGTCCTTGGCGAACCGAATCTTGCATTTTGGCTGGGCTGGGGCGATGCTGAAACTGGAGAGCTTCCGAGGGTCGCAACTGCCATCAAAGACTTAAGATCGGAAAGCGAGCTCCGGCGTTTCTTCTTGGGTGACTTTTCTGTACCATCCTTCCCTTGAGGGGGGGAACCACCGATAGTGCCGAGCCTGGATGGTTGCTCAATCGATGTTGAAGGTCGTCGATCATCGAATGTGCCCAATATTGTTGGTCTGTCGCGGGATGCCGGCCGCCTGTGAGGATAGTCGATGGATTTTGACCGACTCAGGGAGTCCTTCGACAGGTTCGATGAGTTTATCTGTTCTCCAATAGCAACACTCCGAGTCGTCTTGCTCAATGTTCGCCACACAGATGGGCGTGAGTCCGAATCTCCCTTATGGCCGTTCTGTCGGAGTATTGTATCCGCGAATCTCCTCCTTAGGGAAGATGCGTTTGACGTTATAGATCCAGGGGCAGAGCGATTCCCAGAAATAGATCCATATGTTGAGTTGCTAGTTCCACCAGAAGCAGTCAGAGCTCCAGGCCCCATATCGTCGAATAATCGATCTGAGTCCTCAACCATACGATCCAGTAGATTGATATAGTCGTGGGGCTGGCCATCAATCACTAGAAGCTCCGCAAATGAAACGGTCAAGGCACCTCGGTCGCCATCATTGCCACAACCATCAAGAAGGTCAGCTAATAATTTAATGATAGCAACAAACGCCCTCCTATTCTGGGGTGCCATCTCTCCAAAGATCATTCGGACATAATCTGCGAAGTCGCCCTGGAATAGCCTCAAAGATCTCTCCTGTAACGCGTCTAATGTCTGCAATGGCATAACCTGACCCATCTGGTCCTTCCATGCCATTCGTAGGAATTTTTCAAAGGCAACAAAAATAATATCAACAGATACTTCGGAGGCTGCCCGGGTATCGAAAGGATGTTCGATGAAGGTGTTATAAAGGGCATTTATGGATAGCTCGTCCGCAGTTCCCCGATTCCTCAATACTCTGGCAACGATATCGCCCTTCCTGGACTGGAGAGCGGCAATATAACCAGTGAAGGTCTGTTCTAGGCGCACGAGAGGGTTTTCGGGGCGGTTGTCATCAGCTGCCGCACGAACACTGCTCCTCCCGTCGAAATCCGGAATCGAGTGCGTTGATTTATTGCTGTTCGTTCGGGTTATCGGTTGCATGGTAGGGATATCGCCCAATAATGGAGTTCGAGAATGTTTTGATACGGATCCAGGGGTACCAAAAGACGTGGTCGAACTACTAAACCCTGAGCTAAGAAAGCTAGAAAGCATCTTGGCAGGCGAAGGAGGTCTAAATGATTTTGACCTATCACCCTCAACCATCACACGTATGGACTTGAGGATCTTTGTGTAAAACGAAGTTAATGGTGCCGTCAAGGCAGGATTGCTCGAATTGTTATGGGCAAGAAGAAGGTCGGAAACTAGTATTTCTTAGCAAGCAGGTTTTCAAAACCTATGGGACATTACATACCTCTTTTGGTGAAAATAGGTAAAATATGTTCTACGGCCAAGTCGTCAACGAACACCATATCGTGAAGGCCATCGATCTCTAATCTGTACTTGGTACCACCCGCGAGAGCAGTGACGTTGGCAACTATATCAACACCATAATGACCGACTGGTGCGCCCTTGGTGCCTTTGTCATGATCCACAACTATGCGAATAGGTGCTGGTTCCTTTCGACCTTCTATCAAAGTATCGATTCCTTCCTCAAAAACGGCAGTGTGAAAATTTATGGTAGCAGCTGCCACTTTCATTGACCGAAAGCTCCACTTATCAGTCTCACGTTCAGTCTCGGAGAATCTTCCCTCCACCTTAGCTTTGGTGACCTCCTCGGTCAATTTTAACGCCTTTCCTTCATATGCACCTTGCAGAAGAAATGACCGCACCGTGGCAGACATATTTCGTTCTCGGATTGTGGCTGCACCCCTTAGATCATGCAAAGAAGTCACCCAGATACTTCGGGCATCATCTGAAATAGTGAACCGAATATCACCGAGTACATGCCAACCAGCGAACGATAGTTCATAGACATGCTTCTGTCCCCCGGCAGCAGCTGTCACGGATGCCATCATGGTTGCTGCTGAGGGTTTGTCTATCTCAGCCATAAGACCTCGAGCTGAAAGGCTGCAATTTCGAGCCTTTTTCAGAATCACAAGGCAGTCAGCAAAAAGGAGGAACATGCCCTCTTGCGGAAATTCAGATGTTGTTGAAGTACCAAGGTGGTATGGAGCTGGGAGCTCGAGAATGTCAACGGCTGTGATCAGACGGCCCTTGGGATTTAGGGACGACGGCCACGACTCGATAATATTCCGAAGTCGATTAGTCACTTGTGGCTTGTCGGTTTCAGGTTGATCGAGAGAGCAGATGGAGGTGATGATATCTCGGGCTTTGAGCATAGAGCGAAGAGCCGGGTGAGTAACGGGGAGGCAGTTGACAATGTTGTCAATGAAAAGACTGTACCGAGGTAGTCTCTGAACAGGTTCAATCACTGCTGAGCGAAGGCGCTGTTCCCCAGTTTGCTGTACGCGTTGGGAGAAGCTTGACTGTTGCTTCAGGAACGTGGTGATAATTTGCGGAAAGTCCTGGCTAGCGCGTATATACTCTTGGTAGCAGTCCGAGAACTGAGGGAACCATTCAAGCAACACTTTTGCAAACGCAAGTGCCCCAGTCGGGTCTTTGAGCCGTCCAGATCCTCCATAACGAGACCCAGTAGAACTAACAACAGGTGCTTCGAGGTCCCGCATAGCATCCTCTTCGGTATCGTCCATGACTTTCCGGATCGCGGCAAGAAAACCCGAATTGACCTCTAAAATCTTGTCGAGAGATCGAGGAAAGAGCTTCTGTAAATCTTGCTCTGAAGGACTGAAACTTCCAAATGCGCGATTTTTGGCTTTGGTTCGGTAGTCATCAGCAATGTTATTGACCAATTCATGCATCTTGATCACATAGCGTTCTTCAGTATCTACCAATTCGCCCATCTCGCGACGCAACGACATTTTCTGGTCCTTCAGAAAAGATTTAGTTCTATTGATTGAAGTAGGCCTTGAAGGAGCGCGACGTAGCCTGGAAGTTGGAAGAAACGTAACCTCGCCAAAGAGCTTGACCAGAGAAGCATATGAGCCATACTGTTTCAACGTAGGATCCGCAATTTCTTCATCATCCATATCCTCGTCAACATCCTCTTGAAAAGGGGATATTGATCCTGGAGGTAGGACCAGGTCGACGTCCACATGACTGATGTTCTGAGGGCGCAAAGCGGCCTCGATATCCTGTATGACGTCCCCAATGTTTTCCACCCTGACCATAGAAGCCGCGAGGTCTGCCGCATGCTGCTCGCCGAAGAGGACCGGAGCTGATCCCGGTCGTTTACCTCGAGAATTCGCGGATTGAAGGATCAAGCTGCTCTTGACAACCTCCGAGAGGTCGCTGAAATACTTCAACAGCCCAAACGCGATCCCTCGGCATATCTCGTCTCCTTGTCGGTCGCGCGGGAGATAATTGACCGACTGATAGAACGGAGACTGCGGGGAAACGGTGATTCGAGGATAGCTCTTAAAGCTTGCTGCAGTAAAGATGTGTACCTGGATGCGAGAGCTGTTGAGCGTCGAATTGGTCGTCGTAGACGCGCCATGGAAGATAAAGACGGGCAGGTTTGCCAGGTAAGCATCAGTGGTGTAGTAAAGAGTGACCTCGTCTTGCGACAAAGCCAACTCGTGCGTGACCCGAACCATTGTGCTGATGGGGCGCACTTGCGAGTCGTGCGAAGGTGATGGCTTAGTCCGGGTCGGTCAATGGGCCTCCCTCATCGCGAAGTCGCCTCGACGATGGGAATCAATTGTGGGCGTCGTATCCCGTGTCGCTGGGGGTTGTGTGCAGCAGTATCGAGGTCGTGGGATGGGGAACGGGGAACATCTGTCCGCATGGACGTCATGGAAAGGGACGCGGTTGTGTTTCCTCAGCCTCAGCCGTGTTGTGTTGTTGTCGATGCGCCCAGCGCCTCCTTTGCGGCTTTGCCCCTTACTTCAGGCTTTCGTAATATTGACAACCCTTGATTGACGGCACCAGCAGACGGCAGCAGCAAGACGAAGGATTGGCTCTTCCTGCTCCGTACTAAAATACTAAAAGAGCGTCAACTCAGCTGTGCCCTATCTCTGTGTTTGGCGCGGGCGCGGCGGTTTCGCAGGGCCAGACCAGGCTGACGCGTTGATTGGCTGCTTCCAAGCGATGGTAAATAAAGTACAGGATATAAATAAATCTTATAAATTCTTCCGCGCCTGACCGACCCATCACTTCCCGTTGTGCACAATTCATGATCACGGCAAAACACTACCGACATGCCGTCTCAATACTCGGTCGATATTCCTTTCGCAGCAAGTCACCACCAACAAGCCTTCAAGCTTATTGAGCTGCCTCCCGAGCTCTTGGCCCTCCTCGAGTCAGACAATCCACCGACGTGTGTGCCCAACTTATGCGACCCTCCGCTTGAATCCCAACTGACACACCCTTCAGCCTTAACATAACTTCCTCCTCGCCTTCGCCCACAACCCCAGCCTATGCTCTCCTTAATGCAGGTACCAAGACCTACCAGATGCGGCAAAAGAACACATCAAATCCAATCATGCTCCTCAAGCCTTCGTCAACGACCCCAACAGAGACGGACGATCCTACAACTTTTATTCCCCAGCCGTCACTATGTTCAATTGCAAAGATTGAAGATACAATTGAATTGATCCTTCAGGAGCCGGAGACTGCAGAGAAAGTCCCGCCGAAGGTTAACAAATGGCACGAGAAGTTCGCTAAGAGCAGGATGGAGAAGAAGAAATGAATGAAGCGACACGATATATGTGAAACATTGGCTATCCGGTATATTGTCTATACGGAGAGATCGGGCTATCAAGCTAGGCTTTTTGAAACGCAAATTTCCGGAAAGCTTCGGAGAGCAATACCCCAGTGGACGATACTGCTACGACTTATAGACAAGACCATGAAATGATGGAAGGTGATGCACGAAAGGTGGCAGAGGGAGATGGTCACAGCCGTAGATGACTGACTAGAGTAGAACCTTCGCGCTGGGTTTAGAGAGTGTGCCGCCTACCACACAAAACTGGGCCGAGTCATGATGCAAATAGCTTCAGTGGCACCGAATGTAGTTGCACCTCAAGTGTGGGCAAGAGTTCTTGCTGTATAATATAATGTACGAAACATCGACGGACAGCCGGCGTTGGATAGTTCAACATCAAAAATTGAGTCACGTAAGATTCAGAAGTATACGGCACTGGCCATATGGCCCCAGACCATCTAGATTGACCAAGCCCTGCCCTGCCTGACAATGCCTGGCATTATGTCAATCCTCGGTATGAGGGTCGACGAGAGACACGCGGGACTACACAACCGGGCCTCCAAACTTCTTGCCTTGAATGTAACTGCGATTTTTCTTTCCTTCGGCACACGAGTATGCAGTGATATTACCATACGAAAAGGACACAGACTGGTACTATCATGCTGAAGTCAACAGAACTATGCTCCTCGACCCGCGAAAGCCTCCCAAAATCAGGGGAGGGTGATTTCAAAGCTTCGTAAGGAGACTTTTCTGGTCCCCTAGCAATATGCTATAAGTGCTGAATGCAGAGGGGACTTGATAACCACGAGAGGGGATGACGGCTGCAGTAATTGGGCTTCAAGGTGAAGTGCAATGGGGGTCATACGATAAGAGCGAGGGAGAAGGACGAGTGCGATGTGCAACAAAGTTTGTTGTTACCGTATTGGTACGTCAAGGGACCTTTGTCAACTACCTTATCCAGAGAAGGTGAGAAGCTGGGTGCGATGTGCAACAAAACTTAATATAGCAGGATGTACTTTAAGAGGCTAAGTAAGGTACCTTACCTTTTTAAGTTCTCAAGTATTAAGAGAAAGTGAGATTATGGGTGCGATGTGCAACAAAATCTGTTATTATCGCACCAGTCAGTACAAGGAAGGAGCCAGTTCCCAATTATCCAGAGAAAGTGAGATCATGGGTGCGATGTGCAACAAAACTCCTTGTCAGTCAACATTCTCCGTCATTAGGCTGTTCTTGTGGATGTGAAATGCAAACAGAACAGGGGGCATGTCAATTACTCAGGAGCAAACGAAGTAGCAAGACCAGTACTTGCGCTATCGAGGGATATGGAAGAGAGGAGTCTAGTGCTTAAGTATAGCAGTCTCTTTTCGGTGGGGGGAGGATTAGGTGCATTAGAAAGCCTGGCTTTCCGTTTTCTCTGTTGGGATGCCGTGGTCTGGGAACCGTCTTGGGAGTTACCCTCTCAGCTATCCGCTTGCATCATTATCAAAGGAAGCGAAGCTTCATGCCCGTTGTCCATTCCTAGAGGCAAGTAGCAGCTGTCAACTCACTAACACCAACCAAACTTCTCATTGGCAACCCACTCAATCTCATCCGTTCCGCCGTTACCCGCACCATACCACATCAGACTAGCAATGCTCTCCTCCTCCCTATCAACTTCTTTGTACTCTATGCCCAACTTTTCTATCAGACCTTTAGCATAAGGCGTTGGATTCCACATCTCCACATGCCCCAGTTTCCACTCCCTCGCTTCGTCTTGCGCCCTTTCAATGATAGATCTCAATTTCCCTACGTTTGCAGCTGCTGCAGAAGCGGATTTATCCTCGATCACGACTCGTAGGATGTGGAACGTGTTGTGCGAGGATTGGCTATCCAGGGGCCCGTAGAAATTCCGCGTCCAGATGGCCCACACACGAGAACCTGGGGAGCCGGCAATGGCACCTTTGACAGTCGGGGAGTGGCCGAAGAGCTTTTTCGTCACGAAATCTTCGCGGTGGTGGTGCCACTGCATGGTATCATAATTGGGGAGCAGGGCGACTTGAACTTTTCCACCTTTCGCATTGGCCAGTTCGTCCCGGATGTATTTCTCGTCCAGGGCGCACAGGGAGGGCAGGTCTGGGTATGTGAGAGGGGTTGCAATATTGCCTGTTTTGGGGGAGGACGAGGAGGAGGGAGGAAAGGCGATATGGGTTGAAGGGAACGCCGCCCACCCAAGCCCTGCATAGTACTTCTTCCCAATATCCGAATACAATATCGAGAATAAACACTCTTTCCCCTCGCCCACCTGCCACGTCTTGAGTTCTTTACCCAGCTCCTTCAGCATGCGGCTTGCGTACCCTCTCCCCCTGTATTGAGGATCGCAGAATACACTCCCGATCCCATGCGTGATCAGCTCTTTTATTTCTCCTTCAGGAGTACGCACCAAAGCGGGCTTGCGGAGTGACTCGCAAGATGCCAATATGGGGCGCGAACTGGGAGGCGCCGAGGAGGAAGTCAGGATCCAGTGGGTGATGCCACCATCGCGAGCGAGGGGCACGTTCATGAGATAAGTTTCCCGCTCGATGTAGGATTCGAGTCCGAGGGCTCCCCCCCAGTTGCGTGAGTTGAGGGTCCAGGTTGCAGTGCGTTCGAGGGGTGTGGGATGCGTTAGATGTAGGGAGGGGGAGCTGGCGGAAGGGAGCAAATCGCTGGTGGGTAAGGTAGAACCCATCTTGGCTGCTGGGAGATGTAGATTCCTGTGTAGTTTGTGCTTGGTGTATGATTGGTGTCCTTCTTTTCTATAGTACCTCGTGGCGCCTCGAATCTAGCAGAGTGTTCCTGAATATGCCAATGCTTGTGGATTGTGGATCTAGTCTGAGGTCCAGCAGGTAGAGTCTAAGGGTGTGAGTTTGAAGATATAGAAAGGGGAGCGGGATGCAATTCGATCACAGGGGGCAATTCATGACGAATGGGCACAGCAGACGCAAGGAGAGGGCGATACTTATTACTTAGGCTTCCTGTGGTACTGGTAGATCCGCCAGAAGGAAAGGCTGTAACCATTTCTCCCCAGTTCTAATATAAGCAAGACTCCTGCCGTTAGAGCCCTAGCGGTGTGGGCCAGGTGGGGTCTGGGCGGTAGAGAATCTGGGATATCTGGGGTTCGACAGGCGGGCCAGAGCCGATGGTAACCACTTGAACCACTCGCGTTGAATACTAGTAGTCCTGCGGAGCATCCAGATGATCAACCAGGTTGTGTCTTAGGGAGTCCTTAGGGCAGACCGGACCATTCAAGTCGGAGCTGGTTGCAGCACGGTGCGAGCCCATGACAAGCCATGACTAAGTTCACGTGGTGATTAGATACACGAATCATTCTCAACAACCTGAGACGACGACGACGTACTATCTACAGTTAACAGCCTCGTCCCATGGATTGCTTCACCCATTCGCCCATCCCAAGACATGGCTCACTACCGCCCGAGGGATCTAGGACATCGGCTGCCAAATGCATAACCGTGGTAAACCCTAACCAATTCACTTTCTGTATCTATTCACTGTCATTCCGCGCCCCTCTTTCCCGCTCGCCTGTTCTCGATCTATCGCTTCGCACCATCTGCTGTCCTCGTAGAACATGAATTCGGTTGCTTGCTTCTTTCTCCCTTCCCCCCTCGCAGCATTGCCTTCACTTTCTTTGCGCGCCAGTGCGTGTCTGTTTTGTTCCCCGCCGTTCCTTCTGCACCTGTGCTTTGAATTCCGAACTGAGACTCAATATGGGAAGTGTCAACTGCAAACTACGGAACCCTCTAAGGTCACACCGCAAGGCCGAGAACAAGTCCAGACGAAACCTCTTCCATCTCCCTTTCTTCAACAGCCGTCATCCCAAGGGACGACCTGATCCACGCGACGCACCACCGCGGCCTCCCCCTCCCGACGCAATGAGCCCTGCTCACCATGTTCCCGGCCAGAAGAACATCCCTGCGGCCGACTTTATTGAGATTTCTGACGACGAGGCTGAGCCAGCTCTGGCCCATCCCAGACCGCCAGATCTTGGACGGCCTGAGCAGAACGTGGCCCCTCTCGCTCAACTTGCGCCAAATCGCCCTGCCCTGAGAGCGCCCAGGCCGGATCGTCGAGTAAAATGGAGAGAATTTGACGGCATGGATGACTTTGGCGATTTTGACCAACTCGAAGGCCTCGACGAGTTCGACGGGTTTGCCGCCTTGGATGCCGAACATACTCGGCATAAATCGGCTGGCGTTATGGAGGAACACCGAGCCCAAGCAACACGAATTCCCCGAGCTGACAACTCACCTTCCCCGAACCCGCAGGATATCCACCAGCTTCCAGCCATGATGGAGACCAAGATCGCTTGTGTTGATATGGTTGTGACGATCTTCCCTGATATCTGCCGCGATTTTGTCTCGGGTCTCTATGACAAACTCTCCAAACACTCCGACCAGCTTATCAACCATATCTTGGAGAGTGAAGTGCCATACCCAAAAGCAAAAGATTCTCAGAAGACACTAAAAAGAAAGAGGGATCTCGATGAGGAAGAGGAGTTAACCCGCAAGTATTCTTCTGCAGACCGCGTAATACCGGTGAAAGCTGATGGCGTCCGACCTTGGATGTAAGTTCATTCTTTAATCTCCGTTTTTGAAGTGTCACGGTGATTCGGCTTCCGGATCCGCATTCCAATTACGTCCTTGAACCATCTGTTTACAAGGGTATGCCATGTTGAAGAAATGTACCTTGATCACCCAGCTCCGGCTACTTCCATTAGATGAGCGTACTATACAGCCCTGATATTCAAGGCTGGGGAGTTTCATATACCTGGATGTATTTTGTTGGCACGGTAATGTGAGCCCTACTAACTCGTCACAGACGTCATATTTTGTCTCTGGAGTTTCCAGAAACCCCCATGACTTTCATTGATACGTGCTTGTATCAAGATGGGTTTCGTCTGTTCCCGACGTATCGGGTTCTTGAACAGGCCCACAGAACGTTTGATCCACAGAACCCTCCGTATAACAAACTAAAAGTCAAGAGGAAGATGTCGGAAGAGTACCAAGAGGCCCGTTTGAAGATTCTCCTTGACGGAAGGCCCATTCCCGGAAGCATATATGATAGGGAACATATCGAGATTCTTCAAGAATTGCAAGCAGCTAGAAGAGTTCGAAAAAAGGCCGATGCGGATCGTGAGGAGGAGCGCCGACTAGAACTTGAAGAGGAAGCTAATCTACTGAAGGCCCAAGCTGAGGGTACGATAGCAGATTGCGGCTGTTGCTTTGGCGAGTACCCTCTCAATCGAATGGTTCATTGCAACAATGAAGAGGCATTGCATTGGTTTTGCAGGGATTGCGCCAGACAGAATGCAGAAACAGCGATTGGCCAATCTAAGTACCAGCTTGTCTGCATGTCAACTGACGGCTGCGCCTCGGGATTTTCACAAGAACAGCGGTAAGACTCAAATGAAAGGGTAGATTATTTTTCTATACTAATTTTCAAAAGCTCACACTTCTTGGACGAGAAATTGGCTATTGCGCTGGAGCGTAGCGAACAAGAAGCAAATCTGCGCATGGCAGGCATCGAAAACCTTGCTAGTTGCCCTTTCTGCCCATTTGCCGCGGAGTATCCGCCGGTTGAGATTGACAAGGAATTTAGGTGCCAAGCCCCTGATTGCGAAAGGATTAGCTGCCGCCTTTGCAAGCTTGAATCTCACATTCCAAAGAGCTGTGAGGAGAACGCCAAAGACAATGGATTGTCAATCCGACGACAGATTGAGGAGGCAATGTCCGAAGCTTTGATTCGCAAATGCAACAAATGCGGGACACCATTTGTTAAAGAGGAAGGATGCAATAAGATGACCTGTACAAGGAACGGATGCTTCAATGTTCAGTGTTACATTTGCTCCAAGTCCTGCAACTATGACCATTTCAACGACCCACAAAGAGGTGGTAGGGTGGGAAATTGCCCATTATTTGAGAGCACTCAGCAGCGGCACGATGACGATGTCCGGAAAGCGGAAAAGGATGCGCTTGAAAGAATTCGGGCAGAGCATCCGGAATATTCTGAAGAAGATCTGAAAATTCAAGTTTCGGAGGCTGTCCTGAAAGACGATGAGCGACGGAGGGCGAATAATCCCAGAGCCCGTCCAGTGCCTATGGGTGCTCCTGGTCAGTAGATTATCTCCATTTATTCCCATAATCTTATGTCTGTCGCCGGTCTCAGGTGCGGTCTCAGCATACTTTATATAATTGCTGCCTGTTTATCTTCATTTATATCACGTTGTACTTTGCTAAGTATTCTAACAGGCGGCCGAGTGTACCAAGCGTACCAGGAAGCAGCTGGACTTAATAATGCTGAAGGACCAGATTTACAGAGAGGCTATTTTGCAATGATGCGGGATGCACTTATTGAATACGCTCCGCAACGTCCAGAGCCTCGCCCCCGCGAGGATAATGCTGAACAACAAGACGTACAGAGAGGCTATTACGAGATGATGGCGGATGCATTAAGGGAAGTTCCTCAACAGCTTCCAATGCTCCCCTTCCACGAGTATGGTCCGCAACCTCCGTATGACGTACTGCCACCACCAGAGGAGCAGATTTTTGAAGGTAAGCCATAATCAGACTATCTTTTCTCGCTCCTTTCTGAGGCCACTCTAGACTTTTAACACTATGAGTCATCTGTCCACTGCGGAGGCGAGGGCGAATGCCGGGAAGGAACTGGTGAGAGAGAACCAGAGTTGAGGTAAGGCGTTAGGTCTTGGTTAGAGAGCGTGGAGAGCTGTGATTAAGGGGGATGATGGAGATGGTTTTTTCTGCATCACCACTGCCATCGCTGATACTAGTGATACCCACGCCACAACCTCTTTTCTCCCTCCTCCCTCAGCAGAGGCGAGATAATCTGCGCGTTGCTTTTTCTTTTCATTTGGTGTCCTGGGATTAGCGCGGTCGTTTGGGCGTTTTGACACTGATACCACTAGAGTGGCTATTTGCTTTTTTAGGGGGTAAGGATAGGGATGGAAAGGACGGGTGGGTAAGGGGGGGCCGGACATAGGGATAGGGCTATAGAGTAGAGTAGAGTAAGCAGGGTAATGATTCAAGACGAATGAAAGAAGAAAGAAAGCCATTAAGAGATAAAGAATAAGAGGTATGTCGTATCCGCGCCGGCTCCGAGAAGAGTGACAGTATCTATCATGAAATCGGCTTTCGTGACTGGGTTACCGTTCATGCCTTTCGCCTCGATAAAATGTTGAAGAATGGTTTTTATCTCCCCCGTTCTTCATTCGAAACGCTGCCTAGCCGTCGAGCCAGCTGACGAATTTTCCATAGTTTGTGAAGCCCGTTGTGAGGATCTATCATTCAACCAGAACATGTGTAAGGGCACGAAACCCATGTTAGACATGAAACAGAAACCGTTGTGTACGGAGCCAATAGCGCCCTCGGATTCAAACACTTTATCGACGAAGCCGTTGATGCAAATTGATGGGTTTGCCGGCGCGAGCGAATTCGCGGAATTTTGCCCAATTCCGCATCTGCTAAAGCGAGAGAAGCGCGGAGTGGAGCGGGGCTCTGCGGGGTAGCGCGGGGCGGAGGAGCGGGGCGCATGTAGATGACGTTGGAAGTATGAGGCTAGTAGGAGGAAGCCTATAAGCGAGCCGACGATTAGGGAAATGCAAATTGATAAGGAAAGGCGGGGTTCAGAGCTTTCTAAACGGGAATAGAGTGTAGTCTCCTCCGTATTGATTACTGGTTACCTTACTTTCGAGCTGAGTTTAAAGATGATAGGTACAGTAAGGCTGAAACTGCCTAAGGCTGTAAGGCACCAAAGCCTTCAACATCTCGAGGGTTCCCAACAAGCCATTGCTCTTTCCTCGCCATACAACACGAAAAACACCACGGCGCGAAGCTCAGAGACTGAAGTATGCCACCAAACGTCTCCATTAGCGACGACAGTTGCACACTCGACACACACGGCAAGAGCAAGTGGAAACGACAGTCATCACCCGCGGCTGACATGGAACCTGCATCCCCTCAACGCACGCATATGCCGTCGAAACGGCAGAGACTTGATTCCAATGATCAGAAAGAAAAGTCCACCCGCGTTTCAGACACCCTTTTAAAGGCACTAGGGTGCGAGGAGCTCTCGTCGTAGGTTACCCCAACAAATGCTCCATACGAGGATTTATGTACTGATTAAGGAACCCTAGGATACACCCTACAGCATATGTACAAGACAACCGCATTGTTATCCCGTCTGTGTCCGCAGAAATGTACAGATCTGCTCGGGAGCAAGTCTTTGCCGCTACCGGGTCGAAACGCATCCGTCTTGAACACTTCAGCTCCAGAACTAAAAGCGAGCTTGTCATCACAATGCCAACGCAGATACACGAAATGATGAAGGCATTCGCCACGGAAATAAAAGCCCAAATGTTCGTGCCAGATTCCGACACTAGCCAAGCATTCATGCCTCCCTCGTGGAGGGAACAACGAGTTTTAGAGACAGGATCATTCAGTTAGTTATGTAAGAGATGCTTCAAAGTTAATGCTGATCCGGGTTGTTACGAATAGCATTAGGTCTACGCCACGGCAGTCACACAAGCCAATTCGAACCCGATGCGTCTCTAGCGTTCGAGCCCAAAAACCCATTTCTAGTGCTGGAGGTGGCGATCACACAGGATGCCAAATCGGTCAAAAGAAAGGCCAGGCATTATATCACGGGCTCTCGTGGAAAGATTGCCTATGTCGTGGTGATTACAGTGCGTCGAATGAAGAATCAAATGGTTGAGCAAGGCGGAGGTCAGAGCAACAAAGACGGGACTTTGGAAAGCAAGGACGACCTGAGAAATGAAGCCTCCGATACGACGCGGACAGACATTCCTGGAGATGCCAATCAACATGGGAACGACGGTCAAAGAGAAGAAACTGAAAGTATGACCTCGACACTAACGGATCCTCCGTCTGACTTGTCCCAATGGGATGTATTCCCCCCACAGAGCCCATCAGAGGACCAAGCTAGCCCCCGCAGCACAGGCTTGGGTAACGCAACCACCTCAAGCGTCTCCATTCCACCCTTGCTGTACAGAGTCCTTGACACTAACGATGTTCTCAACACCAACGACTCAGTGTATGCCAGTGTCTTTAAATCCGTTTCCATCTCTTCCCCAACCGTCGACTCCACCCAGCAAGTAAGACGCGTTATGCAGCCTCTTATTGAAGAAGTTGAAGTATACCCGCGTCCCACAGCCGCTTCATTTAGTATCTCCTGGTCTGATATCGCAAAGTCTGCGCCCAGGGGCGCCGGGGAAAGTGTGCATATCAACCTAGAGCCGCTGAGTCGTTTGGCGCAGGTCATGGCTGGACACGTCGAGGGGAGCGATGACGGATTCAGCGCTCTCTCAAGCTAAGGGATAGATCCTTCTCTTACCTAGCCTAACCGCAGAGGTTGAACACGAGACAAGTAGCGGGAGTGAGCCTTCTTCCATGGAGAAGGGTAAAGAGCCCGATTTTATTCCTTGGGTATTGTATAGGCCCCGTCAGAGGGTGGCTATCTTTGATCCGTGAAACCCAGAGGAATGGTTCCAGTTCTGAAGGCGATCCTGGGCGGAAGCTTAACCTGACGAAGGGCTGACCAACTTAACTCTGCTTCTGCTCTGCAGCCTATTCTATTCTTACGAGTTAACGTGCCGTGCCCTCCCACTGAATCCATCTCGATAATCAAGAGACAACAAGCAATTGTCAAACACATGGGAAGTTATATTACAAAAGAGGTGGTAATAACAGGGTGGATCCAAGTGGATTAGAACTGAGTTGAATTGAATTGAAAAGGAGGGTAGCTAACTACTCTATATACTCAAAAAGGTGGGTGTTATTTACAGGGAAGGCGCGATATCCCCTGGGTATTGATATAGGTCTTGAGAGCCTTAATATCCAACAGGATCCAATTGTCCCAACAGGATGTCAGGTCAGAGGATTTAGAGGCACTTTGTCGTACCGCTACTCTCAATACCGGGTAGTAAGTTACTCAGGGAATTACGATGATAGTGGGGAATGGATAGGTGGAAAAGTACGACAGGACTGCATATGCATCATAGACTGAACTTGAAGATCAAGGACGGCATTAAAGGCGTTTTGGCACTGTGGGAAAATCAGATACCCCCCTGCGGGATTGCATTGTGAGCGCGGGAGTGGCTTTTGCCTTTTGCTTCTGGTTTTCCTGTAATAAAGCTTTTATTTTACACCTTTGTCGAGGACAACTCTCATAATGGTAAGCATAATAGCAAGCCAATAGCTACCTTAAGCTATATCTACGGAAGACAGCCTAATGAAAAAGCTATTCTGTTTCCGTCTATCCCCATGGCAAGCCCATACATGATCTCTTCCGTTGCCTTTACGCGTACTAGGCGAGAAGATTATAATCTAATTTCATTGATCACGGTAGCTGGAGATTTCTACCTCCTTCCAAAGCTGTGATTTCGCAAAGGGTAGCTCCTGGATTTTGAGAAAACGATAAAAATCTTCACCCTGACGATTACCGATTAGAGGCTTGCTTTGCCTTTCCTTCCTCGATCCATGATTCCAAAATGAATTCACCGGCTTCCACAGATCTCACGGGCACGCTCTTGACGCCTCCCAGATCGCTTCCTATCCTTGTACTGTTTCCCTTCTCTCCCGTTTGAAGTGAAGGCTCAGACGGCACCCAAGGCTGCGGATGCTAATATTTGTCAGTGGTATCCCAACCCTCGTATGCGGAAGCAGCTTACCCCAATCGGCGGATCGGCTTTGTCTTTCAACTCCACCGCAACAGTGTACGTACAGCCTTCGGGCAGCTCTCCCAGCTTCCCTCCACAATAAGCCAGTTTTCTGATCGTAGCCCGTAACTGCTCTTCCACATCTACCCTGCTGACCTTCACCTCCTCGCCACCCTCCCCCGCCTGCTCCTCAAACTCTGTATGTATTTCCTTTTCAGGAACGGCGGGGAACCTCTCCACGTCAAAAAGAAACCGCTCCATGACCTCGTGCTTATCTGAAAATATAACGACCACTACCCGCCGGACAGCGCCCTTGAGCATCTGGTCCCGCACTGCGGAAACCGCGTCCAGAATCCATTTGCAGACTAACGGATGCCGGTTTTGACGAACGGGGAAGTTGTAGGCGCGGGTCAGGAGAAAGGTTTCTGGCGGATAGAGACCCCGCTCGTAGAGGATAGTGTGGATTGCGACGACGAGGAAGTCGGTGAAGGCTGTGGTGAGGGAGTGGTAGGTGTTTAGTTGGAGGGGTTTGGGTGGCGCTGCCATGGCTGCTAGATTCGCGACGGCGTCAAGGAGGGATGATATGGTCAAACCGTACCGAGCAGGGATTCACGGGAGGATCTGAAGGCATTCCCAGCTCTGGTCGAGCCCTCTGTTGGCTCACGAGGTGGTCTTCGGAGAGGAGTGACGTTGTTGAGGGTATCTGATTCGCGGTACCGAGGCGCACTGCACTGCACTTTTACAAGTCGCGTCGTATACCCTAATCGACTCAGAGCATTTCCATCTCAGAATTTCTCCACGCGCTGTCTTCGCGCTGTCCTCCTCACAAACCACTGCGAACACCTGGACATTCCTCACCATCAGTGATTCCGTGGCCCCAGCAAGGATGGCGGGAACCATGGAAGATCAACTGCTGCAGTTACTAGCAGACACGCATCTCCCCGCCGAGGGACCCCGCAAGCAGGCCGAGCTACACCTGCAGCAAGCACAGAGCAACCCGGCGTTCCCTAGCAGCCTCGCTGCCATTGCCAGCCATAACTCTGTGAGCACGGATATCCGCCAGAGCGCGCTGGTGGCGCTCAGAGGCTTCGTCGAGAAGAATTGGAGTGGGGAGAATGACGATGGCCCAACTGTCCCCATCGCTGAGCCTACGAGGGAGCAGTTGCGCGGTCAGCTTCTGCAGCTCGCTATCAGTGACGATGCGGACCGCAAGATCAAGAGCGCAGCGAGGTACGTGCCGGGTGCATTTTGCCCATGAAGGAAAGCCAGCTAACAGTCCTCGAAAATAGCTACGTCGTTAGCAAGATTGCCAATATCGACTTTCCTGACCAGTGGCCGAACCTCCTCCCTGCCATCCTCCAGGTTATTCCCAATGCCTCCGATGCCCAGTTACATGGTGCCCTGAAGGTGCTGTCGGACCTCGTGGACGACTGCTTGAGCGAGGACCAGTTCTTCTCGGTGGCGCACGATATTGTCAAGGTCGTCTATGACGTGGCTGTCAACGAGAACCGGAAGCCGATTCTACGGGCCCTGGCAGTATCAGTGTTCCGTGGCTGCTTTGACATAATGGATATGGTGAAGGATGAGCACGGACCAGAAGTCAAAGGATTCGCAGATGGAGCCCTGAAAGCGTGGTCGCCGTTCTTCATGGATGTTATGAAGAAGACCTTACCTGAGCGGCCTCAGGGGAGCGATGAGGGCTACGAGAGTGGTAGAGATGACCGATCAGAAATGTGGAGAGGGATCATTGCGTTGAAGTTGCAGGTTGTCAAGACCCTGATGAAAATTCGATCAGTGTTTCCCCAGCTGCTACTGCCACAGAGCCCTGCGCTGTTCACTGTGACATGGGAGGAATTGTCAATAATTCAACAGCCATACAAGGATATGTATATCGACAATGATGAACAAGGACGGCTCGAGGATGCAGATGGCCTGCCCTATACACTGGACTTCTTGGTTCTAGAGGAGCTTGACTTCCTGCAGTCATGTCTAAGAGCCCCTCCTGTTCAGAAGGAACTGGAAGCACAGATACAAGCACACGGTGCAGTTTCTGCAACACCTTTCGTTATGGACGTCATGAAATTAGCAGTCGGCTATGCACAAATCCCTAAGGAGGAAGAAGACTTATGGGACATCGATGTCAATCTTTTCTTGGCCGAGGAAACGTCCGTTACAGCCAACTATACTGCTCGCACTGCTTGTGGTGATTTGCTCATCAAGCTAGGCGAGTGGCTACATCAGGGCGCTCTAGAAGGTCTGCTGGCATACACTCAGGCTCTTTTTGCTTCGGAAGGTGCTTCATGGAGAACACGAGAAGCATCGCTGTTCCTTGTGACCCAGCTCATGAACGACTTTATGGACGTAGACAAGAAGGTGGCTCCTGAAATCGCAGGTTCATACATGGCTTTGATCGATTACGCCATCAACCGAGCAGAGGAGCCACTTCTTCGAGCCCGCGGCTACTTGGTTGCTGGCATCCTCGTTCAGAGCATTCCAGATGTTGCTCTTGCCTTGCTCGACCGTACGATCAAAGCAGTCAACGCCGACGAGGCTGAGGTGGTCAAAGTTTCCTGCATCAAAGCCCTTCAAGGATTTATCAAAGCAAACGCAGTGCCAGCTGATAGGCAAATTGCCATTGTGGCCTCGATATCAGAGTTCCTTTACGCTAAAGACCTGACAGACCTTGAAGATGCGGATGATCTTCTTGTTACTTTGGTTGAGTCGTTGAGGGCAGCGATTGGTATGGACCCAAGGATCACCATTTCGGGTGATGGTGGGGCGCTGGACCTTCTCTTCGTTCTTGCAAAACACGGTGCAGCCAATTTCCAGCTGACCATGATGGTTAGTGAGGCTTTTGAGGACATTGTTGAAGCTCTTGCTGGCAGAGAAACATACACGGCTCTGTGTGAAAAGGTTCTACCATCATTGACTGGTGCATTTGATGTTGGAAACATCACTGAAGATGATCCTTTAATTGAGGTAAGTCATCTTCTTTACTCGCCTTAAAAATCTTGATGCTAATGGAAATTTTAGCTTGCTACGGAACTACTAGCAACTCTTACTGAGAACGGTTCTGAGCCACTTCCTCCGGGATACGTTGCAGCCACCTTGCCAAAGTTGAACCGTCTGCTGATGGCTACGACCGAAGGAGGAATTCTTCGACCCGGTGTTGAAGCCGTTAAATTCATGTTGATGCACGACCATCAGCAAGTCTTTGCCTGGCATGATGAGGCTAACAGATCTGGTCTCGAGGTATGTTTGGTCATCATAGATCGATTGCTTGGTCCTGCCATGGAGGACAATGCGGCTTCAGAGGTCGGTGGCCTTGCTGCCGAATTGGTTGAGAAGGCCGGCCAGGAGCGCCTTGGTCCTTATTTGGAGCAGTTATTAAGGGCAGTTGCTTCCCGTCTCGTCACTGCCGAAGCTGCACCCTTTATCCAATCATTAATCTTGGTCTTTGCTCGCCTGTCCCTAGTCGGTGCCCAAGACGTTGTAGAGTTCTTGAGCCGAATCGAGCTCAATGGACAAAGTGGTTTACAAGTTGTCCTCAGCAAATGGCTTGAGCATTCTATTAATTTTGCAGGATATGATGAGATTCGACAGAAGTAGGTATCTCTATCATTTTATTGCTACTCTCTAACAGCTTTTAGTGTCATCGCCTTATCTAAAATTTATGCTCTAAATGATCCACGAGTTGTGCAAACAATGGTCAAGGGCGATCTGATCATCCCTGTCAGCGATCGAATTATGACAAGATCAAAAGCCAAACAAAGTGAGTTTGTCATCTGTTCATGCCGTTCAAAATCTAATTATCCCAGACCCCGACCAATACACAATTATCCCCGCTCCCTTAAAGATCATCAAGGTGCTCATCGAAGAGCTTCTGTCTGCCTCCGGAATTCAGAACGCCAGCCAAGCCGCTGCTGCTGCAGAATTCGCGGATGATGAAGGCGATGATGATGGCTGGGAAGACGTTCCCAATATCCTGGATCTCGGTCTAGGTACCACCAAAGCCCAGCTCATGGCATACGGCGATGGATCTTCAAACTTCATCAGACAACGTGACGATGAGACCCAGGCCTATTTAACCGACTTCTTCATCAAGGCTGCAAGTGAGAACACTGCGGGCTTCAATGAGCTATATGGCGCGTTGACGGATGAGGAGAAGTTGAAGCTGAATGAGCTTGCTCATCAGCCGTAAGCTGACCTTCCGTATTATCGGAGGAAAGTGAAAAAGGGAAAGCACATATGGAAAGCAAGAATGGATAAGTACAAACGAGCATGCCCTTTTAGATTTATTCGTCATTATTCCCGACCAGGTAGCTAGTAGCTTCATGCATACCGACAGTAGTAGTATAGCGTAGTTTATTTCTACTCTGATGGCCGAGAGATGAGCTGGCCTATTCATCATCGCAAGAGCTGCGTGGTGAGGTAATAAAATAATCAATAGCATTAGTTCAAAAGCAATTAATGAGAGAAAGCTCCCAGCTGCATCGCATCTTGATGCGACGTTGAAAATGTTTTTTTTATTGATTAGTTGACGAGCAAATTAATCAAGAAAGTAGGAGATCCAGCAACCAGAATCCTTCCTACCCGGCACTTTAATTTGGCTGTCGAAGAAGAACAACAACAATACTACTTACTACCCATTTACCCAAACCGACAAAAGCCATCAAGATGCAGTAGTGGGTGTGGGTTTGGGAGGCGGGGTCGCACACGTGGAGAGAGTAGTCCAAGGCAAAGTCGCCGTCGTGGCTGCAACCCCTGGGATGGTCTCCGCCTTCACCAAGACCGGGATCACAGCCCCTGTATTAAGCGAGAACGTCCGGTGGTTGAGGACTGCGATTGAATGCATCAGTCAGCTCTCCTTTCTTTCCTTCACCAAAAGAAAAAAAGAAAAAGAAAAGGGACCAGAGAGGAAGGACTCACCCGTCAAAATACTACCAATCTCTCCTGAATGGCTAGTGATGGAGATCCAAGTATGCGGATCACTCTGGAACACCTCATCCAGCACCTTCTTACTCCTCAACTCCTGATCCAACGGCACCTCTCCCAGCAACGGTTTCCACAAAAGATCCTCCTCAGAAAAGCCCTCCTCAATCACATACCCAGGGAAATTCTCACGGATATACGTCCGATTACTCCGTCTGTCACACGTATGTCCACTAATGCTCTCCCTGAACAGCTCCTTCACCACCGGCACGAACGGTCTATCCCTCGGCAAGTCCAGCGTTGAAAACGTCACGTTCGCCGTTTCCAAACAGCGCGTCAGCGGAGACGTGTAGTAGGATTCCGGAAGCGGGATTTTCTGGAGCGTGATGCGCGATGCCCAGAAGTCCGCTGCGATTTGCGCTTGCGCGATCCCTGCTGCGTCGATGTGCGCGTCGGCCCAGACAGAGGTCCCGTTGCCGTCTTTCTCTGACCAGTAGCAGTTCCAGGCTGGCGTGCCGTAGTACGTCTCGGCCGCGTTGTGGTAGCCTTCGCCGTGCCGGCCCATGTATAAAAGCTTGTAGTTGGTCAAGGGACCGCTGTGCAGGTTCAGCGAGTTCACGTAGTGAGCGAAACGCTGCCATTGGGTGAAGGATTGAGGGATCTCGTGGTCTGTGGGATAGGTGCGGTTGATGAGTCCGAAATTTGTCGTCGTCTGATGTTATGTTATGTATGTGATTAGAAGCTGTTCTGTTCTGTTCTTTCTTCTCTTTTTTGTTCTTGGGATGGAGGAGTACGTACATAGTCAAATGTGGTAGGGTCCGTACTGGGCTCATCTTGGAGAAAGAATCCAGTAACAGTGGTGTAGTTTATCCAATGCGATCCCAGATGTCCTGGTACCCACGGCGGAGGAGTCGGTTTAGGGGGCCCCTGAGCTGTGCACGTGATGGCCCAGACACCGAGAACGCAGGAAACGAGAGTCTTGAGCGACATGATTGCGGAAAAGGCGAGAGGGAGCTTGGCAAAGCATTCTCTTCTCGAGGATGGCTTCCATCTAGATTTATATCAAACCGTATTATTGATAAGGTATGTACATGACTGTACATTTACCAATAGGACCGAATGTTGAGAAATGTGATCTCACGTCCTATAAGAGACGCACGTGCTTGGCGCACGTGTTCGCGCATATGTCACTTGCCGCTTCGGGATGTGGGGTATAACACGTGATAGCATCGGCTCTGAGGCGCTATGCGATTCTCGGGAATTCGGGATATTTAATGGGGTTCGGTCCGCACCCTTAGCCGATCGGCGTGGCAGGAATATCGGACCTCGGTAGAAGGGTCTTCAGGGGTCCAGGCTCCCTCCGATTTCGAGCCGCATTTTCGATAGTGGCGTGGCGTGGTGGTGGCGGTGGCGGTATTGTCATGCACGTGCTCACTTTCCTAACAAACATCCACATGTCCAGAGATGAGGCTGGAGGTATACCTGAGATGAGATCCTATTGTCTGCAAAAGGGATTTTCAAGTCATAGATAATCTATTAGTCTGGTCAAATCCCTCTTCAAGAAACCCTCAACCCAAAGCGCTCCCCTGGAGATCCCGCCTCCACATAGAGAAACCCATATTGGAGTTGGAGGGACTTCGTCCCGCGAGAAAGCAGCAAAGAACATACCCTGGAAGAAGAAGGAAGTGAAGTGTACATCCCCAATGTTGAGAATTCGTGTCAACATATCAACCCTGAGCCCAACCTCTACAACAACTCCTTGAAAACCTCGAAATCTCATAACCCCATATAAGTACGCCGTCGTTACACCAATGCCTCGTATCCTACACAGCTTAGAAAAAATAGCCCGTAGCTCGACCGTTCTTGCTAGAGCTGAATTTAATGGTCAGGAATTGGACTGACTTGCATATTGTTGACCGATTGTGTGGCCACTTCAATCTGGTCTAGGGAAGTAAGTCAGTACAGCTGCTCTGCTCCTTATTTCGGAATATTAGAACATACCTCGCATCCCGCCCAAAGCTTCGTAAGCTAGAGAGTAGTTCCTCAATGCATCCAAGATCAATCCTAGCCCATCTTGCAATTGACTCAGGAGCTTCGATGCCGGAGACTCTCTCCCATCATCAACAGCTCCAACAAACCCCATGGCTCTTGTCTTGTAACAAAGCATGATCATAGCGTAACTGCTCTGCATGGCACAGCAAGCAAACACCGGCATCATCCTGGGAACCTTGATATCTTTCATGGCTGAGAAAAAATGCATTGGATCGGAAGATGGTGCTGGTTGAGGGTAAGGTAGGCTCTGAAACGAACGCGCGATATTGAAGGATGACTTGAGGCAAACCTTGGCAGAGAAGGTGCTACTGAATGGGAGAATGCCACAATTGGTGGTGGAAGGTGGAGACATCGATGAGTTGGGAGATAGATCCATGTTTGACAACTGGTGGAAGGTGGTACTGCATGAACAGTTGGGTGCCATTGGTGCCTCACTTTGCACTCGTGATTCGGTTGCAGATTTCAGGTCGCAGTGCTTCTTCGTGAAAACTGGGACATCAGAGAAGGCGCAGTATCGATGGAGTTTGATCCTGGCACTGTTCTGATGTCAGAAAAGTGTGCTTCGATAGTTGCATTGATACTCACCTGTTGAGCTTGATCCGTGCGATTCCTCGGAGTGCTTGAGATACTTTCAACTCGGAACTATCCAGCATGACTGGTGGAAAGGATTCCAGTGTCCAAGTATCGGCCTTCGCAATTAAAGGTTCGATGAGCCCTTCCAGTTCAAGCATGCGTTGCCAGATTGCCGATGTGTTCGAGTTCGTCTTCAATGTGACATCCAAGTCAATCACAAACTGGGTTGCGGATACTATGACATGCTGCGCTTGAAGGAAATCTGTCCAAGCCTATACCATGAATGGGATCAGTAACGCGTGTTGAAATCGGCTGTGCTAATAAAATGTAATACCCACCTCAGTGTCGGCGGAGAAGGTTGGGCCCAACGTTGTGAACCGAGGATCGTACAGAAGGATTGGAGGAGGCTGCAGTTATAGTTAGAAAACTTGTATGTTCATCGAGGAACAGGGTAGCCTACAGAGTTGCTAAGAATGGAACCTTGACAGACAGTGATGTACTAGAGCAGTGTAAGTAAAGCATACTTGCCACGATTGGGATAGACTTACAGTCATCCACCACACTCTTCGATTCGCTTCTGCATAATAGCCATCCTCATCGGCTTTGGAATGGAGTCCAAGATTGAGTGCAGCGTTCAGAGCTTGACCAGCTCTGTTGCGCATCTTCGCAATATTCCCACGCTGGGCATACTCGTAAGTGCTGAGCATGAGCAAAGCAATGATGCTTTCATTTTGAAGAGGATTCCGAGGGTGGAAAGGATTCCGATCCAAGGGGTCTATTTCGCGGCTCAATGCCTCTCCTGGTTGAGTATTCGAGTCGACCAGTTCCGACTCAATTTCGATGCTCTCGTACGCGGACTGAGCGAAAGCTTGCGCTTGCTCTCTTCGGAGGTGGACCGATTCGGTTCCGCTTGGATCTGTGTCTTCTGGGTGTGGGATGAGGGCGAGCAGGGCGGAGATGGCAAGGCTGAGTGGAGTTGATGGCTCAAAATCGGCTGCGCTTACACTGTTGAATATCGAATCGGGAGCACGCCGGATGCCAACTTCTGGATTATCGTACACCTGGCCAGGCTCAGGCGCCGGCAGTACTGGGAGATAGGGATGTATATAGGTGTAGTAAGCGGCAAGGCTGGAAACATCAGCTTCACTTGTACATATCGAGGCTCATTCATCTCAAGGTAACTTACATATCTTGATCGCTCGAGTAGACCCGAATACAGGAACGAGGGTGATCGGACTCTGAGCATGAGCCAGTATGGTCGGAAGTATCATATCCACTATCCAGACTCTCATCGCGCGTGGAGAAGATGGCATCAAAGATGAAATCTGTGTCCTCCAGCGACAGATCAAGTTGCCTGAGCCCACCGCCGGGTGCTACCAACCCCAGAGGCTCAGCGAATGAAGCTACGAAGAGTCAATGTGAGTCCTGGTCAACCTAAAAACATGACGGGATAGGGTACTCACCTTGGTTGAACTCAGGGAGGATTGACAGAGAACAGTGGTTGAACTCCTTGTTGTTCGAGGAAGCATCGCCATCAGAAGATGACTGTCTCCTCTTGCGGATTCTCGAACCACCTCTCTTGCTCTGAGTATAAATACAGACCTTTCCTTTGGTCGTACACTAGAGTGACATTGGTGAGACTCAAAGAGCTACAGCAATTGATGAGGGAGATACACATACATTTGAGCAATCGGGCTTGCCATCACATCGTGTACGTGCAGCACGACTGAGGTCGGGTCAGCCCTGGCATGGGACGATATGAGTGCAGTCACGCTCAATACTTACCATTCAAGACACGCGACTTTTACTGGGGGGACAGCGAACTTCTTCCTGGCTGGCTTGGCCGCCTTGGTACCTGAAGCGGAAGTGTTAGAGACCCTCGCCCTGTCGTCGAAGTCATCAGCAAGAGAATCAAGATCCATTTCTCAGGGCCAGATTTGGAGCAGATTGGGAGGGGGGTAGTGATTCAGGGCGGCGCGTTCGCTGGGATAGAGAGGCGTCATGGTTGATGTTATAGATATATATAGATGCACTCCCATCCTGGGCGCCATGTCGGCCCCTCCAAATAAGCAGCTGAGGAAATGTGCTCACACACGATAAGAGGAGTGCAGGCGTTCCTGGGGGTGGTGTTGCAGTCGTACAAAAGATAAGGAAAGCAAGCAACTCACATCTCTTTCCAGATGATCCTTTCCCTTGTCTGCCAGGATGGTAAGGAAGGAGAGTTGGTTATTCGCTGCGATTCATGCTTTCTTCTTGCCCCCGTCGGGATTTGAAGCACGCGCTCCGGGATTTGAACTGGCTCGACGTTGACGAGCGGGAGCGCTGCGGCGGAGTGGCGCGTGCCAGGAGCGCAGAAAGTACGGTTGGTTGCACGGAAGCACCACGCCGGTTCGAGGCTTGTCTCACGTACTATGTAGTATATTAGTAGTATTAGTAGGACCTCCTCGGCTCTGGAGAAGGGGGGAGCAGGTTTTTAAGTAAGAGAAAGGCTCTTAGGAGTTGCAGATCGAATCTATCTGACTAAGGATCCTGGAATGAAGTCTCTTAAGTCGGGTCTGCGCGATGAGTTTCGATGGTTGATGTAGTTAAGGTACAATGTACACATGTCATCCTTGAAAGGAACGGTGGCCGTGGCGGCTGACGTCACATCAGGGCACGTTCCAGTCACGTGATCATTCCAGGATCGATCTCGGCCGGATGGAACCCGGGGGCTGGAGGAACAGTGGGCTGATTCGCTTTCGTGGACTCTGTCTGGACTCTGCATTCTGCAATCTGCACTCTGCTTGGAGCAATAGTCAAATGAGATGGATCGATCCATCCCCCTGGCCTTACCTTATCTACGGCGCCTAAATCAGCCCCCGTCGTAAGCTGGTCCCGCTCGCACATTCGACGAGGCTCAGGAGAGAGAAGAAATCGGATCATTGTTTTCTGTCAACATAATTTCCATATTGCCCTAAATTCTCCGCGGCTCCAGCAGACAAAACGATCCTGGTTATCGAAACAAGAGCGCCGAAATAACAGTATGCCTTTTTGGTACAGTCAGGGTATGGGCCTTCACTCCTACTCCTGCATTTGGAGAGCATATAGCTCTGTGGTCTGGAAAACACAAACCTCCCCCGTCTATTCGTCGCTGAAGGCAACATTCACACCCGGCTTGGTGTTCACGCTCAGTTGGCTACCCAACATCAGTTTCCGGCCCATGAAAAAGGGGAATTCCACTTACAAGATATCAGGTCTAGAGTAGCTTCCCACTGGGTCAAAATCCATTCTAGATTCTGCCAGTTCAGTGAGGTTCAAGGTGGCGTATAGAATTCCTTCCTTGTCCACCAGTGGCTCAACGATGAATTCTCCGAGGGGTCCAACAATGCAGGATCTCCCGTGGTTCAGGATGTCATCCTTGGCCCAAGGCAGTCCTTCAGGGTTGCGGTCGTGGTGGCCGGGGGTGAATGGTGGATAGTCAGCGGGGAAATCGGAGACCTGGCGCCTGCGTCAACATAATTCCTTCTTTATTGAAAGGAGAGGGGTCTGAGAAGGTGCTACCTTGCAGAATTGGTTCACTGAGATAACGAAGCATCGGCCCTCCTTTGCAATGTGCTGCATGGAAGCTACCCAGGCAGGCAGGTCGTCTGCATTGGGAGCGATGTAGATTCTGTAGAATAAACCCATTAGAACATCGTACCACCCGAGACAAAGAGGACTGGATCTTACTGGACTCCGCGTTGATATAAGGCCAGTCGAGCAGCAGGCATGTAGTTCTCCCAGCTAAATCGGCGTTAGAAGAGGGTTCAAATCAGGAGTATAAAAGAGCGTACCAGATCAATCCCCCAACCTTGCCATACTCAGTGTCAACGACCTCGAGGCCATCTCCCGAGCCTCGTCCCCATACCAGGCGTTCTGCAGCCGTTGGAATAAGCTATTGAATTATCAGCGATTATTTCTATTTCGCCCATGTGATCTTCCCCTTACCTTCCGGTGCTTCGAGAGCAGGGCTCCATCCTTGCCAATGAGGAGCGCACAGCAATAGAGTGTGCCTCCATCTTTCTCAATAATTCCAATTGAGAGGATGACTTTGTTCTCCCGTGCAATGCCGCAGAGCGTGTCGAACTCGGGGGACGGCACCGCGAGCGAGGATTCGTAGTATTTCGCATACCATTGGCGCCCTTGCAATCCTTACTCAGCGCGGTCGCAACAACATGAACAAAAAACGACGCGACATACCTCGAGGTTCACGAGTTCCAATGGTCGCATCAAACGCGTACCTCCATGGATACGCAGACAGGAAAGCTTCAGGGAAAGCTACCAGCTCCGCGCCTTGCGACGCTGCTTCTGCGGTGAATTGAGCGACCTTTTGCAAGCTCCCATGGAGGTCGAACGAGACTGGGGAGGCCTGCACCGCTGCTACCTTGACACTCTGCGCTCGAGCCATTGCGATGAATGATCAACTCGATCGATCGATACAGCGGGTTGAAGGGAGGATGGGATATACATGATGAATTCCTCTGTCTGTTGAGTCTTGACTCTTATTTTCTGGTATTTACCGAACTCCCACCGGGCTGAGGCTGTTGGCGCAGATGCCGATCGTTTCCGTCACGCCCCCGGGATTTGAAAGATATGGCCTCCCCAAGTCAGTCAGTTTGGCCCATGGGGGGGCGTCATGTAACCCAGTCGCCGAATCGAGGGGATTGAGAACCCACATATGCTTTTCTTACAGTAAGTAGCCCAGTGGCTGAGGGATTCCGTCTTGTCTCTTCTCCGCAAGGAGTTTTTATTTCTGCTGGTTGCGGCTGTTAGAAATCCCTTGGCTGGGTTTCCAACTCGAGGCCCCAAGTATATATCAAATCACTGGCAGTGTCCCCGGATTTTATACACGTGTTTTGCTCTTCTCTCCTCTCCCTCTCTCTCTCTCTCTCCCCTCTCGAAATTAATGACCTTGCTCTCTTATACTCAATAGCAAGTTATGCCAAGCAAAATGAGTACGATATAGCTTACCACATCCTCCTTGGACCTTTTTGGCTGATTCTCGCCTAGGTATAGTTCTCGATCATGTCCCGAGTGAGACGAATGAATACTTGCGTTTCGTGAATGATCAAAAACTCGCTCGAGTTGAATCGTTCCAACTGGAGTCTGGCGTCGAGTTGACTGATGTAACGGTTGCCTACAAGACCTGGGGCAAGCTCAACGCCAACGGCGACAACTGCCTGATTATTTGCCATGCCTTGTCTGGCAGCAGTGATGTAGAAGACTGGTGGGGGCCTTTGTTGGGCTACGGAAAGGCCTTTGATACCTCCAGATTTTTCGTCTTCTGTGCAAATGTTCTCGGTTCTCCCTATGGCACTACCTCGCCATTGAGTAGGAATCCAAAGACAGGCCGTCTTTACGGTCCAGAATTCCCACAAACATCCGTCCGAGACGACGTTCGGTAAGTACAATTCTTTTTTAATTCCCGTGGGTATTTACATTCTAACGTCCCGTAGTTTGCACAAACTCGTTCTCGATGCTCTGGGAGTCACCAGCGTCGCAGCTGTAGTTGGAGGTTCTATGGGCGGCTTTTTAACCCTCGAGTGGCCCCTGTGTTTTCCGGGCTACATTAAAAACATCGTTCCCATCTCAACCTCTGTTAATCACGACGCCTGGGGAATAGCCTGGGCTGAAGCGCAAAGACAATGCGTTTTTGCGGACCCCGCCTACCAAGACGGCTACTATCATCCAACTCCTGCCACTCAACCAGCATCAGGACTTGCGGCAGCTCGAATGGTTGCCATGCTCACGTATCGTTCTTCACCCTCCTTCCACGCTCGCTTTGGAAGGTCTCCTGCTGCAAAGGATGGCCGGAAACCAAAATCTCCAAATAGCGTTCCAAACAGCATTCCAAACGGTGTTCCAAATGGCGTTCCAAATGGTGCCCCGAATGATGTTCCGAATGGCGTTCCAAATGGCGTTCCGAATGATGCTCCGACTGATGTTCCGAATGGCGTTACCAATGGTGTTACTAATGGCGTTGCTCAGGATAACTTGCTCCCTCAACCAGCACCACTAGATACCCGAAGAGACAGCAAGATCTCTGAAGAAGCGAAAGTTGTAGAAGGCAAAGCAGTGCGCCCGACATTTACAGCGCAGAGCTACCTTCAATACCAAGGTCAGAAGTTTGTTGGCCGTTTCGATGCCAACTGTTTCATACATCTCACTCGAAAAATGGATCATCACGATCTCACCAGGGGGAGAATCAAGGAGCAGCAGGGGGATGGCGTTCAGGATTCATCGGACGATGCCCTTTTATCTCAGGTCTTAAGCATCGTACCGCCGAAATCCCTGGTTGTTGGGATAACATCCGATGTGCTATTCACGCCCGAGCAACAGGATGTACTTGCTAGAAATTTGCCAGAGGCGTCGCTGGTCATGATACCTTCCGCCCAAGGACACGATGGGTTTTTGTTGGAGTTTGAAACTTTGGGTCCCTTGATTGACGGGCATCTAAGAGAGCGGTGCCCCTGGGTTTACGAAGGCCCTCCGCTGGTTGTTGAAGATTCGAGGAAGGTGGTCAAAGATAGTCTCTTCGGGGAGGTTGAATCTGGCTGGTGATGAATAGACATTTGTATTCCAAACATGGCTATAGACTTTGAATTACTATATCTCCCGATTTGGTACCATACCTATCTACTCGAGTGATGCAAGTTTCCAGAGATGGGAATTGTTCGCTGCTGTTGATTTGCCACGCTAGTTATCTCGAATTCCGGCTGACCATCTCACAACAACAGGCGCTTCGTGGTATCCTCCAAGTCGAATGCATTTCATGTTCATTTATTAAATCTCCGAGATAATTCCTAGACACAGTAATCAGGTGGATAATTGACTTTATCACGGATTTCGACGCGACGTCGAGGCTCCGCTTTCCCCTGGTAGAGGATTCAGATTTCAGATCCCGATTCCCGATTACTCGAACCCCGGTACTCTGCCTTCCTCAATTGCCTCACCCTCCCCCACGCCAGACGCCAGGCAAATACAGAAGGCTGACCCCGAAACCATATACAAAGTGGTCGGCACTTTGGGCCGCTCGAGGTTTGTACTGTCCAGCTTCACTTTCTCTCTTTTTCTTTTGGTATACCCCCTTTCTTTACAGTCATCTATCTATTCGCTATCGTCGGTCACCATGAGTGTCGTTCTTCAACAAGGGAAGCCGTGGATCGTCCAGAAATATGGCGGGACCAGTCTGGGAAAGCTGCTCCCCGCCATTACTGGAACCATCATCCCTCAATATCTGAAGGATTATAATGTTGCGGTCGTTTGCTCGGCCCTGTCCGGCACCACCAAGTCCATGGGAACGACGAGTCTCCTTCTGCAGGCCATTGATTACACCATGGGGCCCTTGAGAAACCAGACCGAGCTGAATCGCACGATTGATGTTATCAAGGACCAGCATTTGGAAGCGAGTAGAGTGATCCAGTCGCAAGTTGATTACGCGGGCGATGGAAACATCTTTGAGGAACTCGACGCAGGGATCCGGAAGGACTGTGAGAAACTGCGCAGTTTCCTCGCTGCCGCACAGGTTGGAAAACCACCCAACTGGTTGGTATATGTGGTCCGCTAATAAGAGTAGACGATCGGAGAAGTCTCTGCGCGATCAAAGGATCGAGTTCTAGCTACGGGCGAAAAGTTGGCATGTCGGCTGGTCGTTGCATCGCTGATGAGCAGAGTGAGTGGTGGAAATGGCTCTATCTGAGTTGACACCCTTCCTAATCTTCTGCAGGGAATCGAGGCAAAGATGGTCACACTCGAAGATATAGTCGAGAAGGCATATTCGGATGACCTGTACAAGCAGAGGGTCGCATATGATGAGCTCGGCCCTCACTTCTTTGATCAGCTGGCTGTTGAGATCGGGAAGCGGCTCGAAGCATGCGGGGAAGCCGTGCCTGTCGTCACCGGTATGTTCAAAGTCATATATACTTCTTACCATGCCGCTAACTATCAAAGGCTTCTTTGGCATGATGCCTACCTCCATGTTGCAAAGTGTTGGTCGCGGGTATTCCGACCTTTGCGCCGCGATGTGTGCCGTGAGCACATTTGCCGCTGAGTTGCAGATCTGGAAAGAAGTTGATGGTATTTTTACTGCGGACCCAAGAAAGGTCCCCTCGGCTCGACTGCTTGCCACAGTGACGCTGGAAGAGGCCTCCGAACTTACATACTACGGCAGCGAGGTTGGCTTTCTTTCCTTGATACTCTTTACATTATGCTTTTGGCGGAATACATCATTCCCACCAACCTGGGAAGATTATAGTCTAACCGACTGTAAAAACAGGTCATCCACCCCTTCACAATGCAACAAATTCGCAACGCCAACATCCCTCTACGGCTGAAAAACGTCAAGAATCCCGAAGGAAATGGGACCATCATCTATCCATCACAAACCGGCACCAACTCACCAAAGTCAGAATCAGAAGCTTCGTCTGTGTCTGGAAGCGTTTCAGACTCTGCCATTTTTTCCTTCATGAGCGCCAACGGTTACTATGGAAAATCGCAAAGTCGTCGCGCACCCACCGCCCTGACGACGAAAGACAACATTGTGTTGATAAATATCCAATCGAATCGCCAGAAGAAGTCCCATGGTTTCTTGGCGCAAGTGTTCAACAAACTTGATGAAGCCAACGCAGTTGCGGACCTGATCACTTCGAGTGAGCAGTCAGTCAGCCTAGCCATTTCGTCCCTGGAGGATGATGCCGTGAAGCTTGACAGGCTGATAGCGAGCCTTGAGAAGTGTGGCAAGGTATGTCTAAACTCTCCTCTGCTCTTGAGCGCTTTTGTTGATCATATCTCCCGTCTTAGGTTGAGGTTCTTCAAAACGTGGCAATCGTGTCAGTCATTGGTCACAAGATGAGAAACATGGTTGGTATCGCTGGTAAGAGATCCTTTCACAATCTTCGGTATACCGGGATCTGAACAATGTACAGGTGAAATATTCTCTAAGCTGGCCAGCGGCGGCGTCAACATCTATCTCATTGGACAAGGAGCTAGTGAAATCAATATCTCGTAAGGACCCTTCACTTCTCAAACGTGGAGCGCATAATGATAACCATCCGATCAATAGGCTTGTGGTTCAGCGGGACGATGCACTACTTGCCATGGACATTATCCATACCCACGTTCTGGGCATTTCAAAACACCCAGAGCATACTCCCATCGTACAGAATAGCCTCATGAAAGGTAAGCGATATGATATGACTTCTCCCCTCAAGCCTGCCACTGACCAATCAACAGGGCCCTGGCTGTTCTGAGAATTTAGAGTTTGTTTTAGGGGGATCGTGGTAATTTTTGGCGTTAAAGGGGCGACCGGTTCGCATATTGGCTGCTTTGTTGCATTGTATCGCATACCTCCCAGACTTCGTAGATAGACGAATATCCACCGTATTGAAGACGCACAATGACATGTGGGCTTATCTCCGTCGCAGCACCCCTCATCACCCCTCAGCACCCCTCTATCTACCTAGCTGATGATCTGGAGGCCCCGGAAACCCCATTCCATGGAGGGGTTGAGGAAAACTGATAAGGCTCGGACCACGGACTGAACCGCTGCAATGTGAAGTGCTGCGGCTATGCCCGATCAGCTAGATGATCAGCCCGCGTCTCCCAGCCGGTTCCCAATCATCTCTGATAGATCGGCATGTCTAGATCTGAAAAGGGATTCTCTCGGGCTTCTCTCGTCGAGGGATGTTCATGTTCATGTTCATGTACAGTAAAGGGGAGAGGGCCTCGGCACGGCGCCGCAGTCGTTGGACAGCCTCGCTTACTCTCTATGGGGCAAGGGGCGCCGTCTCCCGTTTAGCGACGAACCGGTTCGCGGTTCGCGTCTTATCTTCGGGATCTGAACTGCAAACCCATGAATGATGGACGATGGATTGATGGATAATGGATCCGCCCCGCCTTCTTTGCTTATCTCTGCTTCACATGAGTTGACCATCGAGCATGGCTATTTTCGACCCGGCGGTGTTAGCAGCGCTGCGTCGAATTCCACATAACCCTCGGTGTTTGACCTGATGGCCTTTGCAGCCTCAAAGCGTGAGCATGTCGGAGATGGGCCTCGTGAGACGGGATTCGGAGAGCACCAGATTACGTTGGCGATAAGGAACCAGAGGAGAGGGGTGAGAAGTCAACAACTTATATATACTGTGTGTGCTTAACAGAGCTCGTGTTTCATCATCACTCATAGCCATCAAGCCTCACCTCCTCGCCTCGCCTCGCCTCTTCTTCATCTCCTCCATCTCCTTCATCTTCAGACACCTACCTCCTCCTCTCAAGCTTCTCTTCTTCTCAAGCCCTAACAAAACCGCCGCCATGCCTGCCTCAGGATCTCTCAGAGGGGTCACCAAGTAAGCGCCCCCCCTTTTCTCCTATCACGTGCCATCACCCCGCTGACCCCTTTTCCTCAGAGCCCCCAAGTTCGAGACCATCCAACTCCACGGTGGTCAAGAGCCTGACCCAATCAACGGTTCCCGAGCCGTCCCCCTTTTCCAGACATGTTCCTACAACTTCATGGACGCCGCCGATGGAGCCAGCAAGTTCGCATGGCAAAAGGATGGATACGTCTACACCCGTATGGGTAACCCAACCATCTCCATCCTGGAGCAGAGAATGTCTATGCTTGAGGGAGGTGTCGGTGCTGTTGCCACCGCCTCCGGTCACGCTGCTCAGGTATGTTCTCTCAAATCTGATATCCAGGGGGCCTCGCTAACTGAGCTCCTAGTTCATGGCCATCACCTCAGTTATGGAGGCCGGCTACAACTTCGTCAGCACCAGTTGGTTGTACGGTGGAACCTACAACCAGTTCCGTGTCTACATGAAGAAGTTCAAGATCGATGTCAAGTGGGTTGAGGGCCAAGACCCCAAGGACATCGCGGCTGCGATTGATGACAAGACCCGTGCCATCTACATCGAGACCATCGGTAACCCCAAGCACAACGTCCCAGATATCGCCGCCATTGCCAAGGTTGCCCACGATGCTGGCATCCCCCTGATCGTCGACAACACCTTCGGTATGGGTGGTTACGTCCAGCGCCCCATCGAGCTCGGTGCCGACATCGTCACCCACTCCCTCACCAAGTGGGTTGGTGGTCACGGTACCTCCATGGGTGGTATCGTCATCGACGGTGGCCACTTCGACTGGTCGAAGAGTGGCAAGTTCCCCGGCTTCACTGAGGCCGCTGATGGTTACCACGGCATGAAGTTCTGGGAGACCTACGGATACAAGGCCCTCGCTGCCAAGCTCCGCATGGACGCCATGCGTGACTTGGGACCATGCATGTCTCCCTTCAACGCCTGGCTCTTCCTCATGGGTCTCGAGACCCTGTCCATCCGTGGTGAGCGCCACAACCAGAACACCCTCGCCTTCGCCCAATGGCTCGAGGCTCACCCTCTCGTCAAATGGGTTCTGTACCCCGGTCTGAAGTCCCACCCCGACCACGAGTACGCGGCCAAGAACCTCAAGAACGGATTCGGTGGTGTCCTGACCTTCGGTGTTGCCGGCAACATCGAGGAGGTCAGCGCCGTCGTCGACAACCTCAAGCTCTGCAGTCACTTGGCCAACGTCGGTGACGCCAAGACCCTCATCATCCACCCCTGGAGAACCACCCACCAGCAACTGCCCGACGAGGAGAAGATCCAAGCCGGTGTCACCCCCGACCTGATCCGTGTCTCCCTGGGTCTCGAGCACATCGACGACATCATCCACGACTTCCAGCAGGCTTTCGACGCGGCCGGTCTGACCGCCAAGGGCCTGGAGAAGAAGACTGCGGCGTAGGGTAGGCGAAGGAGCGTTAATGATTTCACGGTTCTTTTCATAGTTTCTCTACTTGAGCACTTGAGCCTTGAGGGTTCCTCTGTCGATGATTCTTGTTGGTACAGGAGTAGTAGTAGCGAATTTCGATGCCTCAAATAGATTATTACCCATCCAGACATCTATCTCCCAGTCCACCCATCAATCTATCGTGAAATCAACCCCAAATCCCTTCTAAAGAATAAATTCCACCCGTACCCTATACCCCTCCCCTAATGATAACCACTCAACCACCCTCACAAAAAAGGGGGTTCGTCCCATCGCCTCTCGCTTACCTACCTTACCCAACCCACTTCAATCACGTGCCCCCACCATCCGTTCCTCCCGAATCGTTTCCCCATCAAGCCGAAAAGTTCCGCATCATGCACTCTTACCTAAAACACCGAGACTCCGTCTTCCCGCTTACCTAACCTTTTCCATCGGGATCTGAAGTTTGCGCCTTTTTATTTTCCAGTTTATCCAATTTTTTCCCTCTCTTTCTTTTTGATGGGATAAAAAAAAAAGAAAGAAAAAAAATGGAGAGAGACCGGGATTCCGGTTTGATATCCGTATCCGTGAGATCCGTACCTACCAATCGGGGGGGTGGGGAATGACATGAGAGGGGAGTTTGGTGGGAATAAATTAAAAATGGTGAGGTTTTGGGGGGTTTGCGTGGGTTTGAGGGCTTTTGAAGGGGAAAGGGGGGGAGGGGGGTTTTGTAAAAGCTATTGTTTTTATTTTGTGTTGCGTCGTCCAGTCGGAAAAGGGGAAAGCAAAAATTGTGCCCATCCACCTCTAGGTCAGGTCTGGTCTGGTTTGGAGTAACACCGTGAAAAGAACCCAAACCAAACCAAACCAAACCAAATCCCCTTTCAAAAGCACATGGTGAAAGAGATCAAAATACGGTGACTTCCCTCTCATTCATGAATGAATGAGTGATAAATATACGAGGATTCAAGTTTCTTTTTCACCGCTTCTTATATATATAGACAAGTTTTGAGAAGAGAACTTTCTGTGATTGTGCTGTTTGTTGGACCTCCGAGGAATGAATGGATGGATGGTTAGGTTGGAAGCCTTTATTATTTATGCATACATCATTATTAAGGTAAATAGGTGTAATAAATAGTAAAGGAGGAGTAGGAGTTTCGAGGACCCAGAACCATTAAACATTAACTTCTTCTTCACAATATAATATGTAAATCATTGGTTCTGGTATGTATGTAGCATACCTTGCCAGCAAAGACATAATAACCTGAGGTATGTTTCTTGCGTAACTACCTTAGGTGTAAGGTAGATTGGAAGTCTGAATAAGGTGAGGCTGAAGCGACGTGCTAATCATCTTAGCACGCAAGTTTGGCCCTGTACGACATCAATCCTGCAGGGGGGAGGCTTCGCTGTAAGCCAATCATTACGAGTGGCTAACGCCCCCAGATTTGAGGCTCCTGCGGAGGGGATTCGTGGAGATGAGACACGTGCGCTGCATGCAATCAACGGGAGACTCCGATCTTTAGAGCGCTGCGGGGCATCTAATCATAAATTCGGGATATCATATCATGCTATGCGGCTCGAACTCCTCTTCCCGACTAACCCCCGTAGGACGATCATTCCTTCCTGCACTACAGCCCATCGCACCGTGCTCAGATGCCTCGCCATAACCCGTGGTAAATCCCCCGTCCTGTATTTCGCCGCCACCTTCCATAGATCCTCCGATTTTGAGCGCGTCATCGCACTAACGAGAGCGTTCATCTCGGCCCTGCAATCCCACTCCGTATCCTCATCATTCGCACTCTCGTCTTCGCTCTCCCCGGTATGGCCTTGGCTTTCGTCCGCTTTGCTCGAGATTTGGAATGCCCAGCACGTCAACGTTGCGAGATACAGGCACCAGGGGTAATGAAACACATCGTCAGCGTCCCAATTCTGCAGCTTCCGGATCCCATCTCGGAGGATGCTCGCTGCGTGTGTAGCTGCTACCATAGCGGGTTGCGACCCAACTTTCGCCCACTGCTTTATGCGTTGCCGTGAGCGTTCGCGGTCAGCTTTCATAACTGGCCGCCCAATGATGTGGTTTGCCCCGGCGTAGATTTGCATGTCGATGATGTCGACGTGCAGCGTGATGTATGCGGCGTGGTATATGGCTAGAGTAGAGGTGTTTAGGCGTTGGAACTCGCCTTGCTCTCGTGGATTACCTTCGAGGGATAGGAGCTTCTCTTTGCTGTATGTATCGTAGTCCGCTTTCCAGGCATCATATGAACGCGCGATGCGTGACTGCCACGACTCATTCTTGCCTGTTATAGCCATACCTGCTGTGGGGTCAATATTTGTTTGGTGCCAGAGTGGATAGTCTCGTACCTAATGAAGTCTGATCCCTTCGATTCAAATCCCAGGCAACAGACATTAGCCCATGAAGCATGAGGAGCCTCGAAAGCGAATTTAATTTTGGAATCCATAGCCCGGATTCTGGATTGATGTATGCCTTGAGAACAGATAGATACGCTGGAGACGGCTGCCTTAGTGAGCTAGTTTCGTACCATTCTTCAGCCGTATCAGCTTCCCAGACTGCTGAGTCCCAAGGGAGCGTGAGCTTAAGCTCTGCAGCATTCATGCAAAGCGACTGGGAGAACAGCACTGCATGCTGTGTATCCCACATAAAACAGAGGAGAGCCAGTCTGTCCGTCGTATTAGCCTTGCTACGTGGAGGGAGCGTTTTGGCATTTACCTTCTGCGTTGTTCGGCATCTACTTCTGCCCTCCATCTGGTATCGAGATCGACTTCTTGACTGAACTTTTGACAACGGGCTGACTGGCAGTCACTCCTTCGAATAAGACTAAACTCACATCAGTTGATATTCAAATGAGACTACTCTCTTTCGAGAACGCTTTCGGCGACGGTACCCATGCCGATGATCGGTCTTCTATCACCTGAAATAGAAAAGACTTACTTAATCAGAAGACCGTGGAACAGATGCGACATATCGTGTTGCAATTGTCCCGCACGGGATTTCCCAAAGCATTCTACCAGCAGAATTGTCTGCAACATCCACAGAGTAGGTCGAGGATGGAAGGCTATGTGTGAGAATATCTGAGTACGCATGATGTTGTGGATATAAATGGCAAACAGATGATCATCATCACTACTATAAGTTGCTCCCAGTTGTAGAACCGACGCCAACAGTAAAGGATCAACACGAGCAGGGTCAAACGTCGCTTGGTGGAGAAGCGGATAAGAGACGTTAAATCGGGTGAAAAATAAGTCAGAGAAGTGTTGCAAGATTGGAAGAGATAACAACGGATGATATCTTGATATCTCAGATCCGTCGGAATTTTTGGGATGAGCCTGGTCAATAAGACATAGAAGTCCCTCCCGGGCGTTTTCATCGATGATAGGAAGCTTTCGTGATTGCCTCGACCGCTTAGAGTGGAAGTCCTGACTCGACCTCGAATCTGGTGGGGTTGGAATATATCGATCATTGATCGAACCAAAGCTATGACTACGCTCCGATGTGCTTCTATTGTGGTGCTCCGCGATGGGTTGAGTTGTATGAAGCTCCAAATTCTGTGGTACATGTAGCGATTCAGTAAATGATGAGCTGATTGCCCCCGACCCTCGTGGAGAACCGAATCTGAGAGCGAATTCTGAGTTTGAACCTGATATACTGGCTCCACAATTCGACTGAGTCATCTCTCTTTCTGTATGCGATGTATTGATCTGATGGGGCTCAGGAAATGTCTCAGGAAAAGGGGCAGAGACACCAGCGCTACCCATTGTCAGTTCATTCGGAATGTTCTGCGCCGAATGTACAGTAGCTTCGTTGGCTATATTGTTGTTGAAGGTTGCAGCTGGTGAGGACTCATTAGAGAACAGCCAGCTGTAATAATTCATAGTCGTGAACGGCATGTTGAACGAACTGGCTGTGAGGCAGTTAGTCATCACACTTCCGAGAACACTTTACTAAATGAAGCCCACCTGTATCCGGACCAAATATATCGTCGTAAGGGAGATCACTGTTCAGGTATGATTGGTCCTGAAAAGGCTGGTAACCCCATGACGCATTGCACAAGAAGTCGTAAGGATCCAAGCCAGAGTTCTCCACTGGGAGTGCGGCTTCGATACTGTCCAGCGGCCATTGATCCATCGACGCCGAAGCTTGGAGGTTATGTGAATCTCCCAGGACATCGGATCCAAACGCATCTGGCGACTCATTTGAGACTCGGTCCAACGATCGCGGTGGCGATAGAGGTGTTGATGTCTGATTAGGAGGGCGGATATCTGAGTCACGCTGGGTCTGCCTTTTCGACGACGAGCTGTCGCTCTGTGAAGCTGAACGCTTCTTCTTGTTGTGTTCATGCTCAGGCCTTTTCCGGGCTACAATGGCGCCAGTCGAATCTCTCCAGAGGCGTTTCCGGGTGAGAAGTTTCCCCAAGCCTTCGCCTCCAGCCTCGTCGTCCTTTTCCTTATGACGAGCCATGTGCCTATCTGGCCAAGGTTTAGCAAGATAGACTTCTGGGGGAGTCTGGGATTCGTGACGCACCTAGTAGATCCGGCCGCTTGAAGACCGCACTGCATCTTTGGCATGTGGTGCCGCTGCCCTGGTGGTTCAGTGCATGGCGGTGGAGGTGCTCCGCACGAGAGAAGGATTTCGTGCAGTTTCCCCACGTGCATCGGAACTCCTTCCAGTGAGTCGTGGTGGAGGATGCCGCCCTGGGAGGTGGTGCTGTGGGTGATTCTGATTCTGTCATTGGAGTTGTGGTGGGGTTATGGGATGAAATATGGCTGAGCACTACTCATGGTGATCAGTAAGGTAAGGTAGCTCAGGATGTGAAGTTGGGGGAATGATGCTGCATCCATTATTAAACCATCCTGGATTCCTGGGCAAACGGACTCCGTTATCGTTATCTTGCAGACGGAGGTATAACGGCGCAATCTACGCGAGGCAATTTTACGCGGAATATCCAAATGATAAGATACGGGAGGTAAAATACGGAGTATTCCGTAATATCACCCTACGTGATGCCCTCTACGTTGATTGGCTGTGGCCCTCCTTTTCCCTTCCTTTTGTTCTCAACACCATCACTGCATGCCCGCACCCCCTTCGGCAGAACGGAACATTCTCGCCTCCAGATTCCTCTGCTTAGTGGGATGTCACATGTGAGAGTCATCATTGATCGAACAGCTCTATTTCATCTGCAATGTAAATGTTTCTACGGTGTATCTAAAGTCCATTTTCCAACGCCTATAGCTGACGATGAGCCGATGATCAAGTCGCCACCGCTGTGGGCTCATAAAAGCTGTAGTCCGTGTATCCCTTTGTAGGGGGGTCGGCTCCATAGAAGGTTGATCGATCATAAGCGTTGAGGGGAAGGCCCTCCGCCAACCTCTTTGGCAGATCAGGGTTCGAAATGAACAATCTCCCCATGACGATCGCATCAGCATTGTCCGCCACAAGCGCGCCTTCTGCGTTATCTCTGTTGTAGTTTCCTGCCGCAAGGAACTTCACTCCTCCTTTCGCGAGAATGTGACGGAAAGGCACAAGTGAGTTGACAGCTGAGACCTCCTTGCTCGTCGCGTCTCCGGTTGTCTTGGCCAAGTTCGCTATCTTCTCCTGCTCAGAGAGAATCTCGTCGAAGCGCGGCTCGATCATGTGGACATATGCTACTCGGTTCTCGGTGGGAAGTTCAGCGATCTGTTGGCAGAGATATGCCCAGTGCACGTTGGGGTTCGAGTCGCGGGTATCTTGATAGTAGTTGTATGGCGACAAACGGATCCCGACCTTCTCAGGACCAATGGCTGCAGTGACGGCCTTGATAACTTCCAAAGGAAAGCGACAACGCTTCTCAATCGAACCGCCATATTCATCAGTCCGGGTGTTGACATTGTCATGGAGGAACTGGTCAAGGAGGTAGCCGTTGGCTCTGCGACGGATCATCAGTTACATGCTGTTGGTGGCAGAGTAGGAGGAAGCAAGCGCTTACCCGTGAATCTCTACGCCGTCAAATCCTGCCTCGACACACTTCTTTGCAGCATCCGCAAAATCGCTGACAACGCCCTTGATCTGGTCGACAGTCATTGGCTTAGGGGGAGTGTCAGAGTACTCCGCGCCAGTGAGAGCCTTGCCCGTGATGGGAATATCAGAAGAGCTCATCGTTGTGTTTCCCTCAATCAGCGAGGGGACAGTGGCGCGTCCAACATGCCAAATCTGGCAAAAGATAAAGCCGCCCTTGGCATGAACCGCATCTGTTACACGCTTCCATGCAGCAATCTGGCCTGGCGTGAAGACGCCGGCGACACCTGGGTATCCGGAACACTACAATTGTCAGCATGAAATCCGGGAGCCCAGAAAGAGGCTTGAAACTTACCAATCGGCTGATATTGGTAGCCTCGGTCAGCAGAAGTCCTCCTTTGCTGGCGCGTTGGGCGTAGTATTCAACCATAATGTCACCGGGAGCCCAAATGCCCTCCGACTCTAGCTCCCCTCTCATACGCGTGCATGGCGCCTGCACGATTCTGTGCTCCAACTTCACAGCACCGATCTGAAGGGGCGAGAAGAGGGTTGTTCCTGCAAGCGGCTTGAAGGCCGTGGTAGAAGCTGCTTCAGACATGGCTGCGGTATGGAATCGGGAGACGGCGCGAGAGAGAGAAGAGGAGGAGGAGGAGAATGATCTGAAGAGAAGTTTCGCCTGCATGCCCGCGTACATGTAGAGCTTTCTTGAAAACGCAACCCTGCAGATGGTGTACCTGAGCTACGGGAGATTCAGCATACCGTGCAAGGCTCTCCTGGTCACCCGCGACCCCATCCGGGGCTAATTTAGCTATGCCGACGGAGGAGGAAGACCTTTGACCCCGCAGCGCAGCAATTTGCCCCTCTTCCGCGCAGAAACATTGGTGTGTTGAGACACTCCCATCCCACTTGCCTAGAGATGAGCATCCGCAACATGCGAAATGCTTAACACCGCCGATGCCAAAGGTGGGCCGTAACAGCGAAGAGGTCAAGACTCCATGCGCCTAAGGTGGGGGTGGGGGTGGGTCCTCAGGCACAACATCCCCTTATCGGGCGGCTAGCCCCGACCGACCCCATCTTTGAGCAGCGCTAGCCATGACTAGCAATCAGCCGCTCTGTCCTTATCCAAAACTCGCCGAAACCTGTCAACTTTCGCATTCGGCCGGATCACGTGATATATATATAATTTGGCTGTACGGGGTCCCGGTATTGTACCTTACATACCCCGTAATTCTGGAAGCTGATAGTCCCAGGCCAGAAGATCTTCCATGCGGCTGGACCATAGCCACGGAGATGCAGGTCTGGGTTTGCTCTGCAGATGTCACTGGCATTACTCAAATCTGGCTTCGAATTTGCGGGGTGCATAAAATCACGTGACTTTGCGGTCACGTGCTATATAGGTTTCTCCCATAATAAGTTTCAGGCCCTGGAATAGCAGGAAGGTGGCCGTCACATTTAAACGGCTTTTTTAATTTTAGAAAGTTCCAAAGAAAATAATTCTGCCAAAGTGAACATATCTCACGTGAACTCTGAAACTGACGTCTCAACCCTAAATATTACTCAGCTCCCTTACCGAAGCCCTTTGGCTATCAGATTAATTAGTAGAATTGCACACAACAACAGCCCGGGTAGCTCAATCGGTAGAGCGTGTGGCTCTTAAATTGTAGCATCAATGGCACCTCAAGGTCGCGGGTTCGAGCCCCGCCTCGGGCTCAATTCCCGACAGCTCAACTTGTTTGATCTGATCTTTTTTTTATTTTTTTTGACCCCTCTTGCCACCTCCTTACGGTAGATAGATACATGGTGGCGAGGAAGCCATATTCTCTTTTCTCTTTCCTGTGCCTACCTGGTTATTTATTCCTCTTCCTCTTTTTTTTTCTTTTCTCTCCGTTTTTGATTTTAGCCGTTAGTACACCTATTTCATACTCGAGGTGGATTTGGTAATTATATATTTCTGTCCTGAGGTTTTCTGTCGACGGTGAAGAGTCTCCCTTCATCGTCAAAATCCACGATCTACCTCACTTCAAACACATGAAACCAGCTCAAGTCTACTCTTTCGGACTTTCAAAATATCTAGACATCAATTCATATATTCATATATCGTTATTATAGTAACACGCTGTAAGATTCATCCAAGGTATCCAACCACCACGGGGTATTTCTGGTACGCGGAGGCCCGACGAATGTAACTTCCAAGATAACTTGCCAAAGGACAAGATCACAAAGTGTCGATATGACCCAGCAGCCACTGCAAGTGCCTATAGCTACTCCGCGGCTGGAACTGCGGTTGCATATGTCCGCTCAGATGCGTTTGCGCCCACATCAACCCCCTCTCATAATGCTGAATGCCCATGGTCCCCTGCGGGTCTTCAATATCACCATACCCCTCCGACATGAAAAGAGGACCATACTGCAAATCCGGCAGGGTGATGATGATGGGCGTACTGGGCTGTTCCTGGAATCCCATCTTGCCATTCCACGTCATGTTCTGAATAGAAAGTAGCGTCCCGTTGGTGAGAATGATCATATCCAGATCGCCGTTTGCTATCAGGACGCGGTTAGTGGCTTCGATGACCCGTGGGAGGACGGACTGGATTGGATCCGCTGAGAGATCCCCCTCTTGCTCGGGACCGCCGTCACCACCGACGAAGACGGCCTCGTTGCTACATTCAGACCATGACACATCCAGTGGTGCATGCATCGCAATCTTTACATCTGTACGATTGAAGTAGACAGGGAGGCCAGGATATGAGTATTCAAGTCCGGTTGGGAAACCGAGAGGATCTGAGAGTAGTGGACATTGTGTGCCGATCTCATATACATTGTAACAAGGGTTTGTTGCATATGCAGCATTGGCGGCCAGGTCAAATACATCGCAGGCCAGATCCTCGGGGTTGCTGTAATTGAATAACGTTGGAGGTTGTGGTCCAGATGGAGGGAAGGACATGTACTTTTCCCTGTAGTCAGCGTACCCGCACGACTTGTCGAGTTCTTCTAGTTGAGCCAAAAAGGATTGGTTAAACCCAAATACGTTGTTGTTCTCCAGGATGAAGGGAAGTGCTGGGACCTCGTTTTGTACATAATCAAATGACCCGATGCATGGATCATAAGTGAGAGCGCCTAGGGATTGAACAACACCATTAGACCATTGTCGACGGGAACATCTAACGAGAGTACTCACCGGATAAGTTAAAGTGCTCTGTGTCATTCTTGTCCAACATGGCGGCAGAAATATAAGGCACATATCTCCCAGCGTAACTCTCACCTGTGACATAAATCTTGAAGTTTTTAATGCCAAATATCTCTTGAAAATTGAGGAAGAAATCGACAAAATCTGCGGCAATTTCCTCCTCAGTCGTCGCTGTAACTTTACCCGTTGAGAAACCGGTTCCTACAGGTTGTTCAACCCTGGAAATCACATCAATTCTGCCACTATTATAGTAGATGGTGATGCTTACCAGAGCACATTTGTGAGATTTACCCACGAATATTGATTGATTTCTGGCGCATATTGACCGAAACCCCAAACGAATCGGCCATTTTCTTGCAGGAAGCCCTCCAGGGAACTGCAACCTACGTAGCGTTCAGCAAAGTATGCATTTGGACATGGCACTCTAGCCCACCTGGTCCGCCATTAAGCCAAATAGTAATCTCATCAGTAGGAGCGCCGACTGTTGGCTGAAAGACAAAGTATAATGCTCGGGAGGGGTCTTTCTTGTTAATTGGTACCAGGCCTGCATACACTTCGCCAATGTCGAACGGGATGTCGGGCAGATATTTAACCTGGTAGGCTATTCAAACTCAGTACGAGGAAATAAGCAGGAAGTAGAGTTTTTCTAACGCTCTGTAGCCGGTCCCAGGAACCGGTAGTTCTTCTGCTTGGGAGGTCCCCAATCAGGGCTTCTTTGACCAAAATTCCCTTTCAAATTGGCTCCATACCCTTTCCGACGAGCAAAGTCACTTATTTTCCCAGCAGAGACTGTGCTGAGAAGAATGCAGCTCATCAGAAGGGCTACAGCCATGCGTAGAGCTTTGGACGACATCTTGCCCCCTCAATCTCGAGAAGCAGCAACGACAACGGCAATGACAAAAAGAAAGCAGAAGTTTCCGTCAAAGAAGAAAGGAAAAAGAAGAAAATTCAAAAGAGGCGCTCTCTGGAGCTCCATGATCTCTATGATCCTCGGCCGAGCGACTGCTCTCTAATCGCCGCCACTTCTGGATCCAGTGATAAGCCTCCACGTTCCGGACCCGTCCCTGGTCACTGGGAACGCGGGCTCCATATTAATGACTGCGAGGCGTATGCCAGGACTCGTAGTTGCATATAGGGCACGGAAGAGGAAGGAGATGAAGAGGTGAAGCAAACGGTCGATGATATATTTTCCCTTTGGCAGGGCTTTGCGACGTCCTACATCGATACCAGCCAGAGATGCCCCGCTTTTCGCGGCACGGTGGCTTCCATGCCATTCCCGTAGGAGAATTTTCCCCGGTCAACCCGTGCGGCCTTTTGAGAACTGGTTACTGGTTATTCTGCAAGAAAATATGGGCGGGGGTTCGAGACAATTGAACCCGAGCGACATTGAGCTGTGTGCGATATTCTGTCGTGCAGGCCGGCTTCCTCGGTGACGTAGTTGAATCCGAAGGAAAGCTTTGCGGTTCAATAACCGAGATCAAAATTTCTCGTCACTTCACCACCACATTCTTCATCATCAGAAAAAGAAGTTGATCTAGACGTCTGTCTAAAGTCTAAAATTCCAATGTTCTTCAGACCAAGTCACTCCAAGTCTCCAACTAAAGTTTTGGTTCAACTAGTTTTACATCCGCGGGCCAATTCCGATCGACCTAAATCACGAACGTTAGTGCTGTCTTCGTGCCATCCAGATCCAAAGGAAGTCCTCACATCTTCAATATGCCGGTATCCCAATAACTTGGGGCTTAGCTCCGGGTCTCGCCATGCAAGCGCCTCTCCCGGTGGTGTAGGTACCATCCTCATCTTCCTATCTCTCTCTTCCTGCTCTGGGCCATCATGCAAGTGATACAGATACTGCTGCAGATTTCCTCTCTCTACTACCATCCTTGTTCTGTCTTTCCGGCATTTCTCGTATACGTCTAATGCAAGCTTTTTGGAAGCTCGTGATTTGGAGGTGATGCGTGCCAGACACTCGCCCAAGACGGCGGCGTCTTCGAGAGACATTCCTGCGCTATAGGGAGGTTAGCTTTGAGAGATGACGAGTGTGAAGGGAAACGAATGGAAATTAGGGACTACATACCCGGAAGCGAGATAAGGAAGCGTAGCGTGCACAGCGTCGCCCATCATGGTGAAGGCTGCAGATGGATGGCTCCAATTATCCATTCCGAGGCGGTAGCAAAGACGCCATTTGTATACAGATTCGCACATGCTGAGAAGTTTCTGTATCCTTTGAGGGGCTGTCAATTCCTGAATCTGTCGATGGAGATTGGTGAAGTTACCTCGGGTCCCAGTCTTTGAAGAGTGCTCGCATCTCTTCAACATTGCCTGCTAATGTTGAAGCTCCTGCTGGCATGTCGTCTGGTACCAGGAGAACCATGTTGAACAACTCGCCACCCCGAAGAACATAATTTACTACGGAATCTGAGCGGAAGAGACCTTTGACAAGCTAGGGAGTCAGGAGAGAACATACCACAATGCTGATCTGGACCTATCCAGTAATTTACCTGTGGGTTCTTGATGAATTGCGCTAGCTCTGGATCATTCATCATGTCCTTCGTCGACAAGAGCAGCCGGTATGCCAAATCGCCTGTCGGTGTAGGAGGATCTTCCCTACCCAGCATGACCTCTCTCAGCCTACTGTTGATCCCATCCGCACCAACCACCAAATCAGCCTCCATTTCCCTCCCATCTGCCATCACCGCAGTCGCTCTGTCGCCCTCAATCTTCACATCAACGACCCTCGAATTGACCTGGACTTTTGCGCCCAGCTCAACCGCGCGGTCAAGCAAACACTGGTGCAAATTCGCTCTGTGGAAATCCCAATAAAATGTTCCCGGGTACTTGCCAGCTGATTCCACGGTGTCCAGAGATGAGATGATATCCCCCTTCCAACTCAGCATGTTCACCCGCTTGGGGTTGGTTGAGTATTTGTCCAACGCCTCGCGCATGCCCCAGGTCTGGAGCAGATAGCTGCTGTTCGGCAGAATCTGGATTCCTGCACCGATCTGGAATTGGCCCAGCGGTCAGATTTAGTTCTGGAATAAGAAGGGCGGAGGGGTTGTACCTCTCCGATTTCAGATGCGGATTCAAGGACTTCGACATCGTGGCCTGCGAGGAGAATGGCGATTGCAGCTCCCAGACCTCCAAGTCCTGCTCCGACAATAATCACCTGTTTTCCAAATCAGTCAATCATGCTTTCTTCTTTCTTAATTTGTCTATGTCGCAAAGTAATGCTCAAGTCGTTAGGAAAGGAGCTCGCTGCCCGCCCACCTTCAGTTTGCTGTCCTCGCCCCGCACAATCTTCTCCGTCACCTTCACCTGATAAGAAGACATACTTGCTCGCTATTCAAATTACCTATGCAGAAAGACAAGTGGATCTGCAGAGATTATGAGAGCAGGTTCCATTAACCCATATATGCATCTCGCGACTGAACGTGCTCCATCGGCCCCAGAACACGGGAGATGGACAGCTTCATGAGGTACAGAAAAGCGGCCTATCGCCAATCGATAAGGAGAGCTTGTTGCCTCTTTTGGAGCAGCTGCATTGCATACCACAAGGCCAGGAAAGTGGGGTTGAGGTTGAAGGTGGGGGATACGCAGGGCCCCGCATGGTCCCGCATAGTCCCGCCAACCGACATCCGATAGGGGCTGCACGGAGTATCTCAGAAAGGCAAAAAGGTTGTTATCACGGTGGAATTTATGCTACATACGACTACTTAAGAATCACACTGTATCAGCCCTAATACAGCAAATTACCCTTTTGACGTTCGCCTTCATACAAAAATTCCACACAGGCAGTCCTTCCAATTTCCCAACGTGTAGTTATGGACAGAGTAAGGTTGACTCTCCTTGTTCTCAGAGATACATGCTAATCGAACCAATAGTTCTCCCTGACAGGCCGTGTAGCCCTCGTGACCGGAGGTGCGCGAGGATGCGGACTTGCATTTGCAGAAGGCCTTGCCCAAGCCGGCGCCTCAGTAGCCATCTTCGATGTGATTCCCCCGGTCCCAGCATTCTTCGAGATCGAGAAGAACTTCGGGGTGAAGACGGCACATTACCTGTAAGTAAGCCCTGCGTTATCAAGTTATAAACTCCTTCTTTCTCGCACCTGTTCAGCCGATTCACACGAACTCGCATAGTGTCGACGTGAGCAACACCGAGAGTCTCGAGAAGGGATTCGCGGACTTCGTCAAGGATTTTGACGGAAAGTTGGATATCTGCGTCCCCTGCGCAGGCATCAACCGCAACCTCGGCTTTCTCGAGACCCCAGTTGAAGAGTATGATAAGCTCATCGGTGTGAACGTTAAGGGGGTGTACTATACAGCCCAGCTTGCGGCGAAGCAGATGATTGCCAACGGCACGAAAAAGGGGAGTATTATTCTCGTGGCGAGCATTGCGAGTTACATGGCTATTCGAAGCCAGCTGAGCAGCGCTTACTGCGGCACGAAGGGGGCCGTGAGAGCCATGTGCCCGGCGATTGCTGCCGAGCTGGTGAAATATGTTCGTATCCTCTCTCCAAGTCCGAACGATGACTTCTGTACTAATGAGGATAGGGAATTCGTGTGAACTCCATTTCCCCTGGCTATGTGAAGACGGAGATGACTGCGCCAGTGAGTAGCATGTGAGCACCCCCCTGATAAATTGATATTGATTGCTGCTAGTTCCCGCACCTGTTGGAGAGCTGGAAGGATGAGATTATGAATGGAAGAGTAGCAACGCCGGATGATATTCGTGGCGGGTGTGTGTTTTTGGCAAGTGATGCCAGCTCGTATATGACAGGACAGGATCTCCGTATCGATGGTGGGGTAACGAAATGGTGAGGATATAATATGTCGAGTAAACTGTCACCAGAAATGACTGGAGAGAATAAATGAAATGAATGAACAAACCTGCTGCGCCCAATAACGTGACCAAAAGAATGATACCTTGAACATTCTACAGTGCTTCGTGCTGTCTCTCTCCTTGCACGTGAGGGGTAATGGAAAAGAGAGAAAAAAGGGGGGGGGGGGGTTAATTCACATCCTCAGCCATCTCGGCCAACGTAGATAGGTATTTGTGGCCTTGTGGATGCCCGTATTCGCTCCGGCCCCGACGGTCCGACGCGGACGCCATCCCAGAGTCTCACGCGTCTCCAAACATGACAAACAGACATTGACAAACTCTATCTCTCCCCCACTTTCATTGCCATTGACCACCACTCTTGATGGCAGCGGATCAGATGATTCTCATCACTCTCGAGGCCTTTTGGCCCCGCGATGATCCCACCTCCCATCCCAAGGGGAGGCTATCACGATCTAGAGCTGCTCCGCAAGGACTCTTCCATCGCCTCATCGTGAGCTTTGGAACCGAATCTGACCACTAACATTGACAACACTGACTTCGATATTGAACATAAAACCTCTTCTGCTATAACAGAACCTAATGACATACCTACCCACAACGATAGCACGATAGCATCTTCAGGAAGATATGGATCACGTGACAGTAGCAGGAGCAGGTCCAGCAGGACTGATGCTGGCGTACGCCCAACCACCATGAGAGGGTTGAAGGCATGTTGACACTCTTGACAGATCGAACCTGGTGCGTTTTGGCGTCAAGACGACCATTCTCGATGACCGGCCAGACAAGACGTCCATGGGCCGAGCGGACGGTCTGCAGCCCAAGACCATCGAGACTTTCAAGCAGCTTGGGCTCGCTGGTTCGCTGCTGCAGAAGGGCGTCAGGGTGTACGATATCTGCTTCTGGGTATGGGGATGCTACTCTCTATTCATCACTGATTTCTTGTCCGGGAGCCAACAGTCGCTGATCATGGGTTAGAACTCTTCCGCATCAGCACCGCTGCACCGGACCGGGAGGGAAATCCACTACCCGCCAGCAGTAGTGGATGTAGAAGACCCTTTTATTCTCCTGGTGCATCAGGGAATGGTCGAAGAGGTTTTCCTTGACGATTTACGAGCGAGAGGCGTGGAAGTGCTTCGAAGTAGTCCTTTCGTTCGCTATTCCACCTCGGATGCTGGGGTCCAAGTGGAATACCAAGATCTGAAAGAATCAACCACCAAAACCCTCTCTACGGGGTTCCTCGTGGGATGCGATGGCGCGCATTCTAAAGTCAGAAAGTCAATGCCAGGAGCAGAGATGGTTGGCGAGCCGAGCAGGGCAGCCTGGGGTGTCTTAGACGGTCAGTTCGCTGGAACGTGCAAGAGAGGTGATGCTGAATCGCCTCAATAGGAGTCATTGAAACGGATTTTCCGGATCTATGGAGCAAGGTGGTGATCAGTTCCGAGACGGAGGGGACAATCCTCTGTATTCCGAGAGAGAGGAATATGACGAGGCTCTACATCGAGCTTCACCCAAGCACCGCCGCGGCCGAGACGACGGAGAACTCACCCCAGGACCAAGACTTCGTGATGGAGAGAGCGAGGGCGATTCTGAGTCCCTTCAAACTGACTTGGAAAACTGTTGGTATGTGTTAGCCTCACGTGGTCACGCTTAGTTCTAACCTTTGCAGATTGGTTCGGAGTATACAAGGTTGGGCAACGAGTGTCGAAGCACTTCTCAGATGCGGATAGAGTATTCATAGCTGGCGATGTACGGCCCTCTCTCTTACCTCTTTACCCTCCCCTCCCCTCCTCTCTCCTCACTAACATCCACTAGGCTGCACATACACACTCGCCCAAAGCAGCGCAGGGCATGAACGTCAGCATGCACGACACTTTCAACCTCGCCTGGAAACTCAACCTCACCGTCCGCGGCCTGGCCTTGCCCAGTCTCCTCTCTACCTACACGGATGAGCGGCGGAAGATCGCGCAAGACCTGATCAGCTTCGACTACGAGCACGCCAACGCTTTCGCGGCCGGTGATCCCCAGGCCCTCGCCGCCAACTTCGCCCAGAACATCCGCTTCATCTCAGGCGTCGGCGCCACCTATGCCCCCAACGTCCTGAACGTCCCCGAGCCCACGTCACGTGGCGGCTTACGCGCCGGCGCCCTGCTATCCCCCGCCATGGTAACGCGCTACATCGACGCGAACCCCGTGCACCTGCAGCTGGACATCCCTCTGTTGGGCCAGTTCCGCATCATGTTCTTCACGCCAGATGTCAAGCGCGCGCACGCCTTCCTGGCGACGGTCTGCGCCGAGGCCACATCTACGCGGACCGTCTTGGGCCGCGTGTCAGCAGCAGCGGAGGCCTCGTACGCGGCGCTGCAGGTCCCGGCAGCCGAGATGGACGAGTTCGTGCAGCCGCAGCGCTACACGGCGGTGTCGCGCTGCTTCACGCTGGCGGTGGTGACGACGATGGCCAAGGAGGAGGTGGAGGTTGCGGATCTGCCGCCGGCGTTGAGGGATAGCCGCTGGACCTTCTACGTGGATGATGTGATGGGGGCGAGCGGGGAGACGTGTACGGAGAAGTGGCTGGGGAAGCTGGCGGCGGACGAGGTGGCGATTGTGAATGTGAGGCCGGATGGATATGTGGGGAGTATAGGGCGGTGGAGCGTATCCGGGGCGAGCGCGGGATTGGAGGCTGCGGGGTGGTTGGATGGGTATTATGGGGGGTTCTTGAGGGCGTAGTTGGATGGTTAGGGTGTGTATTTCTCTACTTTATATATCAAAATCAAGGTCATGGTATGGCTGTGTTCTGGGTCTGATAGGTTTCCGTGCCTTCACTTGTGTAGACTGTCAAATGCCCCCCGGATTTGCATACCAGTATCATCATCTGCCCCTCGCCATTTCCCCCCCTTTTCTATATCCCTCACCCTCTTAAACACCAACCCCAACCTCAGAGTCCAATCCACCCATACATTCATTTCCCCATCTTTTAACCCCGTCTCTCTTCCCCTTCTCCCTCCCTACTCACATATATAATCCAGCATGGCATATCCCCTCTAAAACGCATGTCATAAACCGCGATGCTACGTTTAGTTTCGTAAGGCGTAGGTATAATGGAAGGATAAGGGGTGACTATCTTGGGTATATGGATTACTTGAGTGGGTATGGAGTACAGAATTGTGATCGCGATCGTAGTATAATGATATACGGCTTTGTTATTCTTCTGCTCTCTTGTCCTTTCGTGGATTACTTGCTACTCATCCCATATATACCCCCTTTTTTATTTTCCTCAAGGAGAAAGTCAAGAATTATCATCTCATTTCATATGATATGATATACTGACTGGTATTCAACACACTGTTGTAGGATATATAAAGCACACCCATTATCTACTTACCTACTCCTTTTAGTATCACTCATCACTCATCACTCACCCATCCATCCACTATCAACCAATATCTCCATCCCTATCCCTATCCCATCTCCAAGAAACAACCCCCCCTCCCTTCCTGCAAGAAATAAAAATAATAAAAAATGATAAAAATAAATCGCAGTCCCCTAATTCAGTCCACACAGAGTAAACCCTTGAATCCGAATTATGAATTTGTGAATTATGAAATGCGCGATGGATATGGCAATTGGGAATCTGGGGGGTTTGTTGATTCTGGGGTTTTTGTGGGGGGG